TCCTATAACATGTGAGATATTAAATCCATATAATATAGTGATAAACTCTCTCAATGATTTTAAACTTTTTTTTGAAAAATAAAGTAAAAAAACAGTTTAACACTTTTTCCTTTAGCATTATACATTCGTCAAAGTTATATTTATTCTAGAAAACGTAAAAAAAAATTATGAGATTCTAAAAATTTACAAAAAAATCTGTCTATAAATGAACTTTAGTTCATCGGCAGGCCCGAAGATTTTTTTTGTAGGCGGCCTCCAATATGTAACCAGTAGTGTTTAGTTAAAGATTTATTTTGGAATTGATGAGAAAGTGTAAGTGGATATTGGAAAATACCACGTTTGGTTCAAGTTTTTTCAAAAAATACTATACAAATAGGATAGATGGGAAAATGACTTTTGTGTTGATTTTTGGATGAAATTCACTGTTACAGAATACCACTTGAGATGTGGTATTTTGAGATAACTGGAGAAGTGAAAAACATGTGCAAAGTTTCTCCCGAACATAGATTTTGCATATTTAAATAAATTTCCCTGGTAATATTTCGGTTAACCAAACAACTTTTTTTACATTTTCCTACCAAACTCATTTTCCAATCATTTTCCTATCAATTACATTTCCCTAGTAAAAAAAAATTTCTCTCGAACCAAATAGTACCCTAAGGTAAGCATATTCCGTGGTGTCTTCATAAATAGCATTAAATTTACTTTTAAAAAATATCCCCCGTCATTTTATTTTTTTCTCATACATCTCCTGTCATTTTACAAATATTAAAATAAGTCACTTACTTCATCAAAAAAATTTGTGTGATTTTAAAGAAAGTATGTAACTTTTTCAATAAAATAAAATTATTTATTGTTTTTGAATTTATGGAAAAAGTAAAAAAGCGGGGGCGGGAAGGTAAAAAATATACTTTTTTATAATTTTAAAATGAGATATATATTTTCGGAGTATAGAAAAAAATAAGTATATATAAGACGTGCATAAAACGGGACAACTTAAGAAAGTAAACCAACACAAACAAAAAGAAATTTGGCTCATGCAATAATGCCAGAGAGAAGAATAATCTAATGTGCCATTTGGACTTAGTTAAGATGTTTGAGCGAGAAAATTTGAGTAAATGAGAAAGTTCGATAGAAATTATAAGTTCATTTTTGACATACTTCACAGTCTAATTTTGTATTTTCATTATATGAAATAAGTTCAATAATTGAGGTATGCACTTTATAAAAGTATATTTTAAATAGCTTATTACACAAGCAACGTAACACTTTCAGTGATACTTTTGCAAGTTTATAATTCATAACATGAAAATTTCACATAACCCATTTTTAATTATTAAGGTTTTCTACAAGCCTCGCTAGTCTCTAGGTCATGAATATATATATATATATATATATATATATATATATATATATATATATATATATATATAGAAAACGAGTAAAATAAAAATAATTTGAATCGAAGCCTAGTTATTTGCATTTGGAAGAAAATAACTTTTACAAGGAAAGGAGAATAAGGTTTGGCTGAAAGAAAAGAGTGAAAGAAAAAGATAACTATTTTGGATTCAAGGGATAAAAGTGATCCAGAAAGTAGAATAAGTCCACTTGCAAACATTTTTGTAAAGCATTACAAGATAAGAACAACTTGAAATTAACTTATCACTACAAGATCATAATATGTACTACTTATTAATAAAAGAACAATTTAGTTGGTACCAAAGTTTTTACGAGAAGGGTTCACTTTTTTACCGTCTAAATAATTTATTTACATTGAACCCAAAACGAAGTTATTTTGAGACGAAAATCAAGATATTTTTGTAATTATAATTTATTTCAGGATTATAATAATTTTTTCATTATAATTTTTTAATCTTTCAACTCAAAACGACGTCATTTTGAGAGCGAATATAAATAATTTATCTATATTCATTGTAGAAACATTAAAGCCACTGTTTTAAATGTCTAATAACCAATCATAGTTGGAGAGAGATAATCATAGTTTTTCTTCTTTTTTTTGTTAAACATAATCATAGTTTTAAATGTACCGAAGTTAAGATAAAAATAATTAAATAGATAATTAATAAAAGAAAAAAATTCAAAATCCCCCATGTAAGTTTCTTCTATAATCATTTACCCAATTTCAAAATTTTGAATCATTTACATCTTTGTTTAAAATTTCTTTATCACTTATTACAAAATTAATTTTTTTGAAAAATACCTTAATTACCCTTAAAATAAAAAAAACAAAAAAAAAAACAACATAGATGAACCCTTGATGTCCTCTGGTCGTGAAAAAGAGAAAACTTCAAAAACACACAACCTTAGCTTCAAATGTGTAGGTTGGATAATAGTTAATGGAATGAAATTTTTAAAGTGAAAACAAATTTTGATACTTTCACATGTGTAGGTTGGAAATCTTTTATACAAACACCTACAACGTTAGCTTCTTCTCTCTCCCTTTGTGTTTTTTTTAAGGTAATTTTGGTATTTTTTTTTTTAAAATAACTCTATTAACTTAAGTTAGGGGATAAGTGATAAAGAAACTTTAAGTAGAGATATAAATGATTAAAAATTTCGAGAGAGAGATTAGTGATTCTGAAAAAACTTACACGGAATTTTTGAAGTTTTTCCTTAATAAAATATAACAAATTTTTTCACTATTCTATATTTATAAGTCGTTCCACGAAAACTCACTCTTACAAATTAGCATTGTTCTTAATTAATACATACATACATATATATATATATATATATATATATATATATATATATATATATAAAGGTTTAAAAACCCTAATATTAACAAACGTGGTTCCTTTGTTCAATTCTCCACTTCCAACTAACTATTAAGGTTTACGGAGGTGGTGTTTGGTTTACGGCTTTCCAAAATTTTCCTATGCAAATGAAGTAAGGTTTCCAGAAAGCTAATGTTTGGTTCAACATATTAACCCAAAATCCTCATCCATCCATTTGCATTGCTTTTTCAACTTTGTCTTGGAAAGATAGGTTTCTGCACTGTTTAGAAAGACTTTTTGTAGGTGGTTTTTTTTTTGAAAACCCAGGTAAATCACTGTTTACAATCAACCAACACACACGTTTCTTCTATGTCTGTCGGGAAATGATTAGGGGTAAAGAGTAGCAAGGCTGATTCAGCCTTTTTTAAAATTAAGGTTATTTTAGTAAAAGCATATTTTTTCCCATCTATATTTTATCAAAAGCCAAACATAGACTTTACAAAAGTTATCTAATTTTTCCGGTAAAATTTTTTCTTACTAAACTATTTTTTTTATATTTTCCTATCAAACTCATTTCCCAATTATTTTCCTAGTAGTCTCATTTCCCTATTATTCATACAAATTTCTCTTCAACCAAACACCCCCTGGGGTGTTTGGTAGGAATTTTTAATATGAATAGCTAGGCAACTTTTATTGGGATTTCTATTTAACCATGTTTGGTGCAACTGTTTAACAAATTTTACCATCAAAATTGTTTCCCCATCCATTGCAATTCATTTGCAAAATAGATAGAAAACACTGTTTTGAAAAACCACATGAAACGGTGGTTTTTGAGATTTAGCTGGGCAACTAAAAAGAGCTCAATTTGCAATGACAAAAATACCCTACAGTTGGGGTTTCTTTTCTCTTTCTTTCATATAAAAACCAAATAAGCAAAGGGGTGTTGTGGTAATTGAATCATATTTTCCTACTAATATTTCACTTTCAATCAAACATAAATTTTTTCTAATCAAACAATTTTTTTTACATTTTCCTATCAAACTCACTTTCCAACCATTTCCCTATCAATTACATTTTTCTAGTATTTAAAAAATTTCTCCTTAACCAAACGCCCCTCGAAGGAATTTTGCAGTATGCAAATCCAAACAAAAAGTGAATAACTGACTTTACGTGGTTGAGCATTTTAGTACATGGGAAATCATTATCTCAATTTAATAAATTGAGATAATTATTTTATGTTGTTTTGACATCAAAAATTATGTCACTATTTTTTTATTTTTTAATAGGTGGTGGATCCTATCACATCATGTGTCTATAATAAGAATAAATCTTTGGTACTACTGCTATACTAAAGATTCAGTGCATCCCACCAATGAAAATATTACATGTCAGTTAAAATTCTATTTTTTCTGTCAATTTTTTTTTCTTTCCTATGATGTGTAATATTCTCATTGATGAGATGCACTGAATCTTAGTACAGCAATAATAGTACCAAAGATTTATTTCTATAATAAAAAATAACTATCTTTGATAAAATAGAATCCCTTAGTACATATATACTAACATTTTTCCTCTCTTTTTGTAGGCCTAGAACTAGAAGTATAACGTAGGATAGATTGCCCTGCTGCAAAATTAGTATATATATATACTAACGTACCAATTGAACCAACCTTGTCTTTTACCCTGATTTATTATAAATCATGTCGTTTAAGTTATACTTTTTTTTCATACAATGGTCACACACACGCAAATTATCCAATTCTCTCGGCAGTAGACCAATCCTAATAGCTTATGTCTTCTGTACTTCAGGTAACACAGTTAACTACCAAATAAAATTGAAAAAAAAAAGAAGAGAAAGAAAGATACTGAGTATAATCAATTGAAGTATGGCACATTGGCTTAACGAAGGAGTTAGGAGTAACAGTGGTCGGTTTGCATTTTGTTATTCGGTTTGTCTGTGGTAGGCAGCAAGAATCAAATTCCTCCCACAACCTTTCGAAAAATGATGTCTTCTATTTTAAAATATACTCATTAAAGTTTGATTGTGCTCCAGCGTTTTTCGTTTTCCACGAAGGTTCAATAATTGACCCTATATAGCATTGCAATTCATAGTGCATGTTTTCCAATATTATAGTTGAAAGTAAGTAACAAGGGTATACAAGAGTAATTTCATTCATTGACTCTTCTCCATCACACTTGAAGCATAAAAAGTGTAAAAAAAAGCTGCATTGAGATCTACAGCAAAGAGTCTTGTGTGATTGCTTACATGATGGAACATGCATTTACGTTGTCTTCACTGAAAAGGGACATAAATTTCTCCTCTGTCTCAACCGATGCTGGAAATGTTTGAACGTTTTTCACATAACCTGCAGGTGCCCTTTTATCATAGACTCCAGAGGCATGAGGATAGGACACCACATGTTGTGGAACATAAGGCCAAAATTCAGCTCTTTTCTTCCCTGTTCTTCTTACCCTCTTCAACACTTTGTTTGCATCAACATAACCATTCACTGTTACCCTGCTTTGCTTTCTGTTTATATCCACGGATTTTACTCCTGCAAGACATGCGTATAATGGTTAACCAAGATATAAAAAATTATGTTATCATAAAATGGCCATTTAGTATTATATATAGATCAGTGGTTTTGATTTATGTCTTTTGAATATTGTTTATTTCCCTTTATTTAGATTTTCTTTTGATTAAATTAATGGATATCATAACCGTATCAGATAAAGTGGATATACAGGATTTGAATGCTGTGAACTTGTAGCTTCCAAAAGAAGTAGAAATAAATAATAGACAGAAATATAGGAATGTTAATGATCAACATTCGATAGAAAAGATAAAGTGTAGGAAAAGACACAATAATGCTGTGAACTTGAAGTTATTAGTCACTAACTTTTATCAGTCTTCCACATAGGTCACAATTTACCATGCCATTGGGCTTGGTTCCAAATGTAGGAATTCTCTCTTTCCTCTCATGCAAAGATTTTTATTCCTTTTTCTCCATTCCTATTGGTTTGAAAGAAACTTTCTACCATAACCAAAATGTAAAATATATATATAAAAAATGGAGGGTTATATTTACAAATTTTGTGTTTACAAACTACACTATGTACTTCCGGAAGTACACTAGGTTACACTATATACCTTCAGGAGTACATAGTGTAATTTGCAAAAATTTGTAAACGAATCATTCCCTTATAAAAAATGGTTATATGTAGAACTAGCTAGGTCCAAGAGAGTGAAGAAAACAAGCTGCTCCACACACAAAATTAAACAAGAGAGATGGAGTTAACTCTTGAGATCCAGTAATGGAACTTGAAACCTTTCATTGTAGCCACTGCATTTCTGACTCTTCGTTCACAGCCATCACAATCCATTTTGACTTTGATCTCAACTGTCTAAAACAATGAAGAGCAACTCATGTGAGGAATGAATGGTTGAAGTTGCTATGATAAAAGCTAGAGGATTGAAACTATACAAAAATTAGAGTAATTGTAGAAATGCCTCAGATTATAGGAAGGAAACAACAGTGTGGGATGTAAATTAAGGAACATGTTTTGTTGGTTGTGCAAATGAGAGTACCTGCATTGCTTTGTGTTTGGTCTTTGTGTTGGGTATAATGCAAAAGTTGGAGAGGTAATCAAGTGCACCCATTTCTTTTACAGAATGCAAAGGCAGAGAAAGTGAGTGAGAGAGAAGACAGACACAAAATCAAACATGAAGGTGTGGTGTTTATATAGGAAATTCAAAGATTCACAGAGAAAGAGAGAGATTAAGATTCAAAAGCAGTGTCTAGAAAATTAAGTTAATATAATAAGCAGAAATAATTGAAGTGGACATATAATATAAGTCATAAAGCTAGGTTAGTGGTTCTGGAAAATGAACGATGGGTAACACTGCTTTAAATAGAATTATAAAAAGTGATTTTTCGGTTCTTTCTTTTCTGTCAACGAGTATGCCTTGTTCTCTTAACAATTCATGATAAAATACATCTGATTCTCTCTACTGTTTGATATGTTAAGAGTGAATGGTCCAATAATATATTCCTTCATTTTTGTTAAGTGTTTAAATTTGATTTTCATAATGCAACTATACTATTATAAATTCTATAAATTTAATGATATTAATAATTCCTTTTCAAAATAATTTCACTAACATATGCATATATACATATAGTCTAAAATAATTTATCTATTGGGAAAAATAAATCCTACGATCGATTACTAATAGTAGACTGAAAAACAAAAAAAGAATATTGCCTTAATATTGAAACAATTGTGATTTTAAACTTTCAGTTAGCGTGTATTTTGATTTATTATTAGTAAAAAGATCTTCAAGATATGAGTATGTGTTGACATAATTTTTTTTGGATGTGATAATAACTATCGGATAAGTCAAATTCGGTTAATATTATATACACATGCACAATTAAATTATAATGTATTAAAGTTGTACAACGAGTAAAAATGGATTTTGGAAACTTATATGATTATTCATCCAATCAGAGAGGAGAATAATTGACCCCATTGGTATGTTTTGTGACCTACCTAACTGTAAAGTGGCCCTAGCTTTCGAACCCCAAAAAGATGGAAAAAGAAAAAGAGCATTATGCAACTCCACATTGAGAACCACCGCGTAAGGAAGGATCAAAGTTCTTTGTTGGCTTGAACTTTTTTGCAGTTGACATTGGTTTTTCTTCTCTGGCATTTGGGCAGGCAGATATTCATTCCTTCCCAGCTTTGTATTTTTATTAGTCGTTTTCCCTTTCCCAACATCTACATTTTCAAATGAAGCCAAACAATTTGTTGTGAGGGAGAGGGAAATTGTAAGTTACAAATATAATATAAAAAATCATACATGTACTTTTGCATAACAATTAAAGTTCTTAGAATAGTTAATTTTATTATCAAGTGGTTTAGAGTTTAACTTTTGTCATTTTATTATTTTAATAAATATCATATAATTTTTTTTAATGCAATATAAATGAGTCAGTGCATTATTCACCCAAGTCTAAAGTATTATTGCATGAGAGACTTCTTGCGTGAAAGATATTTTAAAAAATAATATAAAAAATTATTTAACTGTCTAACTTGCCTCAAATTCAATCCTTGTCTTGTCCAAAAAAAAAAAAATTCAATCCTTGTCACTTCATTTTTTATTAAATATTTTAAAATTTCTTATTACTTGATAGGTGGACATATGTATTTTTTACACTTCAAACCTAAATAGCTCTTACTCAAGAGAATATGTTAGAAATATAATATAAAAATTATTTATGTGTCTTCACCTAATAACATATACTTTTCAGATAAACTTCACTTTGACACAACCCCCCCCCCCCCCCTTTTTTACCCCTTCTAGTTATATAGAGTATTTAGCAAATGTATCACTTAATCCTATGATTTCAAACTATCTTATGATCTTATATATATAAAATCTTGTAATAAAATATTTTTATGAATTACCTTTCATATGTTTCATGATATGTTGATGATTTTTTGATGCACATTATAACCACCACACTAATGATGTGTTGAAATGTAATTATTCCTCTATTTATGTTTAGAATCCTATATGGGATATGATTTTTATAGAAAACTATATATGATTAGTGGATTCATAATATAGTAATATTTTTATGATATGCTATTTTAAGCCGTTAGAATTAATCTAGTGGTAGTGATTTGGATAGTTTGCATGAAGTCATCAAATCTCAATGCCACTATTATATCAAAAAAAAAAAAAAATAGTCATATTTTCCTGAGTTCATGTTTTGATCTTCATATATTTTCTCTCTTTTCTTTCCTTTCTCTAATTTTCTCTCTTCATTTTAATAGAATTTTAAATTAGTAAATATTTTTATCATATATATTATGATATTATCAATTAATTATTAAACATTAAATTTGAAAAAACACATAATTATTTATTTAATAATTGTCACAAGAAATTAAAAATATTATTTAAGAAAAATTTATCTTAAAAATATAATTAGGAAAAATTAGAATAATTACGTTTTTAAATAATATATTGAAAATATGAACATATTTTTAAACTTAAATTTATTTATTTTAATTTTAAATTTATTATTTATTTTAAGTTTTATTTTAATTAAGACTTATATTATTTTATCGAAGAATACAGGAACGGCCCACGGGCAAAGAAAGACCCGATAAGAAAACGGGGTCTGAATTCTGAACTACCAACTAATCCTCACACTCTGCACCTTCAACTTCCACTATACGACGGTGAGTTTTTCTGTGTTTTTCTTTCTTTTCTTTAACAAAATGGGCATTCTTATTTATTGTTGGGGTTGGCCCAACTCCTTTATTTTTCACCAGCCCCCTTTTCAGAAAACCAACTTTGATCATGTTCCAATAGGAATGAGCTTATGTTGTTTTTCAATTTCTTATTTTATTTTATTTTTACTCGTATTTTTGTCTTTCTATGTGATGTTTTGTAGTTTTTTTTTAGTTTTTAATAATGTTTGCAAATTCGTTAATTCAGTACCGAAACAGAAAGAAGAATGATATCATATATGATAAATAGTTTGTTCCCTAAGAGAAAATTATTGCAATAAATATTTCAGCAATATACACTTTTGTTTTTTCCTCTCTTGAATTAATATTTAGGCAAGTGATCAAAATTGTTCATCTTACCTGATTGAATTTTACCTTGTGTAGGATAAGAGCTTATGAAGTGGATAGTTGTATTGTAAACTCTGTTTCTGTGTGCTGTCAAAGTGCAACAAAATATAGGTGTTGTTAAAAATCTCTCTGCTCATTTGTATGGCAATGGTGATCTCTTCTGTGCATGCCACACTTTTTGCCAGGACCTCTCTCTTTCGCCAAAGTAATGGCCTAAGAAGCTTAACATTTTGTTTACCTTTCTCATCTTCTGCTGCTTCTGTCTCTGCTGATAACCTGTCTCGGAAGAAATGGAAGCAGCCAGTTTTGTCAGTGTTGGATCTTGGTGGAGTCAAGATTAGGAGAGAAGGTACTTTGGATATTGCTTTTGGTTTTTTGGTTGATATTGTTTTACTGTTAGAGAATATAATATAAATCATTAAAAAGGCCCTCACCCAACACCTTAAGATTTTGGGTTGAAATGATTCTTTAACATGGTATCAGAACTTCAGTGACTATGAAGTCACGAGTTCGATCCTCACCGCCCCTCACTTTCAGGTGGAATTAAGAAAAGCACAAGGCAGACCAAAAAAATGGACTTGTGCCATATCCACGTTTCATAGAAAGAGCTTTGGAACTTAGGTTAACTATGCATTATAAGATTCTCATTTTTTTTTCCTTTAGTTTTGAATCATTTGAACCACGGATATTTTATGCAACCACAAACTGTGTAATAATTCATAAAGAGAATGTCCATGACTATGACCAATTTGCTCACTTTCACCAAGTCAATGGTGAAGTTTCATGTTTGGATATAATGGTTATTGTAGTATTGACTGGGATGTTTTGGGCAGTGTATGACTTGCTTTATTTTTTCTGCCTTTTTAACTCTGTATGTACCTTTACATTTGCAGTGTTGCTTTATGTTAATGTTTTAATTGAAAAATGTTCAGTGGTTCATAAAATTCTTACTATTTTTTGCTTCATTTTCTTCTAGATGTGATGAGAGATGATCCTACAAATAATGTTCCGGACAATATATTTTCAAAACTTGGAGTGCAGCTTCACAGGAGGGATCAACATCCACTTGGGATACTGAAGAATACAATATATGAATATTTTGACACAAATTATTCAAATAAGTTCAATAAGTTTGATGATCTTTGTCCTATTGTTTCAGTGAAGCAGGTAAGGCAAAACAAATTGAAGAATTAGTTGCCCTTGCTCCTATATGATGCATTGCTATTATCAGCTGTTGTTTTGTTTCACGTAGGTTTATACTCTATTTGTTACTTCTGCATTTATTTCCTTTTAGATTTTTGCTGATTGTTCCAATCAGTATTGTATGCCTTTGAAGTTCCCTATTTGTCATTAGATGTTATTTGAGAAAATTGCATGTTGATTTCCTCTGCACGTAAAGGGTATTGTAACACTATGAGATGAAAAATCTCATAGGATTTTTTTTAAAAAAAAAGACTTCGAATAAACTTTTGAGTTTAAAGCCTTACAAAGCCACAAAAAGGAAAAGAAAAGTCCTTTGAAAGTAATTGATGCTAATTTTGTTAGGAATTTATTTTATGTATTTCATATGTTTATCCCAGTGATATTAAATATTTGTTTCTTTGATTTGAAAACCTAAAGTTGACAAGTAAAAGAAACAGTACTTTTACTTTGGGATTTAGTAGATGGTCTATGTACCAACGATTGAGTGATTGACAAGTAAAAGAAACAGTACTTTTACTTTGTTGCAATTTCTGTTTGCGTTTGTATGCCTTATAACATGCTCACTGGCTTTTGATCGAATGAATTTGTACTTCAGTCTTTTCATGGTGCCGTTATTGATGAAATGATTTCATTCTTCAGTCTTTTCTCATACATGTTGCTTCTGATCAAATGATTTCATTCTTCAGTCATTTTTTCGTGATGCTATTCAACTGGTGTCTGCAGATTCTTTAGTCCTTTCTTTTTGGAAAGTTGAGTATAACAGAGTTAAAGGGGTGAAAAAAGAATGAAATAATGAATGCTATTCAAAAGGGATGATTATAGTTTGTACATGACGGCATATTAAAAAAATCTGTTAATGCTAGCTTGTCAGAATAATTTTAGTTTATTTCTGATAATAATACAAAGAAAAATGATATGATTGATAAAGTATTGTTTTTGTTGATAAAAGGCATTAACACAAATTTCTGGTGCATTAACTATATTTGACAGGTTGAAGTTCAAGTTTCACAATCGTCTAAACTAATATAATTGATTATTGAAACTTCAGTTAAGAATACTGCTGTATTTTGTCAACGTTACATTTTCAACATAATACGAATGAAGTTATTGTGTCTCTAGAGCTCCACTAATATAATACTTCTAACTATTGTTGTTACCTCATTCATTTTGATTTCTTATCTTGCATATTGCTTCTTTTTGGTTGATGAGGTGGTTTGAACTTCATGATAGGGTTTCTTTGTGACAATCTTCTCTTTTGCAGAATTTTGATGATGTCTTGGTTCCAGAAGACCATGTGAGTAGGAGCTATAATGATACATACTACATAGACCCTCAAACTGTTTTAAGGTGCCACACAAGTGCTCATCAGGCAGAACTATTGAGAAGAGGATACACCCATTTCCTTGTTACAGGAGATGTTTACCGTAGAGATTCAATTGATTCAACTCATTATCCTGTATTCCATCAGGTATGCCCCATATGCAGTAACTGGCTTTTTCTAATGATTAACTTCATATAATTTGCTCTTTTTTGTTATGCAGATGGAAGGCTTTCGGGTTTTTGTTCCTGACGAATGGGAGGCATCCGGAATGGATGCCACATCATTTGCAGCAGCAGACTTAAAGAAATGCCTTGAGGGTCTAGCACGCCATTTATTTGGTATTTCCAGATGGCCAATATGCACATTTCAATATCAGTTGCATTTTGATAATTAGTGAGGATTTGTAACATGAACTAGTTAAAGAAAACAAAAGAATCAATGTAAGTTTGTTAGAAACTTCATCTTTGTTACATAAACATTGATCAATACATGCATATTCCATTGTTCATGATAAGCTAAAAACACTTTTCAAATGTAGAACTTTTAATTTAGGAGAAAGTTGCTTTATGCCTTTTGACTTAGTGGTCATGAGTTCAAATTGTGGAAACATCCTCTCTGGTTATTAGTGGAGGGCTGTTACATCTCAGCTTCCCCAGTGGGGGCCTCGTTCATTGGGCTGCCCTTTATGTTACAACTTAGGCGTTCCAAAGTAAATATTTTCTGGAAAAAGAAAAAGCAATTGTGTGTAGGATAATATCAACAAATACATGTGCCTAATTTGTATAATTGTTTTCCTTAAATGAAATTGAAGGAAAAAAAAAACCTCCTTACGCTTCAAGCGATGTCTACAGGTTAAAAGAAATATACATATCAACTACAAGTAATTATAAAATAAATGGAAATCATTAGCTCATAATTCTTGAGCAAAAATAAAACCCTGTCAACAGGAAAGCTGAAATATTTAATACTTTAGGATGATCATCTCATTGTAATGCTAAAATGCTAAAGTGGTTCTACAAGAAATTATATTTACATAAGGTGTCTAGTTGTGAATTTGAGATATTCATTAGAAGCTAAGTATAACTTGAAAATGCTTATTTATAATCTTTTCCCTTGCGCTGTTTCAGGTGCCGTGGAAATGCGCTGGGTGGATACCTATTTCCCATTTACTAATCCATCATTTGAACTTGAAATATATTTCAAGGTATTACTATGTTCATGATTGTCTCTTTAATGCACTATGTTTGTATATTTCCTGTTGTTGAGATATATAAAATCATTAATGTAGCCTTACCCAACAGCTTAAGCTTTTGGGTTGAATTGATTATTTACATGGTATCAGAGCCTCGTGTCCTGGGTTCGATCCTCGCCCCCCCCCCCCACTTTTCTTTTAATTGGAATTTCTTTGTTCGTACAGGTAGGTGGGCTTGTGCATTGTCCACCCTTCAAACCCACTCAGTGGGCTCTCGTGTGAGGGGGCATGTTGAGATATATAAAATCATTAATGTAGTCTCACCCAACAGCTTAAGCTTTTGGGTTGAATTGATTATTTACACCTGTTATTGGCTTTTGCCTCTGAAATCATGGTGTCAATAAATGTTATGTTTTCAAATCGCCACTAGCATGTGGGGATTATTACCTTAGACATGTTTGGTGCACTGTATAAGGCTGATTGGATGTGGGTCACTTGTTGTATAGGATAAGCCATATACCTGGTAAGCTTTTTTATTATAGAGTAAACATCTTTTTTAGTCCTTGGCAATATCTACGAAGTCTTTTTCAGTCCCTGGCAATAAAAAAGGACTAAATTGGTCCCTGAAAGTACAAGAAAAGGGCCACTCTACATATTTGGGAGTTGACATAAGGACTAACATGGCCCTTTTTTTGTAATTTCAGGGACCAATTTGATCCTTTTTTATTGCCAGGGACTAAAAAGGACTTCGTAAATATTGACAAGGACTAAAAATGGTGTTTACTCTTTATTATATTGTGTTTGTTTTGTCAACATATAAACATTTTGGATTATGGGCAGCTTTCCGTTAGTTATCATTCCAAGTAATGCTGAAAGCATATAAAAAAAGTGGCTAAACAGAAAGTTGGAATAAATAAAAGAGAACACTAATTTCTCAATTAAGATTTGTCAAAATAACAAAATATTCAACTCCTACAATAAGGATCGTAAGCACCCTTTTATAGACCAATAACAACTTAATTCAAAATTTAAAATCCTAAAAATAAATATTACGATAACGACCTTCTAAAAATAAATAAATACAATTAAATAATTCAAAACACATCCCAAATTTTATATCTCAAATCATGCCAAATTTGTTACATTTCCTTTTTTGCCAAATAAATCACAATCGTATCTACTGCTTCATTTGGACTTGGATTTGGTTGAAATCTGTTATATTTCAAAATTTTGCTTCTTTGGGCATGTGAGGAAAAGATTGCTTGGGCCATTTGTAAGGGGCTAACTTTAAGTGCATCACCTAGTCCTGTTTTGCTTCTCTTCATCTTTCTCCTTTCCTGGCTTTATTCTTCTAAGTTTAATTTTGTATTGAAATTAAGTAATGTTGGAAATTTCTTATATTCCAGGAAAAGTGGTTGGAGGTTTTGGGGTGTGGAGTGACAGAGCAAGAGATTCTGAAAAGAAATGGTAAAGCTAATAATGTTGCTTGGGCTTTTGGCCTAGGGTTGGAGAGGCTAGCTATGGTTCTATTTGACATACCGGATATTCGTCTCTTTTGGACAAATGATGAGCGATTTACCTCCCAGGTATTTCTTGGATATGTTTAACACACATTCTTCAATGTTGTCTCTTCTTTCGGGTTGCCAGATGTGACTACAAGGATGTCTGATTTAATCATCTTGAGAATCCGAATATTATAAGTTTTATTCTGTTGTGATCTTTAATGTATTACATGTGCTTGCTTTTATTTTATTTTATTTTATATACAGTTCTCCAAGGGCCTGCTGGGAGTCAAATTTAAGCCATTTTCAAAGGTAACTTCTACATGTGCATCTGTGTGCCTCCCTTTGGGTGACTACATTTGTTGTCATTTTGCTGTGTACGTTCATGTTTAGGAATATTCTGTTATTCCTTACAATATATTACGCAATTGAAAGTTGTATGTGAACGATCCATCTATTTGAAAGTTAAGATGGCCCACATAATTTGTTATGCAAAACTCTGTTAAAATTCTTATGTTGTTCAGTGAGAAAATGTGGTGGATTTTGTCGGTCTAAATAGCAATATACTGTTACACTTAAACATGCGTATATCCATTCTATGTTAAAGGCCTCGCCATGATCTAATTCAGATGCATGTAGTTATTTTAAGGAAAAAGTGTTTGTTTTTTTAAATGACATAATTTGTATCATTTCACTTTCACAAAAATGTGGGATCCACACATTTTTTTTTTTTTTTTGTCCACTCTCTCTCTTCCATGATTTATCTCTTTCTCTCACTTAAAATGGCACAACTTTACATCCTTTAAAATTACACACATTTTCCTCTTATTTTAAACTAATACTTTTAGAGTATATTTTCTGTGTTTTAGTTTCATTCATGTCAAATTATACTCGTCTTATATGCAATTCTCAGACCTGAGTGCATTTAACTCGGCATTCTTAGAAGCAATTTTATGCTGGGACCTTGTTGGGCTGTGTTCACCGTTTGTCTGACTGTCTTGTTATTGACCTTGAGGAATTTATATTTCTATTTGTGACGGTATAAATTAGCAAAATCTTGTGAGAACATTCAATTTCTTCTCCCTGTTTTCCTTTTACAGTATCCTCCTTGTTACAAGGACATCAGCTTCTGGATCAGTGAATCATTTACTGAAAATAATCTGTGTGAAGTTGTCAGAGGAATAGCCGGCGATCTTGTAGAAGAGGTATATCTTTGAATAGTTTGAGCTAAACTTTCTCTGGCACTTCACATTTATTTGGATTCTATGTTTAGATGCTTTCATAATTTCTAAAGGCAACATGCATGTGAGATGAGCTGATCTGGGATTTTTTTTTTTTTTTTTTTGGGGGGGGGGGGGGGGGGGGGGTGACAATATTCTCATAATGGAATAATTTTTTTTTCTTCCGAGTTGAATAATTAAATTGGGCTGCAAACTCATATTTCAATATGGTACATGAGGAAGAACATAGACCAGAAGGTTTTAGGAGCAAGAGCTGTTGTACAGTAGTAGACTATTATACGTGATACTGCTATAGCTAGTGATCTTGCAGTGCTGAATATAGAACTAGTTGTTGTAGAAAGATATGGATGTAGAGAGAGAACACACTCTTTTAGTGGAATAACGCAATTTATATGGACTTGCATTTACTTCTGTATTTATACTAGGGGTATAACTATTTATAATAAATAGGACAGCTGCAGTACAAGTGTCACTACAGGTAATGTATATTAGTTACTGTATAGCAAAGCTAATGTGCATGATATCTTCCATGAACAATATTAATACTTTCCCTCAAGTTGGAGCATCATAGATATTCTACATAACAAGCTTGCTAATAAAGTCAATCTGAAGATATCTGAAATTAGTGAATTGTCTGCGAGGCCTATAGCAATGCACCCTAAAAATTGCAAGTGACATCAACTTTATGTTTGGTCCTCTTGTCAAAAACAGGATTGGAGACAATATGCATGACTGCTTGATTATCACAAACTAGCTTCATTTGTCAAGGCCATAGCGCAATATTTTGCCTTTGGACTTGATCTAATGAGAACATCTTGCTTCTTCCTCTTCCAAGAGATCATGTTGTCTCCAATTAGAACACAATATCATGAAGTGGAGTATCTATTTGAAGTAGACCTTTTACAATCAGCATTAGCATAACTGATCACTTGTGTATTGCCGTAGTCTTCATAAAATAGTCCCATGGAGGATCCTCCTTGAATGCATATGAGGATGGAACCACAACATCCCAATGACCATCACATGGAGACGTAACTTTGATATTCATGGCTGACTAGCATTGCTTTGAGGTTCCTATTACTTAATTAACTACCGAGAATAAAATCACTTGCACAAAAGGAAGCTTTGTTTTTCTTTTCCTTATGCCTGGCCTCACAACTATTTACCCCATGTCTTCTTCCTTTCTTTCTTTTTTTCCACTTTTTCTGAGATCAATCATTTTAGTTTTTAACTAGATTATGAGGAACCCCCCCCCCCCCCCCCCCCCCCCCCCCCCAAAACACACACACACCCTCCCCATCTGAGTGTCACATTAATTTTGGTCCCTTTTTCTGTTTCTGTTTTGCTTGAAATTATAGGTTCAATTAATAGACAATTTCACCAACAAGAAGGGAATGACCAGCCACTGCTATAGGATTGCATATAGGTCTATGGAACGATCTCTAACTGATGATGAAATTAACGATCTGCAGGTATTAAATATAGTTAGAAATTTCAGTGCAATTATAACCAGTCTTGGTTATATGTTGTCGTATTTTGTTTTGAAAGCTAATAACACTTTTTTTTTCCTGTCCTATGCAGTGGAAAGTAAGAGAACAGGTACAGAACAAATTGAATGTTGTCATAAGATGAGCTTTAATGTGCTTAAAACTATACAGCTTTGCTGTGTTTGTTCTCAATTTTGTTTATGTACAGATGTTTTACCTCAGCAACTGAATGATGCTGTAGACATGCATTATTTAATTTCTGCATAGTGAATATACACTACATAGCTAGCCATGGCTATCCTTATCCCAACAGGAATCTGGATCCTCTCATTTTTCTTAAGAATATAATATTGTCCTGTTATGGGGAAAAAAATGCTTTTAGTGTAAAATTGGTGAACCCTTAGATATGTAATGATAGGTACCTCAACAATAAAATTTGTGGTTTTTCTGTTTCATAACAGAGCACTGATATGATCTTGAGGAAAATGAAAGAGTCCTCATCTGCGGAACAAATGGCTTGTGGACGATTGTTTACATTACCGATCCATTTTTTGTCTCAATGTGTGAAGGGATGTTTGGATTGGTGCTATGCATGGTATGCTAAAGAATGTAAATGATAGTTGCTAAATTTATGTCATTTAAAAAAAATATATATGAATTATTTTGGAACCATTTAGGCTTTGTATAAATTTGTGGTTTCCTTTTCTTTTTTTCTTTGCTAAAAAAAGTCAAATAAGAGAGAAATTAAGATAAGAAAACCAGCAAAACGCACTCTTGTAGGGTAGGTAATCTTTCGCAAGGCTACAGCTTGATAGCTGTTGGAGATGTCAACGAAATGTCTTGCACACAAATTGCACGTGTTAGACTCAACTAACCTTTGTCATGCTGAACCTTTTCGTAAATATGCCTATGCGTAAATATGAAGATATTTATTGAAATGCATCTTTGATGGTAATATTTAGGGTAAAATATTCAAAAACCCTTACGATGTTATCTAATGTCAATATAGTACTACCAATGGTAACAACTTTTCTTTGGATCTTTTTAGGGAAGCTAACTCGTCTTGTTGCCTAACTATATAAAGCTTATTTATTTTCAAAATTGTATTAAGTAACTTAACTTTTTTGAACTCACCTCCAACAGCAACAAAACTTCGTCTATGTTGTATGTTACAATCTTTACATAACTGGTCTCAAACTCATAACAGAGAAGGGTTGTGTTTTGCAGCGGACAATCAAAATAATAAAGTTTGGCTCTTCATATTCTCTACGCTCGAACATTTCTAGAGATCCTTAAAACACCTTTTTGCAAAAATGATATTTTTAGAAACATTAGTTCTTAGACATTAAACCTTCCTTTGTTTTTACTTATATTTTAACGTATAAGCAAAAATAAATTCATTTGACCGAAATACCTTGGAGATATTATTATTAGTATGTATTAACACAACAAAGTTGTACTATAGTACTAAATATTTATAAAATATTTCAATAGAGTGCAAGAATCTGATGTGCACAAAAATCAAAGATTACTAACTCTTGACATAGTATCTATCAAGAATAAGTTTCGTCTCAAACAGCCCAAGCACAGAAGAGAAAACATTATATTAAGGCATCTAACACTTGAAGCATACAAGAAGTTTTTGATAACTTTGATATACAGTCTGAATCGTACATGTAATTAACCCACTATAACAAAGTGAAACATCCCTTTTATCTTCTGGTGCAAGTGATGAATCAGTTAAAATAAATAGATCTATTGAGTATAGAAGCAACGCAAACCTTGTCCCCTAACTCATACAGCAGCAGGTGTTTCCTCTTCTTGTTCAGTGCCTTTATCATCTTCACTTCCCTGACCTCCTTTATATGCATTATGCAAAAACTTATGTTCTGAGGGTAAATTTTGTTTGGCTTTACGGCTTCCTTCAACTTTCCATTGATCCCATACCCGAGTTTTTGGTGGTGGTGATGCATCTGCAATTGGTGCAATTAATCCTGGTTTTCCATCATCAATAACACCATCAATTAAACCATACTCCTTTGCTTCCCAAGGATTCATAAAATTATCACGATCAGTGTCCAATTCAATCTGCAGATAAAATAAATTAAAGGGGTAAAAAGTATATAATATAATGAACACCAAACTAATTAGATATTTAGATAAGAAGGTTCCATAGGATATCTAACCTGCTCTTCAGGCTTCCCTGTAACTCTTGATAGTATCTTGTTTATCTTAATCTTGTGATATGCCATTTCTCTTATACGAATGCTCATTTCTGTAGCCTGTAATTACATTTATGCTTAGAACCACCCGGAGAAGAATCATTATACAAGCAAATTTCCAAAAGAACTCATCTTACATATTGGAATTGCATAGTAATTACACCTGAAATTATGAATGCGTAATAGATGGCAAAAACAATTCCAGGTAAAATACTTCTAGTAAGTATCAAAGTATTTAGTAAAACCCATTTATTTTGCAATTAAAAATTTCAGCAGATCTGGTTTCTGCAAAATCATATATGGTATAAGTTGCTTCCTAAACCAATTATATCAAGCTTGCACCACACTAATGCATTTAAATGAAGATAGGCATCATTTTAAGACTCTGCTCAATAAACATGAAGCTCAACTGCAACAACCCGAGTCTGTAAGACCAAAGTGTGATGATGCAGTTGGAGATTCAATCCTCCACAAGGCCACCTATCCTCCTCCCCTACTACTCATATGATTGTGCATCCAACATACCAACAGTGAAAATAAATAAATAAATCACTTCCAAAAGCATCTAATGTCTAGTAAGCAAAAGAAAATGCTGGGTATGTTGTTTATACTAGACTTTGGAACTTGGTACAAATAACAAAGTTTCATGTTTAGATGGCATGATTATAGTGGAAAATTCAGGTAACTTCAGTATTAGCAAAGTTAATGTATTGTGAATGAAAAAGACTATTTTCATGAATTGTGTTTCATTTATTATACCATATTGTAACATATGGAAACAAAATGGTAATTAGCTTAGAAAACATAATGCAAAGACAAATATATTCTTAAACCCTCAAATCAGTCTTTCCCATCCCATGGGATGCATTTGTACCTTCACAATGAAAAGAAAAACTAAATTGCATAAGAGGTTCTTAGGTAAGTGGTTTGGAGAGCACTCAAGGGATTTTAATCCCCCCAAAACAAAAAAGGAAGCACTCAGACCCCTTCCCCCTCCCCTATAGGCCTTGTGGTTGTGGGGCATATCCAGAAAAAACAAAAAATAAAAGGAATAAAGAAATTGGGAAGTTGGACTTAACAAATGTAAGAAACTAAGATAGTAAGAGCCATTATTACCAAAATAAAAAAAAATAAAAAAATGCTAAGAGATGTAAGAAGATAAGTTAAATAATGAAGAACCCCCCATCAAATACACCTTTGGAGAGGGGCGAAGAACTTTAATTGTAACTAAGTCCCGACTCGGGATTAGTCCCATAGCCGACTCAAAGAGCTGAAGCTTATGGGGATACCTAGGGGGCCGACTCGCCTCAGAGATAATTAGGATCAGTATACCCAAAAAAATAAAATAATGAAGAACCCATTACTCCTTGAAATTAATGGTATGCAACTCACTTATAATTCAACCGAGACACACACACACCCATAGCCGACTCAAAGAGTTAAAGCACGCACGCGAACACACGCACGCGAACACACGCACGCGCACACACGCACACGCCCACACACAGAGACAGATAGATGTAAAGGTGGCCTGGTAATATGAGAAAAAATGAAAGAACCACATAAATTAGTTGCTAGTTCAGAATGCCAACATGGCTTGTCAACATGTTCAGTTATCAAAAAATTAGTTATAAAACACAGAAGTCTCAATTAGTGGATAACTGGAGATAGTAAGCAAAAAAGTTGTTTGGTTATTAGCATAAATACAAATCGCATAATTTCACCTAATCAGCTTATTAGCTATAACTTAAGCAACAAATTTGAAGCATTCACGTTGGGGTTTATTATATTTGAAAAGAGAGGTTCTTTCACTCATTTCAAGTTGGAATTGAGTTAGCAAATGTACTTTCACTAAAAGGGAATCTTATGCCTCCCACATCCTATACTTATGAATATATGCTTGAAATCTAAAATCAGCTTAAACTTGTAAGCTGATCATATATTCATGCAAACAAAAATAACCAATGAAAACTTCAGACCTATATGTAATTGACAATAATCAAAGTTAGTGGATATAAGTGGACAGTCTTACTTTTCCACCAGCAGTTCCAAGCGGCTGATGGATCATAACTCTTGAATTTGGCATACAATATCTCTTGCCTTTTGTACCAGTAGCAAGAATAAATGCACCCATGGAAGCAGCTAGCCCAAGGCAAACAGTTGACACATCTGCCTTGCATAACTTCATGGCATCATAAATTCCCATTCCTACATGCAATGATAAAACAAAGGGAAATTAGCAAAAGGCAGATGTATTTCAGATTCATTAACTAAAGAATACCCCATACTTCACTAATACAAGGTTCCTTTCCTATACTCACAGATTCAATACATTCAATCTCTTATTGAGAGAACCTTTTATATGCTATAATGAGATTCAAATTTTCACAAATCTGAATTAGCTTGCCAATCAGAGTGATCAATAATTTCTTGTTTTTATCAGTAAATACAGTAGGGTATAACATGACCTACAATTCATTTCCTTCTTAATTCTATTTTTCTTTTAAGATATATAAGAATGTTGCAATCAACTCAATACTCTATTAGCAGATTGCCTGTTCCCACAAGCACTAAATCATTAATGTGAGCTATTAAAGCCTGAAAGCTTGGGTCGGGTAATAAGAAAGTTAACATCTCTGAGACAAAATCGAGCTCCAGAGTCAACAAACGGACAAGAACAAACGAGTAAGAACAGAGGGTAAAACTTTGTTCACATACCAGCAGTAACAGAACCACCAGGTGAATTTATAAACAGCTTGATGTCTTTCTTTGGGTCTTCAGCATCCAAAAACAAAAGCTGGCTAATGACAAAATCCGCAGTAACATCATCCACCTGCTCAAACAAAACAATTCACAGACATACTATCAAATACCATGTCTCTTCAGTTGCAATTGGCATCCCATGGTTCAGAATGAACCCACACTAACAGGCAAACAAATGTCTCAAAATCTACAACATCAAACAACATATCACCAGCAATTCAACACTATCATATTAATTTTTCTCTTTTTTTTTCTTTTTTCCCTGTTTGTTCATTCTTCTGTTGTGGGCATGGTTTAGAGTGAACCCACATGAACAAGTTTGCAAATTTCCCAAAAAAACATTATCCGAAAGACAAAGGGTGTTCTTAAAACATCGAAACAACAGCAACAAAAACCCAAAAAGATTATATATACATAGAGAGAGAGAGAGAGAGAGAGAGAGAGAGAGAGAAAACCTGAGAACCCAAAAAGACAATCCTTTGACGGAGAAGCATGTTGGTGGTGTCGAGCTCTTCGAATCTGGGAAGCCTTGGGGTAGCGGTTGATGCAGATAAATCAGGGGAAACGAGCCAGTTAGAGGACAAGGTGTGTCTGGTGGTAGAGGCGTTAACGATGAACATGCGTTTTGTTCTTTTGCTTTTGGTTGAAGCTGTGAAGATGGGAATTTGAGAGTGGAAAAGGCCATTGTTGAACTTCAACTTCAAGCTCGGTGGCATACATGTCGACGCTAAACTCAATTCCATCTTCTTCTCTTCCCTTCGTTTTGCTTTGATGCTAATGAGCAGTGAAGCAAAAAACGAATATATTTCCTAATCTTTTATTTCTCTATATATTATGTTTTATTTTCTTACTTAATTAAAATTTAAAAATCTAATATTAATATAAAAATTTAATGCTTTGTAACTTGATTACATCATAATAACATCAATACTAATTAATTTTACATTATTCAAATTTTATTTTTTCTTCTCTTTTCTTTCTTCCCTTTCTAAATATCTGTAATCTCATCAAGTTGTTTACGATGACTAATTTTTATCCGTATAATGTTTGCATTCTTGATTGAGTTGATTTTTGATTCATACTAATATTATTTATAGCAATACTCAAATGAGAATTTTATTCAATTGTGATGCTAAAAATTCATAAAAAATGGTTAAACAAAAAGTTAGTATACCAACCCTTCAGTCTTTAATTTTTATTAATAAAATAACAAAATGTAACTCTTAGAAAAAATTTAAAATCCTAAAAATAAAGAAAATTCTTAATATTAAATATTATGGTAACTAACTTCTAAAAATAAATATAAATATAATTAAATTATTCAAAATATATTCTAAATCTTATATATCAAATCATGACAAATATTTTTCTTTTTCTTTTCTTACTAAACAAATCACAATTATATCTGCTATTTTATTGGACTTGAATTTTATCATAATTTGTTATACAGAAAAATATTTCTGCAGTCACTGCAGATAAGTTATTTGCATTTACTCCCAAAATGACGTTGTTTTGGGATTGAAAAATTAAAAAATTATAATTATAAAGACTATAATAACCCTAAAATAAATTAAAATTACAAAAACATCATGATTTTCGTCCAAAAACGACGTCGTATTGGACTTACTGCATATAACTTATCTGCAATAACCGCACAAAAAAATAAACCATTTGTTATATTTTAAATCTCTGTTTCTTTTAACAATTAGGCCATATTTATTACACTAAACTCTAATCGATTTTGAGCCTTTGAATTAATAATTGAGTGATGTGTAATGGACTGATGCATCAAATTAGATATTGATTGATAGTTACGATTGTAGGATTAATAATAACTGCAGTAACATTTTCAATATCGAAGTGCACTATCAAGCATAAACCATTTTGATTGAAAATCAATTTTTACATAAATATTTTTCACGAAACTAGTTAAAATAAGGACTAACTACGTTTTCATATTTGATTGAATAAAATGATTTTTCTTTTCTTAACTATTAAACATATATTATCATTGTTTGATTAATTTTCTTTCAGCTCAGTAAATAAGGTCAAGACAATATAAAATGTTCCATTGTGAAAACTTGTAGCAACTAGCAACGCAATTCTTATCTGGGATCTCATATCTCCATGGCTCTTTCCTTTTCTCACCATCCTCTTCTTCATGAGAACAAAATCCCTTTTGCTGTGCAACCTCCACGCATACCTTTAACAAAGACCAACAACACATACACAACATGCTTGCTTCAATTCCCATCTATTCAGTGTTGCTCAAGTTTCAACCACAAAACCAGCATCAACCTTAAAACTTGCAAGAATTGCAAAACCCAATTCGACTCTACCCTCAACCACCCTTTAGCTTGTCGATTTCACACTGCCCATTATGGAGGTATACCAGTTGTTGTTTTTTTTTTTTTTTTTTTTTTTTTTTTTTTAGTTTTTCTGTATTAACTCTTGTAATGCATTTTTTATTTCCCTGTGTTATTTATGCCATAACATATGCAAAATGCTGTGTTTTTTGTTGGGGAATATATTCCCAATTGGGTAAATTTTTCATCTTTACTGGCAGAATGTTGATATTCAAGAATATATAAAACTGGGTTTTGACAGCTGAAATGGCATGTTTACATATATTCCAATTGTTTTTCTTTACCTTATTGCCAAAACCAGTAAGGACACTTTAACATAATGAAGCTTCAAAAATATCTTTGAAAATGGTCATTCTCATGCCTTTGAATGTTTGCTTGCTTTCAAATTTGGCCAATTAAGGAACTTGAAAAAGATGCTGACTTTTGCCAGTTCACTAAGTTTAAGTATAAGTGTGGAATTTATAATGTGAAAACAAAAAGAGACAATCTTATAGAAATGCTACCAAATTTATATACATATACTCTCCTTAATTTAAGATATTTAATCTGTTAGGTCTGAAACGAAGTTACAAATATGCATTGACTGCTGTGGTGCCTAAGATATTATTGGGCAGGCATGAGGATATATCTGTTTCTTCTTATGAGAAGATCTATACATCAATTGAGAAGCTTACTTTTGATATGAAATGATCCCTTTAAAAGCTTTCCATGTCTTCATGAAACCTGGTCAAAGAATCCTCAATTTTGCCCTGGAATAGTTGAGCCCAATTAGACAAAGATAACCTCACTTACTTGACTGTGTTCCTTAAACCTGAATTGTTTTTTCCCCCTTATTTTATTTTATTTTCCTTTTGAAATTCTCTGTCTTCTTTGAGTTTACAAATATGGCTATCTTTACTTTCAAACCTGACATCAAGGACATGTATGTGGTTATAAAACCCAACATTAATTGTGTTTCACAAGTCATGACAACTTTAATGTTATATCCAGGATTATATTGTGAATACCCAATTCATTTCAATAGCTAAAGTTTTGAGTTAGTGATATCTGAGACTTGAGATGAGAGGTATAGAAGGGCTTTCACTAAGTGCATTGGTTATCATGGAAATAGTTAGCCACAGCTATCTTCTAACACTTTCTAAAGCTATCACAATGTTTTTCCTAGTTCACTTTCTTGTTGGACATTGGGTTCTTGACTACTTTCTTTTCCTTGGAACTTGAAAGCTACTTCTGTATACTAGTAACTTAGTAGAAATCTCTTTCATCCTTACATAGGACAAGGCATATTACTGTATTAATTTAAGAAGACTCGATTAATTAGTTGGGCTGTTGGGGCATACCCCTATAAACCAGTTCATTGTCTTCATTTGAAGGGGCGACATTTCCTTTTTGGTTGACAAATGAAATATAGATACGAGGATTTTCTAACTCACAAGTCACAAGACCCCACTCATATGGTATATACAATAGTCTGTAGCTTTTCGGTATGCAGGTCTGGATTTTACTTTAAATGTTCCTTCATGTATTAGATGCATGATCTGATTAAAAATTTTGTATTTTGATATTATGTTTGTTCATTTGCATTTACTATTTGGATTTAAGTTGGCCTTGATTCACATATCCTTCTATCTTCCTCTACCACAGGAGAAACTAAGAGAAAGTTTGAGAGTGTGTATGAAGGTGGCACCATGAATACCCCTGATTCTGGCCAAGTTTTCCAGTATTGGCATTGTTGTGGATCTGAAGATCCATTTGACCCTGGTTGCACCGCTGCTCCTCACTCCTCATATGATGACTGATGTAGATGCCATTCATCATCATCCTTGAATCTGTGGTTCACTTTTTCCATTTTGGATTCTTTTAGCTAAATATAGTTTCTGAACTCGTGTACAAAATTATATTGATTCCTTAAATGATTTCCGAAAATTTGTATGTCTTCCTCATGCAAAACAAGTATGTGAGTACACATCTAATCTGTTATCCAGTCCTAATACTTAGTTTCCCCCCACCCCCTATTTTTAGAAGAGTATGATTTACCATGAGCTATTGCATTTAATATTAAATATGAATAAAGGTATATTTTAGGGTATGTTTTGGATTAAGAAGCTGGAAAAGAAGGATTAATTTTTATTGTCAAATTTTGAAATTTTTAAAACTTTTTTAAAATAAAAATATTCAAAGGTTATATTTAATCCTCTTATTTTAAATAATTCTCAATGAGAAACATGTTTGCTTAAAATCATAATTTTGTTTTGCCCTTCAAAGTTCTTCATCTAAACGTATGTTTAAAGGATAGTACATCTTGAATACTAAAAAAAGAAAAAAGAAAAAAGGATAGTACATCTTTATCATGGCTCAGAATACCCTTATAAAGTCACTATAATTCATACATAATTAACAACTCAATGATGATAAATTACACTTATTGGTAACATAACTACTACCAATGAAAGGACGAGCATATATTGGTAGTACTACGGGTTGATTAACTGATTCAAACCGCGGTGACCGAACCGAAAAATAAATAACTGAATAAATTGAAAATCGAAAAAAAATTACAAATTTTAATTTAATTGGATTGGATTGGATTGGATTTCGGATTTATTGAGAAAAATCGATCTAATCCAAACCGATCCAATATATAAATTCTCCTCTACCTACTTGGACCTTTTCTCAATCATAGCCCAAAAAATTATAAACCCAAGACCTATTAATCTATCAACTAATCTAAGAAAAAACATAGTCACATCTCATTAACAAAATTTCATCTGTCTAGAGCTTCATATGTAAAAAAAAAAAACTATATTATCCAACACTGATGCTTTCGTATTTCAAAAATAAATAAATTTACAAAATCAATATATACCAAAGATGTTATTTGTATAATAATTATGAAACAAATTTTAGGATTTTCAAAAAATCGAAAACTGATGCAATCCAAACCGAATAGATGATTACATGATCAAATCGAAGGGATTGGATCGGATGATTTTTGCTTCCAAAATCGATCCAATCCAGATCGCGAACACCCCTAGGTAGTACCTATGATGCACTGACACCGACACCGACACGAAACACGACAAGTTAATTCTAAAATAGTCATATTTCGACACATTGGAACACGTTTTGATATTAAATAATATTTTTAATATATATATATATATATAATTTATATTTAATATATATAACAGCCTATAATAAGTCATATAATCAATCAAATATTCAAATTTCATAACATAAAGAAAAATAATTTTTCGTACCTTGTTAATTTTTCATGTAAATTTCATAACAGAAAAATATTGATTTATAATTTTTTATTTATTTTTAGTCAATAAAATAAAAAAATAAAAAAAATAAAAAAACATAATATGTCGGATGCGTGTCGGAACGCGTTGACCGTGTGTCGAAAAAAAGTGACTATGTGTCAAAAAAAACTTGTCGGAAGATTAATCGCGTGACGGTGTATCGAAACGTGTCAACACGCACATTTTGAAAAAAAAAAAAAACGAGTCCCTGCTTTGTTGGTAGTACAATATCGAAACAAAGGTTGATAATTACACGCTTGCGAAACTACACCAGAATATATGCTCAAATCAACTCGGTTTCTACGTGTCATTTTTGTTCTGAACTCTACAGTGTGGTCAGTTCAGGCAATTTCTCAAGATAAAGTTTCGGCTCCTAATGAATCTTTATTGACCAAAGATATCTCATTATTTTCCTTTAATAGTGTTTTATTTTATTTTATTTTTGGAGATATTCCAATTGTTTAAGTGCTTCGCCGCTAACCCGATTCGGGGCGAATCTCGAGATTTAAAGCTTTAAGGGCTTGTTTGGTGTGACGTATAAGACATGATAGTATAAGTTTACACTATACGTTATGACATTTTCAGTTATTTAGTATGACCATCGGATAGTATAAACTTATACAGCATAATCCCTTAATACATCAAAACGATGTATAACTTAATCCGGCCTAAGAGTGAGAGATAAGGCCTGATAAGAGATTGATGTATTAACATATATCGTTGATCAATGTAATTTTCAAAAATTAATATATTATTTTAATATTATTCTATTAAAATAAAAATTAATTTTTCAATATGTTAATTTTAAAATATTGAATATTTTTATTTTTATAAAAATTAATTTATATTTTAGACACACTGATCAATAAATTTTTATAAAAATTAATATCATATGACATTTTTTGAAGAATTATATAAATTCTTTATTAAAGGATATTTTTATTAAAAATATTCATTTTATCATATATAGTATTATACAGTGTATTACCAAATACTAGATGATATTATCTTATACAATATATTATTTTATACAATATTGTGCCAAATGCTGGATATTATTAAAATTCAATCAGGTCATCAGACTTTATCCTATAGTATGCACCAAACATGGCGTACACCTCTCTAAAAAAACGATACCTTAATAGTGTTTCTTATATGTCACAGGGTCCACTAATCTATAAGCTAGAAACAATATTTTTCTACAACTATGCTACAGGAGACAAATAGAGCCAACATAGTATTCATATTTCACACTACTTTACTAAAGCTATTTCCTCTAATCACTTGGTTCTGTCTGTTTAAGTCTGATGTTGTCATGATTATTAAACTGTTTATGTTAATCATTTATTGCTTTTTGACTTCAAGTTCAACTTTGCTAAGCAAAATATTAGCTATGAACGGACACGGTGCATGCATCCGCGTAATTGCATAGTATTTGCTATGACATGTCACTCTCAACACGGTGTAATCGTTAAGTAATCAATTGTTTACATCCTTTATAAGTATATCATCATCACTTGCCTACAATCCATTCCACTAATTAATAATATTGCTTGAGCTACTCATACAGTTCCTAAACTTCATAGCAAAGAAAAAACTTAAGAATATTTAATAGAGCTGTGTTCACTTGTTATCAATGGAAGCAACCAATCTTGGATGTTGCAAGCTTTCATGGAGGCTAGTTTCCAAGAACCTTACAAGCCAGAGACCACACAGCAGGCTTATGGTTAGAACGAGCTTCGAGGATAAAGATCATTTTGGGAGCTCAGTGGATGAGAACATGATAGTGCTGCGTTTGCGGATAAAGGAGATGAAGATGTTGGAGAAGAGTGAAGAGGCTCCTTCTGATTGGATGGAGTTGGAGAAGAGGTTTTATGGTCACTATGATGAAGATGTTTTTGAAGCAATAGGGTTGTTGCAGTCTTATTTGATGAGCCTCAGGCCAAGTGTTGCATTAGGGATGTTAGTTCTTGTAGCTTTGAGTGTGCTGATAACTTCCGGGATGGGCTTGTTTCATGCCATGAAGATGGCAAAGATCCTTCTATATTGCTTTGATTCAATGTGAGATAGATTCTGCTGAAAATTAGTGGATTCCTTGGCCCAGAATTGAGCTACAGAACTATGGTTGGAATGATAGATTCCAACTCGATCAGATAAAATCTCGAAAGTTAAACTTCATGTACTCTTAAACGTTAAGCAATATTTGTGTAATATATTATTAATAGAAGCAACCAATTTTGGATGTTGCAAGCTTTCATGGAAGATAATTGTGATAAAAACCATTTGGGGAGGTCAGTGGATGAGAGCATGATAGTATTACATTCGCGTATAAAGGAGATTCAGATGTTGGAAACCAAGTGTTGCATTGTAGATACTAGTCCTTATCAATCTTATTAAACTCGAACTGGCTATCGACTTAATCAGAGTATCGGATCAATGGGTTACTAGTCACTGATTGAATCGCATGATCTAGATAGATAGATATAAATATATATTTTAAAATTAATTATATAATAAATATTTAAATTGTGCAATTTAAACAACAAGTAGCCTAGTGGTAAGTAAGTACTATGATGTATATCCCTATGACAAGGTTTCAGTCCCCACTAGCTGTAATTTTTGAATATTATCCAACAATTGAGGACAGCCTTGTGATAAGTGGTAGCGTCTCTATCGGGTATCAGTTGAATTGCGGTTCATCACCGGATTGATTGAAGGCTTCAACTCTTTTAGTCGGCTACGAAACTAATCCAAGTTGTGACTTAGTGCTTATAGCTTTGAATGAGCTATAATTAGGTTTTAAGGCATAAAATTACCTGATACCAAAGAGTACGCATATTTGACACAAAGAATAATACATGAATCACAATTAGGATACGTGTGTGGAGGAGTGAAATTATTTTCATTTATTATACGTACAAAATCTTGTAGCCTTAATTGGCCATTTTGTGGCCTCTCCTTATCATAAACCATATGAATTTATCTAGCCATCATAGCAAAGCCCACAAACCCAATACACTTCTCGTAAGTTAAAATGCCCACAACAGCTCGACAATAAAAAGTAATCGTAAATGATAAATAATCTCCGTGACATTAAATATTTTATCTGTGCAGACGTGAGAATGGTTTCAGTTTTGACTCGTGACACCTTCCTTCTTAGGTTTCTTTTTGACGTCCTTAAGTAGTTATAAATGTTAGATACTTTTTGATACCAAAAAGGAAAGAATGATATTTTTATCTAACCCTCTTATATATAATTTTTACAAGTTCTTCACCAATCGTTTGCTTATTTAATTATTTTGATGTGGTGGATGTTTCTTTGGACATAATTCACTTAGACACAAACAATAGAAAAGTGAAAGCATATGAACTTTGGAATTTGAAGGAAGGTTTCGATGAATACAACATTTGGACAACCTTTAATTTAAAAATTTTGATATTCCAATGTTCATATGTGGTGGACGATTTTCAAGATTCCTGTCCTTTGATGAATGTTTTGTTTAAATTGTAGAGTGGCTAACAGTATACCTTCCGTGTTTATGTGGAAGTTCCTTTAATCCCTTACCTCCTTCGAAATGCATGTGCCACCTATGAGGCAAACAAAACAATAAACAAAAATTCTACGCACAATTATAAAGCAAAAGGAAATTGCACATTGATTTATTTTGTGCTCATAATTTCTGAAGAAAAATTTCCTACACACTGAATCAACCCTTGAACCTTCTTTTTAGAACTAAAGAAGGTTGCAACAAACAACTCTATGGTCAAGCAATATGATGATATGATTTTTTGACGTGAGTGAGATGGATGAGCAAATTAAGCCATCTCCTAATATATTAGTACAGTGTCGAATATGCCACGATGAGGATGAAGACTCAAACATGGAGACACCCTGTTCTTGTTGTGGCACCTTAAAGGTAAGAATGCCTTGCTAATTGCTTTTGCAGTTTAGTTTGTGAAATTTATTCGCATAGCTTTATACTTGTGCTAGCTAGCTCGTCCTTCTACAAAGTTATTTTTGAGGTTGTGTTCACTTAACATAAACTTTTAAACCGAAAGGATTAAACCATGGTAATTGCTTAACTTTTTAATATACTTGCCAACTTATTGAAGCTGTGTATTAATGTGTTAGTTTGTTGATCTTCAATATCAGCTAGTTAACTTTCATAAATGTGCATATCTGTTAGGATTGTTATATGCACACTTATGGTTTTGAGCTCTCTCTCTTTTTCTTTTGATCATTGTAGTATGCACATAGAAAATGTGTTCAAAGATGGTGTGATGAGAAAGGTGATACTACCTGTGAGATTTGCCAACAGGTGATCTACACCCTGCTATTATCTTATTCACATTTTTGTATTCTCAATTATAAGGTATTCAAACTTATGAGAAAGTGCTTACTGTGGTAACTGCAGCAACTTAAGCCAGGCTATACTGCACCGCCACCACCTCCCCTAACATATTATGGTGGTTCTCCAACAAATTTTGGGTATCTGTTAATCAGTTAGTGTACTTTATATTTTGTTTTTCTATGAACAAATGATGATAGAAGATTGCTATCTCAGAGGGAACTGGGAGATTTCAAGAAGGGATCTTCATAATCATCACTTCATAGCATTATTAGCAGCTTATCGCGAATTCCTAGACCCTGAAATTGAATATCCAGCACCCTCTACAAGGAGCCTGATATGCTGCCGAATTATTGCTATTATAGTAATTTCCTTTTGCTACCTTCACATGTTTGTGTTACATAAAGAAAATGGAAAAAGGAGGGTGGTAGGAAAAAATGACAACTTAAACAATTGATTTATGAGGATTGTGACAGTGACAACTTTCTAGATTTGTGTTTTGTTTTAGTGTTATGTTACCTGTTTTTCCCTTGCTAATCTTGGTTTCTTACAATAAGGTTGTTACCATATGATTGCAGTTTATTGTTCTTCTTGTTTTACGCCATACACTTCCAATCATATTTATAATCAGTGGAGGGGGAGAGTATTCATTGATAGTGTTTATGGTAAGGGAATATTGATATCTTTCATAATGGAAACAATTGACAACATTTTTCACGCATTAGTATAGAAGAAAAATTTGATTTCTTCAATGCATTGCAGTTCGAAGGATTGAGAATTATTGGAATAATGGTACCAGTGTATATAATGGTTAAAGCTATTATTGCTATCCAACGGCTTCAATATCAGGTTAGCAAACTCTATTTTTGTTCTTAAACATTTTTATTTTTTTTCAGTACAAGGTTCTTAAACATTTAAGTGAGATTAGAACGGGAAATGAATGATTTTCAAGTTTAATGAATTTCTGTAGAAAAGGAGAGAAGTAGCAAAAAGTAAAGGAAAAGGAAAATTTGAATAAAATGGAAGTTTAATCTTTTGTTAATGCGTATTGTACTTCTCTTGTACTAATCTACTACAATTGCATATCCAGCACATGCATTTGTTTGCAACAAGCTTATAACAAGTCCTTATTCATATTGTATTACAAATTACAATGTACTAATCTTAGGCAAGGGAAATCAGTTTTTTTATTTTTCTGCACAGGATCATCATACCCCAATGCAATCACTTGGGGAAAATGACATGGGGCACTCTCAGTTTCGTGTCATTCATATTGGGTGATTCCATGGTCAACTTCAGATGAAGAAATTGCTAAGACGTTGAAAAGATAAATCAGAGTGGAGTCATGATCATCTTTTACTTGCAGGGGTGGTGGAAAAAGACCTAAATTTTAGAGAAAATTGATGTATTTCCCTGCAAAAGTCAATCAATGTAACTAGATGCTGTTGTTTATATAATATATAGCTCCATGTTATTGGAAAAGAAAAGGATGGGGAAGATCATAAGCATGGACGAAGTACTACATTGTACATTACCATGACCAACTATATTGCTAACAGCAAAATAAAATGGGTACTCATCATTTTAAAATAAATGAATGATTGTGTATAATTTATTTATTTTTGGTACACATTGTATATATTTCCTTACCAATTACATGGAATTGTCCTCTATATGCAGATAATATGTACCTCTGCCTATAAATGATCAGTTGTAGGTCGTTAAGAGATGTAATGATTAATTTACAAAGCAACTTAGTAAAGCCAAAAATACATGTCACGACCAAGTAACTTCGTTGATAAAAGTTAGTCAACGGATATTGGCTTGTATGGGAGTTTGCTCTTTATTTTGGTCTCAAATATTTAAGGATGTGTAAAGAAAAATAATCAGTTTTGATAATTCGTCCAACATATAAAGACCCGTCTGAATCAATCCATTACCTTTAAATCTTTTACCAAATTACCCAAAAAATGGAAATAAAAACCGTAACCTTCAAAACCATCCCAACATAATAAATAAAACCAATCCTTTATGTATTAATGACTATATAAAAACCCAAAGTATATTGCACTTCTAAAATCGAAGTTGCTAGGAGTGAAATCCTACACACCAAGTCTTCTACATCTTGTTTTTAAAGTGAATTAACTGATAAATTTCACCTTCTAGGAAAAAATTATAACAAAACACATGCTTAGCCAAAGAACAAAACCAATTGATTTTCTAGACGCATTATTTCTCAATTCTACAGTACAAATAACTACTCACATGAAATAGTGCAGTCCGTAAATACGAATGCTTTGTATAATAACATGGGCCACATAGAAACCTCACCACCTCAGTCCTCAATTCTATCGTTTATTCGTATGCACCGCACGAGTAATATGAAAACGTGGAAGTTTCTCCAGAGAGAAATCAGGAATACCGATAAGACCACCCCTTTAGGAGCAAAGGCCAAGGACGCACTGGAACACGCATTTAAATTCTCATAGACTTCTTGCAATGCAGAAGAAATAGCTAGATTTGAAAAGCAACCATAAGCAAAAAAGATAACATAATGATACCGAGGAAAAATCTCATACCATAATTTTACACTAGTCCAGACACAACAGCACACATCACAATTCCAAGTTTTAAACCATAACCAAACAACACAAAGGGGGCAACCAGACCCTTTATTCGAAACAAAAGACACAAGCAAAGAAAGGAAAAGTAAACAACTCGGGCACATTATTCCTTCTCTGATTCTGATTCCGCATTCTGAAGCCACTCAATGAAAGGTCTAACATTCTTCCAAATCTGAGAGTTCTTGTTATCGCCCTTCGGCCCCTTTTGATACCACTGCACTATGTGCTCTTCCTCCAACACATCAGCATCGTATAGTGCCTTCAACACCAAGGCAACCTCCTTTAATGCATTGGAGGTGGACTTGCAAGAAAACTCCTCAATTGCACGCAGCAATAACAACTGCGAAGCCTCTTCCTCAGCAACTGCAGCAGCAAGGTAGCTCTTCTTCTTAATTGCTTCTTTTGCAAAGCCTTTCTCAATGCCCTCAAATAGGGCTTCATAGAGAGCGCTCATCTTTTCTTGATCAGATGCAGAAACTGCTGCCAGTTCAGACAGCAATTCTTTTGCTTTAACACCTTTCTTCAAATTTGCTTTGACTTCCCCAACCACTGTCCTGGAGTGCATAGAGTTACCATTCTCAGAATTATCAATTACCTTGGCTGCTTTCTCCTCCTTCTCCGTTTCATTTGTGGAGAGCATGACCATATCAGCTGTCACAGCACTTAACTGCTCTTGAATGCGTTGACGAGCAGCCTGTAGTGATGTATCTGTTTGCCATTGTACATCATCATTCTCCTCATCTTCTTCATGAGCCTCATTCTTCTCATCAGTTTGACTGTGAGTAGGAGATGTACGGTCTTCATCAGAGCCATTTCCTTTTTTCCTTGAAGTGCTAGATTTTGTGGTGCCATCCTTAGAAGATGAAGTGCCTTTCTTCTTAACCTCTTTCTTCAGTTTTTTCAGTTCCTCATCAGCTGCTTCCCCTTCCTTCATTCTCTCCTTCTCAGCTCTCCTCATGGCCTTCTTGTCTTTGGATCCTTTCTTTACTTCAGGAGGGTTCTTAATGATGAAGGTGGTCAGCTTGTCTCTCATATCCACATCAGACACAAATCCACAAGCAGCACACTTCAGCTGGATCATTTGATTCTTAGTAATCAAGATCTCAGTTTCAGGATTTCCACAACCATAACACTGGACATATTTCTTAATGAAGATCTCAAGAAGGCCAGCAAGCTTTGCAGTGTCATGTGCCCCATTAACATGAGACGTGCCAGTCTTCTCATCAAATTTTGACTGGGCACCAAGTTCACAGCCAAAATATTTTGTTGTGTAAGTGGCCGGTCTTGCCAATGCTTTAGCAATATCAACCATGTTGACAATATTTGTTTTGATACCATTACCCCTACCTTCAATTTTTGTTATCATTTTAGGCATCTTATACCTATAGAAGGCATCATCACTATTACCAGCACCAATGTTCTGTAAGGCCATGATGACTCGAACACTGAAAGTCTCAAAGAAACACACTAGATGCCACAGGCAGTAAATGCTGGAATTCAAAGTATATTCAGCTGCAATGTTGATTCTGCTGACTGTAATCACAAAGACTCTCCTTCAGCAATTACAGTAGGCTTCCAACAGCAACTACAGAGCTCAGGATGTTCCTGGTATGGCGCACGATGCATACAGCTAAGTCTTTTTGGCAAAGGCCTGTTCTTTTTTCTGGAAGACGAAAAACACTCTCCAAGCAACTCAATTGCTCCCAAATGGATAATAGCCCGTTCAAACATGAAAGAAACTTCAACGTGACACCTTCACCTTGGAATCTGCTGCAGAAGAACTTGCAGGAATCCTGCATCAACAACCGCAAGCTTCATTACTTCAATTACAAGGGGGAAATGCTTGATGTTGACACTTTCCGAAGGAGACAATTAAGAAGTAGGAAAAAAAACAGTTAAAACCGCAATTCATTTGCACCGAATAAAAGTCATCAAAATAAATATATACCAGATAAGACAAGGAAGAAAAACAAGAAATAATTATAATGCATATTTCCTAAGCCTAAAAAGACAAAAGTTACAATCTAACTCCAAAAGCAACATGCAAAGTGGCTTAAATAGTTGACAGGTGTTCTATTTTTAACATCAAGCAGATCTATTAAACAACAACAACCTTCCTAGCCTATCCTTATCCCACACAGTGAGATCTTCTACGTAGATTAATGGGCCCCATTTGGCTCTATCAAAAAACCATAATTGAAACAAATGAATCCAAAATAAAGCACATATGAAACACCTCCAACAGGCTTAATTTCAACCGAAACATTGACATAAAATTACACCAGAAAAACAGGTAACTTTCTATAATCATCAACATCATCATCACCTTTGTTCCAAACTGGTTCGACAAACTTTCCATCATCATAATATAAATTTTAATACGAATACAACAAGTACGGTAAGTTTTATCGCCAAATGCTTGAGATCGATGAAAACAAAACGATGCAACCAGATGATTGCCAACAAATATTCAGATCTAAATCATATCAAAATCAAACCCTCAAAAAATAAATCAAAATTAACAAATAAATCAAACAACAGATATAGCTAAAACATGAGACTGATTAGACGATCTATATTTTTCAAGATAAAACTTGAAATCAAGATAAACAAACATCCAGATAAAACTTGAAATCAAAATAAATAAATAAATCATCAAATAAAATAAATTTAAAAAGAAGAAAAAAACGATAAAGGAAAATCAGAAAGATAAAATACAAGAAAAGATGAACCCTAACGGTAAAGGCGATACCTGCAGGGGATTGAGATGAAAACACAGGCAAAACCGAAGCGAGAGAAAGAGAGAGGGAAAGTGTTGAGATGAGAGGGTGCGGCTCAAAAAAGATTGTCGTAGGCACAAGGTTTAGCATTAACATTGCCCCTTTTATATAGAACCAATGAAATGCCCTTCCTATGTGCAAACTATTTTTTTTTTTTTTTAATTTTATATTATATTTTATATTAAAAAATTATAAATAATCATACAGAATACTATATATTTTTTTTCATTAGGATAAAAGTGGTAGGATACCTTAATTATTAATCACTTAAATATTTTATTTTGAAATTTTTGTAGATTGATATATTGTAAAATTGCATATATCTTATAATTTAATTACTAAAATTTTGTTTTATTTTTTAGTATTTTAAAATGGGAAAGGATATTGTGACAATCAAGTTGTGTTACTACCAAGTGACTACCAATCAATCTCACCGTTAGATCGATTATGTTGATCAAACGGTTATATTTATTTCCATCTTTGTATGGTTATGATTTTCCATATTTAAAGTGAAAGCATTAAATATAGGAAATCATTACCATACAAAGGTGAAAATAAATAAAAAGTATTAAATTTGGGGAATCATGACCATACAAAGATGAAAATAAATATAACCGTTGGATCAAAGTAATCGATCTAACGGTAAGATTGATTGGTAGTCACTTGGTAGTAACACAACTTGGTTGTCACAATATCCTTCACAGTATTTAAATTGAAAAATAGATTTTGTATAAAGCGGATTCACTCAAATTTAAATTATTATTGTTGGAATTAAAATAATGATAAAAATTAAATGAGTTGAAGATTTACGGCTTTATATTTCTCATTTAATAAGAGAAATATAAAACTTTCTACAAAGAGAAAAAAATGGTGGAATTCACATTTTAAAAAATATAAGCCAAGCATACTAATCGAAGGGTCAGTGACACAGTGACATGAGAAATCATTTATCCTTTTGTAAGAAAAGTGTTTTTCCTTGTTATCAAAAAAAAAAAAAAAAAAGTGTTTTTCCTAGATTTTATGAGGTGAATATTTAATCTTTAAATAAATAGAGAAGAAGGTAGCAAAGAGAGTGTTAGAAAGAGGAAAACATAGAGCATGTCTAGAGACATTATCCTAAACATTAAGAGGGGATTACCATTGCAGACGTCCATATTCTTTTCTTTTTTTTTCGTTTTTGTTAATTTATGGCGGTGTGTCTTCTATGAATTAAGTTGTTTTGTATTTGGGTAAATGATTTTTGCTTCAAAAACAAAGAAAAATTCTTTGACATTGAGGAAAACATAGAGCATGTCTAGAGACATTATCCTAAACATTAAGAGGGGATTACCATTGCAGACGTCCATATTCTTTCTTTTTTTTCGTTTTTGTTAATTTATGGCGGTGTGTCTTCTATGAACTAAGTTGTTTTGTCTTTGGGTAAATGATTTTTGCTTAAAAACAAAGAAAAATTCTTTGACATTGAGGCATAAAATTCATGCTTTCTTTTTTATTATTTTCTGTTTCTATCACTTTGTTTTGGTGGCCGAGAGAATTTTTTCTCCTTTTGAAGCAGAAATCATTTATCCTTTGTATTTTTATTATTATGAGTAACTAAATTACTTTTTTGATAAAATAAAAACGTAACTCAATTTAAATGGTAGTGTAGTTGGATTCTTATTGATTTAATTTAATATTGTGTAAGAAAATTAAAATTTACTCATGACTCTCGTTATTTGATAAATATCATAACCATGAATTGTCAGTAGTAGAGGTCAGTGGTTGTGTGGGATTTATTGTGAAATTCTTCAAATCATTAATCTCTTTATTTGTAGAATTATAGTTCACGCATTAATTAGGTTTTAAGAACTGAATGTAATTGATACATCAAGAAATTAAGTATTAATTAATTTAGAGAATCTTTATACTAATTGATTAATTAGAACTTCTTTAGGTTGAAATTTTAAATACTAGATAGAAAAATCTAGTAAAATCAAACCATACTTAATATCAAGTTATTTGTTTTATTTTTTCTTTTCTTTTTTTGTTTTTCTTTTTTTGTTGAAATCTTTATTGGAATCAAATCAGTACCTAAATAGTAGTTGAATTAAAGAATAATATCTGACAACTCAATCGTCACGATACTATTTAATATTCTACTTTACGCTTGATTACTTTTATAATTTGGGTGCACTTGCTAAATTAATCATCAACATCCATCAAATATAAAAAATAATACACATGTTATACATTTAAAGTGGAATAACATCAATGGTTTATCTCAAAATTGAAAAACTCTAATTACAGAGTAGGAAGTTGATGAGTAATTAAAACTAGTTATAATTCCAATGTAGATGAAATTTAGAATTTCAAGATGATAAATGGGTCTCAACTCTCATGTCAAGGTAGAATCTTCCAGCTGTGATGGCTGCTGTAGCGGAAAAGAGAAAATGGTTAATTTCTTGGGCAGATGGGTTATGTACGATTAACTAGGGATAATTATTCAGAAGCTTAGAGATGTAAAAGAAGATAGATCTGTGAAAATGGGCAATAAACATCTCAAATGTAGCTGTACAAAAAAAAAGTGTCTTGCATCAATTTATAGACTATGAAGGGGACTTTTTTCATATATAAAAATGGGAAGAATTGTAATTACAAATTTTTTATTTATAAATTCTTATAAATTATATTATAAAGATAAATTATTTTATCTACCATTTTTTTGTCTACCTTTGTCTACCACTCTAAAGTTGTGTTTGGTCGAGGATATCTCATAAGATAGATGGGAAAAAGTCAATTGAAAATATAATTTGACCATGTTTGGTTGTCTCACTTTCATCATTTGCCTACCTAAACTATTCCCCAGCAAATTGATTTTCATATCAAACTCTCCAATAATGAAGGCAAGATATTTCCAATTGTGATGTTGTATTTTGCGTTCCCTTGATAAATAGTACCAAAAGTAAGAATGAAAATTACTATCATACTAAACTATTTAAAGGTAAAAGGATATCATATGTGATTCAAAATATTTAAAAATAAAGGGTATTTTGGTAATTGCAACTCATTTTTCCATCAATATTTTAACTTAAACCAAACATAGACTTTAAAATATTTACAAAAATTCTCCAATAAATTTTTTTTCAACCAAACAAATTTTTTTTTATTTTTCCTACCAAATTCACTTTCCAACCATTTCTCTGGTATTTAAAAATTTTCTCCTCAACCAAACAACCTCTAAAAAACCATTATATTAGAATCTTAATAAATATTTTTTTTCTCTCCTCTTTATATTCTGATCTAATGATATTTGAAAGTAATAGGCAGAAAAAATAATAGATAAAATAACATATCCCTATATAATATATTTTCAAAAATACACTAAATTAAAATACATAGTACAATTTATAAAAATTTATAAACAAATCATTTCTCAATAAAAGTTGTCTTCGTGTAATTATGTACACAGCTAGAGCCTAGAGAGTACACATGTGAAAAACACAATGATTAGACATGACATAAAACGGCATCAATAATATCCAGGCGGGCTTTGTTAAAACACAATAATCGTCGAGAAAAATATATCACAACCACACTACATAAAACTCACTGAAACGTACATATATCATGCAAACAAACAACATTGTCCAGAAAGACATGCACTCCACCCACAACTTAAAAAGTTTAGAGTAGTAGTTCAACAACACAAGGGCCGGCAAGACCCTTTATTCGAATTAAAAGACACAACACAACCAAACAAAGCAACGGTGAATATAAGAACATCATTGTTCCTCTATATTATGAAATGAGCACACATTATTCTTCCTCTGATTCTGATTCCGCAGTCTGAAGCCAATCAATGAAGGGTCGAACATTCTTCCAAATCATAGAGTCCTTGTTATCGCCTTTCAGCCCTTGTTGATACCACTGCACTATATGATCTTCATCCAACACATCAGCATCATAGAGTGCCTTCAGAACCAGGCCAACCTCCTTTAATGCATTGGAAGTGGACTTGCAAGAAAATTCCTCAATTGCACGCAGCAATAGCAACTGCAGAGCCTCTTCCTCAGCAACTGCAGCAGCAAGGTAGTTCTTCTTCTTAATTGCTTCCTTTCCAAACCCTTTCTCAATGCCCTCGAATAGTGCTTCATAGAGAGCACTCATCTTTTCTTGAGCAGATGCAGGAAGTGCTGCCAGATTGGACAGCAATTCTTTGGCTGTAACACCCTTCTTCAGATTTGATTTGACTTCCCCAACCAGTGTCCTGTAGTGCATAGAGTTACCATTCTCAGAATTATCACTCGCCTTAGTTGCTTCTTTCTCCTTCTTCTCCGGTTCATTTGTGGAGAGCATGACCATATCAGCTGTCACGGCACTTAACTGCTCTTGGATACGTTGACGAGCAGCATATAGTGATGTATCAGTTTGCCATTGTACATCATCGTCATCTTCATCATGAGCCTCCTCTTTCTCATCAATTTGACTATGAGCGGGCGAGACACGATCTTCATCAGAGCCACTTGCTTTCTTCTTCAATGATGTGGATTTTGTGGTGCCATCCTTTGAAGATGAAGGGCCTTTCTTCTTAACCTCTTTCTTCAGTTTTTTCAGTTCCTCGTCAGCTGCTTCCCCTTCCTTCATTCTCTCCTTCTCAGCTCTCCTCATGGCCTTCTTGTCTTTGGATCCTTTCTTTACTTCAGGAGGGTTCTTAATGATGAAGGTGGTCAGCTTGTCTCTCATATCCACATCAGACATAAATCCACAAGCAGCACATTTCAGCTGGATCATTTGATTCTTAGTAATCAAAATATCAGTTTCAGGATTTCCACAACCATAGCATTGGACATATTTCTTGATGAAGTTCTCGAGAAGGCCAGCAAGCTTTGCAGTATCATGTGCTCCATTAACATGAGAAGTGCCAGTCTTCTCATCAAATTTTGACTGGGCCCCGAGTTCACAACCAAAATACTTTGTTGTGTAAGATGCTGGCCTCGCCAAAGCCTTTGCAATATCAACCATATTGACAACATTGGTTTTGATGCCATTACCTCTACCCTCAATTTTGGTAATCATTCTAGGCATCTTATACCTATAGAAGGCATCATCACTATTTGCAGCACCAATGTTCTGTAAGGCCATGATGAGTTGCAAAGTTTCAGAGATGCTCAGAGGCAGTAAATGTTGGAATTCAAATTATATGCAGCTGCAATGTTGGCCTCTAAGGCTGCTTGTACTCCTGAAGACTCTCCTTCTGTGATTATGGAAGGTGGCCAACCGCTACCAGAAAACGCAGAGATTTTCTGATTAGTCTCACGATGCATACAGCTAACTCTCAGCGGCAAGGGTCTGTAATTTTTTCTAGAAGAAGAAAAATACTCTCCAAGCAGCTCAATTGTAGCCTGTTCAAACATGAAAGAAATTTTAACGTGACTCCTTCACCTTGGAATCTACCACAGCAGAACTTGCAGGGATACCAAGCCAACAACTGAAAGCTTCAATATTTGGACGGCTGGATGGATGCTGTAAGGCTTATGTCTACAATTCAAATTCAAAAAAAAAATTACAATATTGAAACCACAATTCAAAATCATAAACATAAATATAAATGAAATCAACGAAAACAACCTAGGCAAAATACAACAGCAACAACCAAGCCTTATCTCAGCTCAATGGAAAAAAACGCTCTCAACAAAACCATGCAGATAAATGATTTCTCCTAAAGTTTTCTTATATCTGTGTATGGTTATCTTTTCCCAAACTTAACACACCCGTACACAAGCCTGGGCAAGAGGGGTGGCTCAATTGCCAAAGCAAAATTTTGTAGAATCTTCATTACATAAAATCAAAGATACAACGGGAAAAGAAAGAAAGAAGCACAAGGAAAGAATAAGTACGAAGCATATACCCTAAAGCATAAATTGAATCGAAGTTACAATTCATCTGGAAAAGTAAACGGCAAAGTAGCTTAATTAAAAGTAGGGGCGTTCTTCGTAACAGCTTAAATAATGAAAAACAGACTCATTGAAAACCTAAAGGCTTAACTTTTATCAAATTCCCCAAATACAAAAGACCCACATATCAAATTAGCCCCCTTTGCTGATTCAAACTCCCCACATAGATTCAAACTCATTGAATACGCATGCTACCATTCATGATGATTGTTATTGTTGTAAGAAAAGCATCAAGAACTACAATCACTATCATAATTACTATTAACATCAAAAAAACAAAACCATAGGCAGATGCAAACAAGAACAATAATCACATGAAAAGAGATCCACAAAACTAGAAAAGTTGTACCTCAGATCATAAACCACGGTTATGGAGACAACTGCAGAGAACACCGATTAGGGATAGAGTTTGGGGTTTTGAGTTTGAGATGGTGCGGCGGCGTTGTGCTATCTGTCTTATATATACAAAAAAAAAAAAAATTTAAAAAAAAAACATAATATAACGTAGCGTTGGTTGAGGGTATTTAAGGGATTTAATTTCTCCACAGTTCGGTTATGATTTGTGGTATCAAACCTACCACATCAATCTCAATTTCGATTCAATATCAGCCCTTCATCATGCTGACTCTTTCCACATTCTTCTCAAACCTCGACTTGTAGCCGTTCATCACACATCATCATAGCTTAATAACCTCCACGAAGTCATCCAATTCTTTACGGCATTTCTTTACTGCGACAGTGTTTTTTTTTTTTTTTTTCCCTCAAAATATCGTCTATATTTCTATCAAGATCTCTATGCAATTATCTACATCTTGTATGACTATACTATTAAAATTAAAAAATTTATTGTATAAATTGTTATCAGTTTAAATTATTTATTGATCAAAATTAAGAAAATAAAAAAAACTAGTATTTTTGTATTAATTAAATTTCACTAATTTAACAACTTTATATATATCATCTACATTAAAGAATTATATACAACACTGGAGTTTATGTTAACATAGCGAAAAACAAGTATTATGTTCCATTACCATTTTTATATAATACTATAGAGATAATTATTATGAGGTTCACTATTTTAAAAATAAAAAATATTAATATATATATATATATATATATATAATTCAACTTTTGTCGTGCAACGTTACAAATACAAAACCCTTTAACATATACATAGGTCTCTATACCCCTAGAAATGCAATGCTTTATCTTAAAAGATTTTTGATAAATCTACGAGGGACGTTTGGTTGAGGAGAAATATTATGAATAATAGAAAAATATTATGTATAGGGAAATAGGTGGGAAGTGAGATTGGTAGGAAAACGTAAAATAAAATTGTTTGGTAGGAAAAAATTTACAAAAAAAATTAAGTAACTTTTGTAAAGTCTATGTTTGACTGTAAGTAACATATAGATGAAAAAATGCAGCGGTTATTACAAAAATAACCCTGAGTACAAAAATAATCCTCATCAAACAGAGAGTGAACGTTCACAAGATCAAGCAGTTTCATAGCCTCCCTCTTCCGCTCCTTACTCTGGAAATAAACCATGTTCTTCTGCATCTCTTGAAGAACCATGAAAAGCTCTTCAGGCACATCAGGTCCTTGCTTTGTCTCGCTAAGGATTCAAGCCTCGTTTGGTCTTCCTTCTCAACATTTATAATCAAACCTTTCGCCGCTTCAACTTCATCAATCCTTGGTCTAGCTGGCAAAGATCTATGAATCCTCATTATCTCTTCCACTACTCCATCAACCGATGACCAAGACTCCGTCTTTCGTTACAATCACACTAACCCCACAAACACCCAGATTCTAAATCCTCGATATTATTACCCAAATTTCAAAACTTGAACACAATACCCAACTTGAAAAAATCTTGGTCTTTGGAAAGTGACATATCTAAACAAGTCTGCAAATAGAGCTCCCTACGACATTGTCCTTTCGTATATTAAACAAGGGGTACGCTTGTCTTTTTTTAGTATGCACAGTGAGCAAATATGAAGGTTTTCAACAATATCACCTTGCAAAAGGGCAACTTTGGCCAACAATATCAGTAGAAATAGATAGGGAAATACGACTGAGTGCAATCAGAATTAGCTAGCTAAGTCAGGAACACCTTCAACCAAACGATGGTTTCTTCCTTTTCCACTTCTCATTTATCTATCATTCTCAATAGAATCCTTCAACCAAACAAGCCCCGCACATGTAGCAAATATCTCATGTTGTCTTAACTTGGTATCATTTTAAATTATTCATATGCACGGATTTGATATCTCACACCCACAATACTATTTAACATATTTATGGGTTACTTATCTTGCAACAAGCACCATATTTTATCTTAAAACAATATTCAAATTTAGTTTCAATTTTACGTGATATAGAAAACAAGGGAAATATGCCAAAATATAAAAACACGGAATTCATGTGAGAGTTGATAAAAGTGCTATCTCTTTCTACAAATTCCTTTTTGTGATATTGAATTCTTAATATTACGGTGACTTTTCAATCAATGAATTTAGGGCATATTTGGATGGGGTTTTTAGCCAAAAATTGCTTTTTCTTAGGAAAAAAATATTTTTACTACAAAATTCATTAGGATGTCTATTTTTTTAAAAAAAGCATAAACTACAAAAAAAAAGTCAAAAACTTATTTCTTTTTTAAGTTAAAAAATTAACTTTTAAAAAAAGCAGAAATTAAAAGTCAAATATTTTTTCAAAATTCAAATATTTTTTAAAAAATCTAAATAGATATGAATTTTGTAAAAAACACTTTTAAAATAAGTAAGACATAAAAAACACTTTTTTGATAAAGTTAAACTTGTTTATTATTTAAACTTCTATGCATTATAATTTTTATATTATTCTATCATTGCTGAAGTGTAAAGTTAATTTAGTGATAAGAGAGTAATTCACTTCCATTAGTTCAAATTCAAACATCAAATAAAAAAGAAAAAGGAAAAAAAGAGTTTGAATAAAGATAATAAAAGAGTCATGATTACTTGTACCTAATTAGAAAGATATTTTATGTCCCTCATTATAGACATAAAATATTATGGATTTAGCAAGTCATGATAACTTGTCAATATGGGAAAGATATATGTTTTTTTATGTGTCGTGTAGACTCAATTTTTTTTATTTTTTATTTATAATTAGTTTGACCTTTTGCATTGAGTTGGGCCATTAGCCCATTAGCAATACTTTCGTTTAAAAGTAGAAAAGAAAAGAAATTGTTTTGCAGTTTAGTGGATTAGCTTACTAACCTGTTTAAACTGCAAACTATATGGATGAAGCCTGATTCTCTTCTTTTAAACAAGTCTGCAATATCATTGGTTTTTATTTTTATTTTTTATTTTTTGTGAGTACAATATCTTTGGTATTAACCGGTGCTCATTGCTGGTTAAAAGTATGAAAAATTTCAAGATAAGATTATATGAATTTAAAACACCAATAGGGTTTAGGTTTATTTGTTGAAGACATGATTCTTGATTTCTTAAAAAGGATGTACATTCCTCATTTTTCTCATATGTAGCGTAAGTAAAGTTCAATGTGTCAAAAACTGTTTTTTTTTTTTAATAAATAATGAACGTATGACTAAGTCATATGAAAAAGGAAAAAACAAATTGTAAACAGTTTATACATCATATCGGTTACTTGTTTGTTCTATAATAACATTGCTATGAATGATTGACAATTTGACCAAATGTTTCTTCTCAGAAAAGAAAAAAAAAAAAACGTTTATGTGTTGAGAGTTGAAAGAGATGTGTACAAAGGTTATAACATTAAACAAAATAAATTATTTTTTAATGCATTTGGAGTTAGAATTTGAATCAGGAAACGGAAGAACACTACTTATTTTTGGTTTTTTTTTTTTTTTGATAACAACTTATTTTTGGTTTTAGTATCTCACAATGTATATCCATAATTTTTGGGCGTGTAATTCTTCTCCTGCTCAGGGTTTGATGATGTGGCTCTTATATACTACAAAATGACATTAAAAGGATTTGAAGTCCTGCACTGCTGAAAAAATTCATTTATATAAATTTCAGGATATTTGAACAAGTCACATCTCATAATCAGTTAATCACACCGTAATATACTTTACAAGTATTAATGTCTATGTAAAAAAAAAAGTATTAAACGTCTTCAAATTACGGAAAAAGAAAAAAATTACATCAAATATATTTATTTTGTGATAATAAAAGTTACAACACTGAATGTTATATTAATGTAATAGCGAATTGATAAGAGTAAATAGCTCAATGGGTCATTCCTATATCGACCATATGAGCACCCATTATAGCTACCAATCTTAGGTCTCTTGTTTGATTATTTTCGTATAAGATAATTTTATTTTTTACATACAAATAAAAATATATAGAGCTCATATGAGATTATATAAAAATAAGAGAGAATAAAAAATACGAGTTTCATACTTTTTTATGTGTATAAGAAATAAAATTATCTTCTACAATATGAAAGATATTAAACTCTTATTTCTTCTTATAATTAGTTCCCTTTTGAGTTTTTAAAAAAATGGGATTGCCGCCTTGATCATTCGGCGACAGTTGTCTATTTCCCCCTCTTCTCTTCTTTTTTATTATTATTATTATTTTGTTTTGGCGTATTGCTTAATAATCTTATAACAAAATCTTTAGATCAGTAATTTATTTTTATAGATCTGAAAATACTTGCTTTGAGTTATTCAACGTACCTTTTAACACTCTCAAAATGGGCCTCAGAGGTGTAGTGGTCAATGATAGATGAGGTGTATGCATTTGATTTTATATTTCAAGCACTGAATTTATTCATTAATTATTGAGCAAGTAAGGCTGTATTTTTTATTTGGGTATTACTCACTATCATATTCATCCAAAATTAAGAATTGAAGATAAGGGTAACTATCAAGAAAGAGCAACTGCGATAAAAATAACTTATGTTTCCATGTCTATTATTACGTCTCCTATACATGAGACATACAATGAGGATCAAGTCAATAATGATAATGATTATGATATCCAATCACAAGAAAATAGTTTAGAGGCATTTTTTTTTATATACACTTTATTAACAAAATTTATTAGTTGGTATTGTTATTTGATATATATTTTATTGTTGTTTCTGTAATACTTTTGATTATTAAGACTCCTTCCTGACTTATATCTTTATTACTACGATGGTTTATTAATTACTATCAAGTTCAAACTAGCTTACGTTGGTCATGTAGCTTTAATGTTATATTGGAGGACGGTGTAAATTTTTTTTAAAAAATTCAAAATATTTTTATTGAATAATTTTAAAAATTAAAATTAGGGATAAAATAGATTTGTCCGATAGGGAATGATCCATTTTGTTCCTAATAGGGACATATAAAATCCTTTCATAAATCCCTTCTTATTAGGAATGAATTTTACCCACTTTCAAATCGTTTTTGTTAGATAAATTAGAGGCGAACTTATTCTATCAGAAATAGAGATGAATTATATTCCCGTCTCAAATTATTAGCGAAAAATCTTTTAGTGAGGGAATAATTTTTGTCACAATTAGTTTAGGGACAGAATTTGTCCCCAATCCTTTTTCTTTTAGTAGTGAAATATTTGTCATAAACAAAAAGAAACCCTATTTGAAACAAAAATCAAGGTTGCATGTACGATCTTATGGAATGCTAAGACCTTAATTTGAGCAAAAGTATAAATCATGGAGATGTGATACAAAAAGCATGACGATGATGTGAGGGAAAAAAAAAAGATGTTTGGAGAAATATTAAGACACCCAAGATTCAATGGAGAATACTAGAAAACTTAATCAATCATCTATTTTACTTTCCCTCATTATTAAGATTTTATAGGGGTTATATATATATATATATATATATATATGTTAAGTTGTGTGTGTGTTTTAAAATCCTGCCCCACTCCAGGGTCGATCCCGTCGGATCACTGATCCCCTCTCTCTGAGGGTTCGGGTTAGTAGTTAGACCCTACTTGCACGTTGACTCTTCTAATCCCGGTTAAACCTGTGACTCCCGAGTCAGAGGGGTCACTGTACTTTTTTTTAAAAAAAAAATACACAAAATGATGTCGTTTGATGTGTAAAAAAAAAAACTCGTTGCTGTCTAGATTTAGAACTATATCTGAAATATGAATCGTTCTTCTTCTTCTCTTCCGATGTTTTCTCCCAGACCCATACCTAATCTCCCTCATCCGATGATCTCCTCAACATGCTGGTTCTTCTCTCCCCACCATTAATTTGTCGTGCCATCGCCTCTCCTCCGTTATTCTCTATCGTGTAAGGGATTTCCTTTCACATATTGTTGTAGGTGCATGAGAATGATAAGAAGGGTCTGAGTTTGATAATATAACTTTTATTAACTCCAATAGAATATGTGTTTTATACTTTCATAGTTTGATACTTTGATTAGCTTGTGGATGTAATTGGTTGAATTATGTTAAGTATATTTTGAATCTTTAATGATTGGTGGTTTGAATTTTTTGAATTTTTCATATAGGATATGTATTTATATATTTTTTTGTATAAAACCGGGTCAGCGAAGTGACCCCGTAACCCTCCGATTAAACCTGTGACCCCGTGACTCCTGACCTCGACCGAATCGTTGGCCGGACCGAGTTTTTAAACAGTGGTTATATATAGGTGTGTGTTGGATATATGTAAACATTATTTTTATTTGATTATGTAATTAATGAATATCTCGTTAGTTTATTTGGATCCTATAGGTCAGTGCAAATAGCCCTTTTAATATATTATTTATGCTAATTATTTATGGATCAAGATCCACCCATCATAATTCCTAAAAATGTGACTTTTGATGAAATGATATGACCCTTGATGAAAAGATATTACCATTGATGAAAAAAAGGTGTCACTTCACTATATATACATATAATATATGGTCCCAACAGTCATTTCATACATTTTGTTGTTTAATATTTCTCAAAGAATACAAAAACACCACGAAGCTACGAAGCTATAAGCATCAATATCTCAAAAAATTTAGTGTATTGTGTTTGATATTTTTTGACACTCATTGATATTTTGATATTTTTTGACATTCCAATACTCGTTGTAAATACTCAAAAAAATTCAAAAGTTATGTTGTGTTGCATTTTAAGTTCTATCTATTAGATTCGTTAGATTACGATTACGATTTTATTAAGTTTAATATAAACATGGGAAAAGTTCACCGGTGCCCATGTGGTTTGCTTTAGAATTATCTATGCTCCTGTGATTTTTTTTTAATCACATATGCCCCTTTGCTTTGTAAAAAATAACAAACCACAGAGATATATGTGATAAAAAACATACCCTTTTGCAAACCACAGGGGCATATGTGATAGAAAAAAATCACAGGGGCATAGGTGATTCTAGAGCAAACCACATGGGCATTGGTGAACTTTTTCCTATAAACATTTGGACTATATTATATTTCTTTGCAAAATTGAGGAGTAGTATAAGTTTAACTTTATTTTTTTGTTAAATTATTGAATACTAAATATAATATACATTACATAAATTAAAAATATTATATAATATAAAACGTGGTAAAATTTAATATTTTTTAGAATTAACGTGCCAAAGTGTCATGTCATGTCATATCACATGTCCCGTGTCAGTGTGAGTGCAACATATCTTAAAGCATCCATTATAAAGTTTGAAGTATATTGTTGAATACCGATACTCAACCTCTTCACGTTTACGCATAAAGATATTTGCACAAATTTGTAAGTCATTATATTTATTATTTTATATGAATTTATAAATCTCTAAAATTACCTAATATTATGTGGTTATATTGGGGAACACCTTATTTTTGTTATATCTATCTATAAATAATAATAAATAAAAAAACTAGCAAGAGCATATAGCAAAATGGATAAAGAATTTGCATTTGCCTTTTTTTTTTTTTGTTACTATTTGTCTTCTAATTCCAACTCTCTTTTTAACTAGTTTTTGTTTTAATATTACATATCTTTAGAGATTTAGATATGCCACTCACGCATTGATTAGTATCATAGAAGGAACATTTTTTTCCACTACTTTTCTAAACTAAAGTTAAAAAAAAAAAAAAAAAACCCTTTATTTATAGATACCTAATCCTATGTAGTGATGGTAAAACTCGGTCTTCAAATAAATATGTAATATTACAAAAATATAACACTATTAATGTAGTCTTACTCAACAATTTAAATTTTTTAATTGAAATAATTCTTTATATGGTATATTAGAGTTGACATATTAAGTGATCATGAATTCGATCCTTACCCTCCATATTCTACTAATAAAAATAATTAAATATTATGAAATTTCTTAGCACAAGTAGATAGAACTTGATATATCTTTCACCCTTAAAACCCAATAAACTCTTATGTGAAGGAACTCGTTAATTAAAGAAATATAAAATTGTTATTATAATCTCGTCCCAACAACTAAAACTTTTGAATTAAAATAGTTGTTACCCATAATAGAATAGGGAATGAGTATATGTTAAATCCACCAGAAAATGAGCTCAGTTTGTTTGTTTCCGGCGAATTATGCTGTAGGAAACTTTTTTAAAATTAATTTTTATTTCATATTTCATATAATTTTTGACAAATATGACCACCTGAAATATTCAATTCATCTATTATTATCACCTTTTCAAATTTCCAGCGGATTTGGCTGCCATAAAACTAAGAAAATTCTGGCAAATTATGATCAATCAGTGATTCATGCTGGTAATCTCGCTTGCAAAGGGTTAAGGTAAACCGAGTTAGCCCAAAATGACTCTCATTTAAAAAACTGCAAACTAAGCAGCCCAACTATAGCCTCATTTAAACTCACGTGCTTAAACGGACTTGTCCACAAAATTGGAATTTCTGTTTTTCACACAGATTTTAAAAACTTATAAATTCAATTCCAAGCATCGATCATTCATCAAAATAATTATCATTACATACTCAACCAATAAAAATAATAATAATATGTCCAATCATGACTCAGCTACTAGGTTTCCCTCAAAGATCAATAAAATAAAAACCAAGAAATCAATAATCTCAAATAACCATGACTTATGCATTGCTAGTTGAGAGAAAAAGGAATTAATGATATTTATATACGTAGTAATTACCTTGATTAAGAGAAAACTTGTTTATTCTTAGTTTTTTTCCCCCCCATTAATTATGCCCTAACGAATAGAAATTGATTACATGTTTTTCTTAATTCTTTTAATGCGGCAATCTGACACAGGAGCTCTTCTTTTATGGTTTTGCTTTTGTAGAAAGTATAGTCCATAAGTCGATTCCTATTGGACAAAATTGGTAAACTCTTATCCTTTCAATAACGTAAAGTATCAAGAACTAATTAATTAATGAGTTCACTTTTCTGCGATTACTACATATAAGTTATCTACAGTAAACCTAATACGACGTTGTTTTGGGCGAAAATCATGGTATTTTTATAATTTTAATTTATTTTAGGGTTATAATAGTCTTTATATTTATAATTTTGTAAGATTTCAATACCAAAACGACGTCGTTTTAGAAATAAACGTAGATAACTTATCTGCATACGCAGAAACATTTTTCCCTTAATTAATTGGTAAACTTTTAAAAAAAATAAAAATAAAGAAGAACTACTCAATTAATAATAAACTAAAGAAGCCGGTTACCAGAACTAATCAATGAATAGATAACTTCAAAATCAGCATTATAATCATATGTTAATCACAAACAAAACTTTCCGCATAGGCCACACGTAAGAGTAATGAGTAATAGCCTCCTTAGGAATATAAAATTATTTCTTACATAGTCAAATCCATTCCCCTCAAAGCATGGGATTGTATCTTGATTCTTGACCCCTAAAGCACCCATTTTCGTGTCCTTATAAGAGAACTAAAGGAAACCTAAAAGGCTAACAAACCCATAAAGAATCCGAAATTGAAGGAACTCCAAACACTTTTCATTGGAAGAACCCTAGCTACTCATATATTCTCTCCATTTTGTTTCAGAAGTTAGTGATAGAGTCATATATATTGTAACAAAAATCAAAGGTGCAAGGTGACATGGCTGCTTCTATGCCTTCTTTCATCTCCGTAAAAGGAAGAGGATCATATCTAAAGGGATGCAATATACGTCGAGGGCTACAAGTTATAAAATGTCAGAACTATCAAGATGAAGGTGATCATCTATTTCACAATCTCTCTGTCTTTTCAAGTGTTATATATATATATATATCCAATACAATAGCTCATTTGTTTTTGGTGTTTTTTTTTTCCTTTATTTTTTATATCTTTTTTCGGTTGTTTATATATATAGTTTACTTTTGCATTCATCTAACCATCATCAATAATGAACAGGGAGATCCATCGACATGGTAGATGAGAATTTGAAAGTTCTAAAGGAGAGAATAGAAATGGTGAAGGTAAAGGAGAGATTGGAAAGGTGTTGCAAATGTCAACAAGGGTGGAATTATGGCCCAGTTTCTGATCACAAAACCAAAAGAAACAAGGATTTGTCCAGCTTAATAGAGTTGACAGGTTTAGTTTGTGGGACTCTTGGTTTTACCTGCTTTGGTGGAACACTTCTTCTATGCCTTGTTTCCATGCTTGTTCATCTCCAATTATGATTTAAAATGTATAGAGTTCAAAGATTTTTTTTTTCTCTCTATTGAGTGCTTATATGATGATACCCATTTATTACCTATTGAGTGCATGGTTATATATATATATATGCTTATGACAACCTTGGTATATTGTCAATTTCTTTTGGCTGTATACACTACTAGAAAAGTCATTATTTTCGACGGAAAAAAATTCCGTGGAAATTACTGACGAAATTTTCGACAGAATTCGTTTATCGTTGAATTTTTTGACAGAAAACAGATTCCGTCAAAAACTTTCGACGAAAAATTGATTCTGTCGAAACTTTTTCGACGAAAAATGGATTCCGTCGAAGATATTCGACGGAAAACGATTTCCGTCAAAAGCTTTTGAAAAAAATAACAGAAAAAGAAATCATATTTTCTTGACTTTTCGACGGAATTTGGATTCCGTCGAAGATTTTCGACGGAAAAAGGATTCCGTCGAAAACTTTTTAAAAAAATAAATAAACTTGAGCAAACATGAGCAATGAAACATAGAAGAATATCAAAATAAACTTGAATAATTCCCCGAAGACGGTTTTAAATACCTTTTGAGTTGACAATATTGAAATTGCAAACAGTTGACTATAATTAAGCTATAAACAAAAGATTGATGGCTTCCGTTCCAGTACCAGACTATGAAAATTTGTGAAAAGTTTAGGAGGAGATCAATTGAAAAATCTAAAGGTGGTTTTGATAATTTATTTCCTATTGCAGGAAAGGAGTGTAATTTCCTTTGCAATGTTACAGTGTAATTTCCTTTGATAACTTTTCTTTTGTATTGCATTGAATACTAACCTCTACGCTGCACGCCCTCCATTATTGTCTTGTACATGTGCTATGCGTTACGATTATCTCAAGACCTCAACAACACCAATATTATTGCTGTATACAAATTTTATAATCGTTCATCATAAAAAATATTCCTCACAAATCAATCAATTAATATCATCAATATTATAAACAACAGTATTACTATTATCAATATTTGGTACATGGTGTGTCGGTGACTCCGTACTAATAAGAAATAACCATTTTGTATTTCTCCATTATAATAACTCTAATGCAAATTATTTTCTTTCCAAAATAAAGGTAAAATATTGTTATGTTGATAACTTCCTGTTTCATTTCTATGATTAGCGATCCTTAACAATCTCAATACATACCGAGTTATGTATCTTTCTTTTTTTGGTAACACTGGGTTATGTATCTTTACTTGCTAATATTATTTACACCATTAATAATTTGGGTTTGATGTTTGTCATTTTAAATGACATAAGTTATGTCATTTTAGGAGAGAGATAGACACAAAAAATGGAAATTATGGGAGAGAGAAAGTGGGTGGTTTTTTTTAATTTAAATTTTAAATAAAAAAATTTATTTTGTGTCTATCTCTCTCCTAAAATGACATAATTTTATGTGATTTGAAATGATAAACACTTTTTTCTAATAATTTATTTTATAATAACCAATAAATTAATATCAAATTATATATATAGGAAAAATAGTTTGTGATTTTAAAGGATGTAATTTTTGTGTCATTTTAAGCAAAACGATAGTGTTTTGGGATTTTTTAATTTCTCTTTTCTCAACAATATTTTCTTTTTCTCTCTTCTGATTTTGTGGATGAGAAAGAAAATAAACAATCATCAAATATGCACCAAAACACAGTTATTTCATTTAAATAATACAAATTTGTGTTACTTTTCTATTTTGGTACAAAAATTTGTATTATTTAAAATAATAAATACTTTTTTCCATACAATATATATATTATATATATATATATATATCACGTGACAGGAAAATAAAACAATTTCTATCAGGAAAGAGAAAAAATACAAGGAGAGAAAAAAAAATAATATATTGAACCCACAAAATATTGTCTCGGGAAAATTTTTTACTTTCCTATTACATGTGGGGAATTCATTATCCATCAGTCATGTAACAGGAAATTAAAAATAAATTCCTATAAGGACAATATTTTATGGGTACAATGTATTATTTTTTCTCTTTCCTTGTATTTTTTTTCTCTCTCTCTCTCCTGATAGAAATTATTTTATTTTCATGTTACATGATATATATATATATATATATATATATAACATGACATTTTTTTAGTTTTCTGTTATATGATTGATGCATAATGATCCCCCCCTCCACTCACGGAAATATCTATGGTGCAGCGGTTGCACAATACACTCCATGTGACCAGCCAATGAAATGGAGCAATAAACTGTGTTATGGTACGGAGAAAAGAAAAAATAATTTTTAATCCACTTGTCATTTTTTTAATTGCAGATGCACGCACGACTGCCGTGTAGAAGATGATCTCCCCACACACACACGCACACACACACACGCACACACACACACGCACACACACACACACACACACACACACACACAGTAAACATTTTTATAGCCACTTTAGATAAGGTTTTCTACAGCTACTCAAAAAATTTACGTCGTTTTGATTAACACACACGCACGCACACACACGCAAGAAGATGATCTCCCCACACACACACGCACACACGCACACACACACGCACACACACACACACAGTAAACATTTTTATAGCCACTTTAGATAAGGTTTTCTACAGCTACTCAAAAAATTTACGTCGTTTTGATTAACACACACACACAGTAAACATTTTTATAGCCACTTTAGATAAGGTTTTCTACAGCTACTCAAAAAATTTACGTCGTTTTAATTAATGAAGGGTGTTTTTGTAATTTTAGGTAAATTAATTAAGGGTATTTTCGTACTTTATTTTTATTTTTATCATATGCATTTTACTGAAAAATCCTTCATTAATTCACCTAAAATTACAGAAACACCCTTCGTTAATCAAAATGATGTAGTTTTCGGGATAGCTGTAGATAGGGGTGCTAAACGAGCCAGGGGCCTTTGGCTTGGCTTGTGAAGACTTGAACTTACATGTCTAAAATTGATTGTTAGACCAAGGCTTGGACTTCTATAAAAGCTCGTTTAATAAAAAGGCCTCAGGCTCCAATTCAAAAGCTCGGCATTAGAGCCTCTCAGGCTTGCCTAATATATTATTTTTTTTTATATTTTTTATACTACTTGTGATAGCCCTCTCTCTTTCTTCTCAATTCATTTCATCCCATTTTATTAATTAAACAAACTTTTTGAATGATTTTATTTTATATTATGCTATTTGAATATACATTAAATTTATGAATATTTATGGAATTACTAGTGCTGTTGATTGGATATTTTGTTTGGATAAATTTTTGTTGTCTTATTTTTTTTAAACAGGCTAACAGGCTAAACTAGACTTTTATTTTTTGTAAATGAGTCAGGCCACAAGCTGATATTATATTCATAACAGGTAACAGGCTAAGGCCAGTCTGACACATTTGAACACAGGCTCGGCTCGTTAAGACCAAAGCTCGGCTCGGCTCAGCTCGTTAACACCCCTAGCTGTAGATAATTTTATCTAAAGTGGCTGTAGAAATATTTTTTCACATATTTATATATATATATATATATATATATATGTGTGTGTGTGTGTGTGTGTGTGTATGTATATAATAATGGGATAAGATTCTTTGACAGTAGTGTCAAACTTCAAAATTTGACACCAAATCTTAACTGTTGATTTTCGTCAGTCAAAAGTTAGGATTTGGTATCAAATCTTAAAGTTCGACACCAATATCAAAATATCTTATATATATATATATAAGAGCTCGATGTCATTATGTTAATAAAAAATGGCTCGGTGGATTCCACAATAATCATCATACAAACTTTATAAAGTCAATACATACAAAAAATTTGTTATTTGCATAATAATTATCATAAATATTTTAGGTTTTTTGAAAAACTAAAAATCGATCCAATCCGAACCAAATAAAATTGGATTGGATCAGATTTGAAAAAAAAATCCAAAATGAATGAATGCAACGAAGGGATTGGATCAGATGAATTTTGCTTCCCAAACGATCTAATCCGGATCGGGAATACCCCCACCCCATATATATAAGTGAGATAAACGGACAAGATTAAGAGTGTAACTTACACTGGTGTAAAATGATCCTAACCCTATATACATAAACATACATACATACACACACACATATATATATATATATATATATATATATATATATATATATATATATATATATCGTAGGATATTCTTAAACCGGTGTAAGAGTTAGAAGTCTTATACTTAATCTTGACCATTGATCCACTAGTATCCAATGACTCACATTATTAAAAAGTTTGAGCCCTTAAATATAAGTGAGATCAACAGACAAAATTAAAAGTGTAACTTACATTGGTGCAAAATGATCCTTACACTATATAAATGGAAAAATATTTCTCCAACAACTCGAGAAACAATATATTAATTGATTTGTTTATTTATTTATATTAATTGATTCAATATTGAATTGTTATAATTCCCTTTCTCTCTCTCTTTTTTTATCATCATTAATCCATCTTTGTAGGGTTATGATTTAGTAGCCGGTAATAAAATTATCTCAAGCAGATTGAGAAACGATATATATACACACATATATATATATATATATATAGAAAAAATATTTATCCTTTTAAATGACACAACTTGTATCTTTTCACTCTCACAAAGAGGTGGGACCCACACCATTATTTATTTTTTGTCCACTCTCTCTCCCCCTTTATCTATCTCTTTCTCTCACTTAAAATGACACAACTTTACATCCTTTAAAATGACACACACTTTTCCCTATATATATAGTCAGGATCATTTTACACCAGTGTAAGTTACACTCTTAATCTTGTCCTTTTATCTCACTTATATCTAAGGGCTCTAATTTTAAACTAAGCCATCAAATACAACTTGATCAATGGTCAAGATTGAGTGTAAGACTTCTAACTCTTACACCGGTGTAAGAATATCCTGCTCCATATATATATATATATATGGGTTATCTTTTTCTACGGTCAATGTAGATAACTTATTTATAATGAGCTCAAAACGATGTCGTTTTGGGGTGAAAATCAAGGTATTTTTATAATTATAATTTAATTCAGGGTTTTAATAGTCTTTTTTATTATAATTTTTTAATTTTTTAACCCAAAACGACGTTGTTTTGAGAGCAAATGTAGATAACTTATCTACATTCAATTTAGAAACATTAAAACACACACATATATATATATATAGGGAAAAACTATTCTCATGTTACATAAGATAAAATTTCCCTCCTATATACCATTCGATAACTGTGCCGCTTTTTTTTTTTTAGGTGGTGGAGCCCACAAGTTTATCTCTATCACGAATAAATTTTTGGTGCTACTGTTACACCTAGATTCAGTGCATCCGATCAATGAGAGCATTACACATCAAAGGAGAGAAAAAAAATTTGGCAAAAAAAAAAAATTTGACTATGTAATATCAAAGATTTATTCCACTATGACATGAGATAACTTATCTCCTTTAATATGAGATTAATAAAATCTATATATATTGTGAAAAGGCGTGCGAATTAAACGTGCACCCAGCTAATCAGCAATACATGGTAATTTATTTATACGCACGTCAGCTCCTTTGCTAAACAGCGGGATTAAACGTGCACCCAGCTAATCAGCTATACATGGAAATTTATTTATACGCACGTCAGCTCCTCTGCTAAGCAGCCATATACAACGACAATTTTGAGCTATTCTGTTCTTTAATGACGCATGCATTTATCTTGCTGCTCTTGCTCACAGACAAAAAAATAAAGAAAAAAAGGAAGACTTGTTCATTGGTCTTACAACACCTTGACGTTGGGAATTTGATTATAAAAAGTGACCAAAGAAAAGAGATCCTCAAAATGCAACTTTGTTCACAATGAGATATGACAGTGTTAATACACAATATATAGGACATGCCTACAGTAATTCACGTGACTGAGAATGAAAAACGGATGATCCCTAATCTGATTGAGAAATTACTGATGGATTTGCAGTGTTAATACACAATATACAGGACATACCTACTTAATGAATGATATATATACTGAAAAAAAAATACTGATTCATTAAAGGAAATTGCCTCAAGTGATACATATTTGATTTCATTTAAGTAAGGTTTTAGGTTCAAAATTTTGTGAATGTAAAAAGTTCCTTTTGATAGAGTTAACCTCGTCATGATGTGGATATTTCAGGCATAATTGTTAAAATCTCGATTTATCATTACAATTTTATTTTTTTTATGATTTTTTTTATCATTAAAATAATTTTACCAATATTTCAAACGCTTTTACGATCTTGTATGATTTTTTTATATTACGATTTTACGTTTTACGATTTTTTTAATTTCCTTCCGATTTTACTTAAAATTTTGATTTTAACAACATTACTTTCCGGCTCGAACAAGATTATTTTTCGTATAGAATATCTGTGCTTTATAAAAAAATAAAATAAAAAAATACCGATTCTCGGTCAAATATATCTCTTGAACCTTAAATAGCAGCTTTATTTATTGACCAATAAAATTGTATCCTAATAAGTCGTTCTAATTTGCACTAAAAAAATTCAGAAGTACCCATGCGCAATTATTTTTATGGGAGATGTCAAGCTGTATTGTATGGTTTTTTAAATTTTCGAATAATGTCAAATAATTTATAATTTTTCCCCCATAAATATTCAGAATTGGAAATATTTATTCCATTTCAAAGTAATTCAACGAATGCTTATGGAAATATTTATAGATAATCCATCTAGTCCCAACCAAATTAGTTGATATAGATTGTTATTACTAGTTGTGCCAACTGTTATTGCCTATTAATTTAAATATTAATGGTCATAAAATCCTTCAAATCTAGTATGCATGCTATGTAGCTATGTCATATTAAAAATGATGGCTCCTTACTCCTTAGCGTTGTTTAATGGGTGAAATTTTTATCAATTTTCAAAGCATTATTTAATCATATCCTTGCCATTTTGGAACGATCTGTCTACACATGCAGCTTAGGTAACAAAGTTTTGTTGAAAAAGACGAATTGGGAGGAGAGCTTTTGGGGCACGAGCGAAACCGCGTTAAATTCTCGAGTTATGTTTTGGTAAAATTTAAAATATTATCTTTACGATTGTTTTTATAAAATATTATTTTACTCCTCAATCTTTTTATCATATCAAATTTTATAAATATTTCTTTTTTGGCATGTTCTTTTTTTTTTTTATCAATTGTTTTGAAAACTAATTTAATCTTAGAACAGGAAAGAATAATTTTAACCAAATAAAAAAATTAGCCTCGTCTCTCCTAAATTTAACAATAATTACACACGAGACTTTACACCTACTGTTTAAGGAATTTAACAAAACTTGCCAGCACCAATGTTCTTTACACGTGAATTTTAATGGTTGAGATATAAGTTTTAAATCACTTTACGTCCTTGAAATAACAAATTTGTTTCTTTCTTCTAAATTCTTCCTACAACCATCATGGCATCAGCACCAATCTTCTATGCCTCTTCAACATCACGGAAGAGGAAGTAGCCAATTTCTTGTTCAATTATGTGGGTGGGGACAACAAGGGATTGCATAAAAATAAAATAGCAATGCAATAAGTAGAAGGGAAAGATGGAGAACAATTTATTATTATATTTTTGGTATTTTTTTATTGCCTTTTTTCTGCTTGGGTTTTCTTTTAATTAATATGATTAAGACGAAATTTTTTCATTCAATTAGTCAAACGGTAATTGAAAACGTTGTAAATAATGGAGGGATGTCAGACCAAAATAAAGACACGTGTCATGTAATTGTCACCAAGCCTACGAGAAATAAGTATAATCTTTTTCAGTTAATTACACCGAGAAATTTGAACAAAGGGTATGAAAGTTAGAGACTTTACTCATAAGTTTATTCTAGTTAATTTCCTTAGAAATTTTTTTCTCACAATTTTGGACCGAACAAGTTATTAAAATAGTTAACTCAATTCGTACAGTTTAATTTGAACCTAAAACCTAAATTTTAATTTGGGAAAAATCCAACTGGTAAAAATGTGTCCTTAAAAATTTTCCATACAAAACCCTGCCAGAATAACAGCATTAAGACTCTGGTTCAACATGGTAAGAGAAAATTCCATCTTGTTCATCAACCACATTTCAAAAAAACTTACGAGAGCCACAATTTTTTTAAAGGTAAGCCCATTGTAATAATAGCCATAAAAAGAACAAGTGTAAAATAGCTTTTCGCCACGCAGAACTAACCGTCTTTTTCCCTTACATCATTTGTTTATGAACTCCGATTGATTACAACTATTCACCCAAAAGGAGGGAGGTTAGAGAACTTCACCTCCCCAAAAATCAGAAAAATATTTACGGTTCAACACGAACATAGCATGAGAAGTTAGAAACATGCATCTACTTATCCAACCCAATGCCCAAAGACCTAAACCATGAGGGTAAATGACACGCATTTCGCATTTCATTTCCGAAGGAATGCCACAGTAGCAACACGGGAGCCTACGGATCCACCAAACATGAATGTCGGATATGTGCGAACATGACTTACATACCGAAATAGGGGATCTCCGCATGATTCCTCATCCTTGGCTGCCTCAAGTCCCTGGACACTAGCAATTTTTCTTTGGTTGAAACTTTCCACTTCTTGTACCAACTCATCCTTTGTACTGTTACATGATGTGATCACCTTATAACAAACATCATAAAGTTAGAAGAGCTGCAACTATATCATGAGCAGAGGAGCTTGGGAGAACGATAGCACGTGTATAAGCATAAATTAACATCAGAAATCAAGTTCAAATAATCATGTCTTTTTCTGTAATGAATAAAAGGACTCCCACTTTATAGTAGGCACAGTTCATGACACGAGCCCCAACAACTTGGTAGAAAATAAGAATATGGGCCTAAATTCAACATCAGCTATGAACAAATTTGAGTGTGCTTACAAGTATTCCACCAGGAGCAACCAACCTCGAAACAGAATCCCAATACATCATTCTGAAAATAAGAAAGCAATAACACAATTCCTCAGCACCATACAAGTAGACGATTATATAGAGAGCAAATCTGTAAGTGAGAAAAAAAGGTGAAACATAATTTTACAAAGCAAAATAACATCATCCCGATAGAATTATGATAGAGCCACGGATAATACAGTACTTTCTCTTACCTCTTGACAGGACCATCCGGATGCAATCCAATAGCATCTAGAGTCCCTTTATCCATGACAAGTTTAAACTCTTGTTCCAATTTTGTCTCAAGGACATCATCAACCTTAAAACAATTAAAGCCAATCTATTATACAGTGGAAATGTCAAGAATGTAAAGATACTAATGTCTTGCACATAAAATAGAGGGGCCAAAACTCTATAAGTTGTCAAATACTACAAAAAAGAACAAAATGAGATAAAGAATTAACAAAGATTTATTCTTAATGACAATGTATAAAACCAGACGATTTTAATTCTTCCTTTTATTGCTAACAATTTTATAGAACAAAATCCAATATATAGCAGAAGATCATGAAGTGTTGTCAAAATCACATGATGCATTCACATTACATTTGAGGCAAGGCTGATTTTGAGCCTAGCACATCAGGCAGCCTGAGATATATCAGGATGCATGAAGCCTGGCAGTGCTGCTTTTGCCATGATGCAGATGATATGGCGATGTTATTGATGCAGCAACTTGCATTCCACCAAGTTAAACTATCTGACCTTATTTCACGTTTAATACTTAAATAGGTATCACAAATTAGGGGACATCATAGTCAAATATGGAAGTTGGAAGCAAATAAATTCATTAAAACCTAAGGAAAACACCCAGCAATCTATTGTTTGGTTCCTGCCAGTGTTCCATGGGACTGTTCAGTGGTCAGGGAAACGGTAATTCACTTCTTGCAGGGATCAAAACTGTGATTTACTCCTTGGGAAGGACAGAAGCTGCTCATTTTAATGAAATAAAATTTCACCTCTCTCAATCTCTCTGCCAGCTAAGCTGAAGCAAAACTCCAAAATTTCAGTATTTTTCCAAAATTTTTTATCTCATTTTAATAACATAATCCATTATCTCAGCCCCTCTTCCATCTTGTTAATAGTTTACACACACTTAGTTTATTATTGCAGCCCCTACTATGTGAGTTCTGTTTTGTTTTTTCACTGAAAGCTTCAGATTTACTACCTATGGAAAGTCAGCCACCATCAACTCCCAATACCAAATATGGGTTGGAAGTATAATATCTGCAAAAGTCATAAAAATAGGAATGACATGACATGAGATTTCAGTAGTGAAAAGTACAAATGGGTTATAAATCGTACAAAATAACATCAAATTTGCCAGCCCAATAATGCCAAAGCATGTGATAAAGTGCCACCTCCAGAATTTAGAAAAGAGCCGTGGATTATTGGAAAGAGTGGAAAACCCAAAATTAGCCACTACTGATTCAACTCGTGTGAAATTGAAGGATTATGGCTTTGATGGTAATTTTGAAGAAAACAAAGATGTTAAAATTCAAGAAATCAGGTCAAGTCAAAGAAGGGTGTATGGCGGCAATGCTACAATGTACAACAGCCAAAGGAGGAAACAAAAAAAAAAAAAAAAAACAATGACTTATCAAGAAAAAAAGTATCCCAATTCAAGGAATAAGCGAGGAACTGAAAAAAAGATTTACATGAAAATTCCCCAGAAGGATCAAGGGACTAAATCCTTTTACCCGGGTGAGAAGATAAATGAATAGAATCAAGGAAGCCTAAAGGGACACCAATTCAGAGTATTCCCTGACATTGGAAGTTTCATGAAAAAAGAGAACCTTGGACAAATAAAATTGTGAATAGGAGAATTATGTAAGGAAGGAAGATGATAAAAGCGTGGAAAGACACAAGCAAAAGGAATATCTTCTACCATAAGGACTTGCATTCTTATGGTATGCCTTTTGTCTTTCATGAATTAATTTGCATTTATAATTTTATTCTATTCGCCTTAACGAATTTCTTTTTTAACAAAAAAAATTAATTTATTATATTCTTTAAAAAAATGTTTTAACAAGGGTGCTTCTTTAACTTTTAAAAAGTTACGGGCCTTAGGCCTCTAGTATTTATCTGCATGGTTCTACCCTTGGTCAAAATCATCTGAACAACAAAGCGCAAATTTAATTAACAAATAACAAGTCTGTTTTTTGGAATAATTACTTCGAGAAGAATGAGTCTTATATTTGGGAATGTTCACTGAAAGCTATAAAGCACAGACAAACCAGCTGTGTCCGAGTTTAGGGCACATTAATTTGTACAACACACTGACGACCCCTGTCCAATTTAATACTTTTTCAGCTTGGACATGGCAGGAGGACACAGCATGGACACGGCTATTTAAAATTTGAGAAAATAAAATCACTTTTTTTGGACACACGGCTAGTTCTACTATGACAATTTTATTTAGGAAATTTTTTGAACAGTGTCAATAGAAATGATGCTCCATGTTTTTTGGAAGGGGGGTTTACAAAAAAGCAAGTATTGGCATATATAACATATTAAGATATTGTAAATCTAGATATTATGAATTATAAATCTTTTTCCTTAAATTTATACTCACCTTTGGGTACAAGAAAGGAAACAAACAAACAAAAGTATCCATTTATACATGCCCATGCTCATTCACACACACAAACACTAAAATTTGAACATACCAAAAATTTGATGTTGGAAAATCCATCACGATTAGCAAGGCTTTGGGCAAGGCTGATGCCCTGTTCACTGTAATCAGAGCCAGTTAAATCAGAGAACCTGAACAAATGCCAAGAGTTTGCTTAGCAAGGTATTTGCACTACTATAAAATAAATAAATGCAAATATCTCTCCACAACCAATATTCTGAATTTGCAAGAACTAAGACTGAACAAAGCTTGGTTTCATCCCTAGGAAAACAAAACAATTCTATATTTATGCAGGCTCACTTTCCATAGTTCTCTGTTTCTTTATGTCATAAATCAACTATCCTTAAAGCGTAAGGTGTTAGGTAAAGACACATGAACGATTTTATATAATATTTTGATATGATCCTACCATAGCAAGTGTACGGTAGGGATAAAGATAAAAGGTTTTGGGCTTTTGGATGCTGTGGTTGGCCCAAGTGAAGATGTTGAAGATGGTCCAACACATGATGGCTCACGTAATAATGTTGGTGCTGTCCAAATTTCCCCTGAACAGATTGCAAGCGTGGAAGTGTGTGGGGGCAAGTTAGTTACAGGAAACTGCGTAAGAGGGGAGAATGAGGTGGGGGAAAGGCATCTGAAAAGTATATTGGAATTGGACCCTTGGGAGAGAGTGAAGCCTCTCCAATTGCTTCACAACTATCCTTTATCTTCCTGCAATATTATTTCATTTTCAAGTTCTTTGTCATTTTCCTTTCTTTGTAATTGTCTCTGTTTTACTGTCTCTAGATTGTAATAGTTGCTTGAAGAATATATAAAATCTGATTATTCAGGCCAAAATCCCTGTTCTTTGTGTTATTTCTGTATTTGAGTAGAAGGTCCTATCATATTTCTAATATGACCATTCACGCTATGGGTTTGAATCATGGACAACTACAGGCTCACCCACATTATGCTAACATTCAACTTTTATATCACTTGGTCATAGAGGCTCTAATACTATGTCATGAAACAACTATTTCAAAAGCTTAAACACAATGGTGAAAACATACCAATGGTTTTATATTACATCTCTAACACTTCATTTCAACTTATTCTTTTGTTTCCTTTTTTTTCGGTACTTACATTTTACGTGAGTAAAAGAAAAAGGTGTTGGTAAAAAAAAATTAATTGGAAATTAAATTTGAAAGTATTATTCAAAGTTCTGTAAGTTTTCCTACATTTGGGGGTCAGTAACTAGGGAGAAGCCAAAAGATATTATTTCCTCTTTTGCTGAAGCTTGCATTTATTCTGTCTGAGTTTATTTATCTTCCTTTCAATGTGTTAAAGGAAATGTACAAACTTCTCAGTAAAGCACAATTGGATCTACATGGAATCTAGCAGATTAAAGCAATCATTTTTTTTTCTAAATTGGAAAGTTTGGATTCAGAAGAAAAGGAAAGGGCCTCTAGTCTAATTGTTAGCCAGATTATTGTATATTCCTAAATTTCCATTTTTTTATCATTCAATGTATTTAAAAAAAAAAAATCATGCACCATATATCTGATTTTTTTAATGGTTTTTATATAGAAAATTCCAATCCCTCATAGCTTCACAAGTATGCATGGCCATTGTAACGCCCGACCGCTTCAAGAATCAATGACTATCCCCACACACTAACATGGGACTTTTCAGCGTGTTTTATCCTCACTTACACACTTCCTAGAAAAACTTCCCAGACTGTCACCCATCCCAAAATTGCTCCAAGTCAAACACGCTTAACTATGGAGTTCTTCAGTTCTGGGCTACCGAAAAGTAGATGCATCTTATTAGTATAGGTAATACCAATTAATTCTTATAAGCTACCCCCAACTGTGCAGTCTTATACCTGCACAATCTTTGAAATCCCTCTCTTTCGGGTATCGATTCGATTCATTCATGTACCCCCAAGCAGCAAGATTTGGAATGAGCCGCTCATTGTCCGTGCCCTTTCACACCGGCGATCACTCCCTGCCCTTGCCAGCCCTTGGGACGTTACAGCCATGAGCTTATATTAATTTTTGTAATTAACTAGACTTTTTTATATAATTTATAAATCACTTAATATAAATCATTTTTTACTTTTGCGCTGTGAAATTATCATTCAATTGTATTTATGTATGCACATATTTATTTGGTACAAGATTAGTATGCTTTTCCAACAAATACAAAGGGACACCAATACATTTTTGTTTAGTTCGAAGGGGAGATAATGTTGGGACAAAATTAGACAAGTAAAGAAATACAATGGATTATAGATATTTTAAAAATATTTTAATTTTATATTTAAATAGCATATATTACCAACATATGGACAAATAGTAAAGCATACCCTTGTTTAGCTAATTCTTGGAGAAGCAAACCATTGCCAGTCCCGATGTCAAGTACACTCCAACTAGACAAAAGTTTATCATCTAGTTCACTAGCTTCAGCCTTGACATTGTCAACATGATTTGGTCGACCATGAGAAATGTCAATGCACAAGGCTTTTGTCCAAGATGCAACAACTTCCATCACATCAACTCCAAACCTACACATGGAAAATCAAAGCAGAAAAACATATTAATTAAACAATTTGCTATGAAAACCCTAACAATGTTACACTCCCGACAATTCCATATAATGTCAATGTTCAACAACGTGGAAGTTGAGAAATTCAAATTAACCTTAACCAATAAAAGGCAAAAAAAATCTATAGTCCTCTACTAAAAAGGAATAGTGGAATAGAATCTGTAGCTTAAACGTTAGACGGGCATATATAAGTGTTGATCCCAACTACAAAGTTTCCCACTCATATTGAGGGGAAGCAGATGAGCTATAAAACTTAAGGTATAAATTGATGTAAGATAAGATTTCAAATTCATTTCTTTATCTTATATAAGTTTCTATATTAAAATGTTTATCTGTCCCTTCTAACAAAGGAAATTTTTTCTTACCACATCACTTTGTATTTACAACACTTGTTCCATAAAAAGTCCACAGGGATTGGATCCTACCAGGAATTATGTAAAGAAAAATGATGTGTAAGAACTCAGAAATCTTAATGTGGGCCTGAAGTTTATACTTTCCTCAATCTTTGAGTATCAACTCCATGGATATTATTGGTATCTATAGATGATGCTGCATTGGTCAAAAGATACTAAAAGGTTTCAGATCAAGGCAAGCAAGGAAGCCAAAATAGATTTTGAAGTTTTTCATAATCCCCTTTTTTTAACAATACGCTGAATGGATGAATTCACTTTGTCCAATTAGGCAGAGAGCTAGAAAAGTGCACAGTACAACTCTAACAAAAGGGAAGAGTACCTTTGTTAGCAAAGCAAGTACAGAGTATAACAAGCCTGGAAAACAAAGAAATGCTGATTTTAAACAAATTCATGAAAAAGATAGCCCAAACAGTTTCTTATTTCTAGAAGTTTAATCCATTCATTTGCCCATGTAAAATAATCAAATCATAAAAAAAGAAAAAGAAAAAGAAATTAATACTAATCTCCTAGAAATGCCTAAAAAATAATTACTACCCATCATCAGGTATGGTTTCTGGTCAGTAATTTCACCTGGTCCATCAGTGAAGGTTATAGCACGGATGTTTTGATATCATTTTATTGAGCCCAAATAGTAAGTTGATTACGATGTTTGCTTAGAAAAAAATCAAAACTTGTGCAAATGATAGATGATACGAAATAAGATTAAAATCAGTATAATTCTTTACCACCTAACATTACAGTTAACCCATGCACCAAAATTCATATAGATCAGTGAAGCACATTATGCAATCAAAATTTTATTTACCAAACTTCACCAGCATGACCGTGTTCGCGAAAATTTGTAAGTTCATCTGCATAAGCAGTGTCCCAATAACTCTGAAATCCCAGCATTGACGTAACTGCTTCAGCATCAGGTTCCTCCTTGTCAGAACTGCGCACACAAGAATGAATCAGGGATAAAAAAACAGTCAGTATTAGAAAATCAAGAATGATGATGATTCATTCACTCAACTCATTTCCCAAGTTCCCATAATGTAAATACCAGTTCCTGACTGTACATCCTCAAAGAAAATTCCAAATTCCAAAACCCACACAGCCGCAATACAGATCCATTCAATACCAGCCAACATCAAACATAAACCACCTTCACTGCCCTAAAATTTGCAAATGCCACCAACCAAATGAACCAGATCTTAATAATCTACTTGACCTCACTTCCTCTGCCTCCTAATATTAGAATCCGAAACCTAGGAATTTCGCTTATTGCTAAATAACGACTTTCACTTTCACCCTATGTACATACACGAACCTTCGATCTCATAGCATAAAAAAAATAAAGGAAGTGAAAATGCAATTAACAAATCAGGACTCAACTCCATTATGCTTCACAAAGCAGAAATTCGCAAAATACAAATTCCAATTCGTTAGATAAACTCTCGTTTGCGCTCGCGTTACTCGTTCAAACTTCACAGCAGGATTAAAACACGGAGAGTAAGGTGTGTGTGTGTGTGTGAGAGAGAGAGAGAGAGAGAGAAGAAAGTGGAATGAAACCTGTAGTCGGAGGGGGCTCGGAAGTTGGCGTTGGAGAGAGCTTCGGCGGCGTCGGCATGGCGCTGGTCATCGTCGAGAGTGCTGCCATACTCGCTCTTGATGGACCAGGAGTCTGCGGCGACGGAGCGGTCGTCGTCGGAGACCAGATCGGCGGCGGAGAGAGCAACCGCTCGTGTTTGTTGCGAGACGTCGGAGTCCTCTGGTTGCAAGCGGAAACCGGCCATTGAAGAGAGAGAGAGAGAGAGAGAGAGAGAGAGAATGAGTTGGAAAAGAAGAGAAGTGGTGGTTAGGTTGATATGTAATTCTGTTTGTAATATCAATTAGTATGTAACGTGCCTTGTTTGTTCATACTCATTGCTCAGTCACCACTGCTAAATGCCTAAACCAGAGAGAGAGAGAGAGAGAGAGAGAGAGAGCATCGATTGTGTGAGTCAATTTGTCACGTAATGATCCGGTGCGGGTTCTCTCGGGTCTGGGTTTTTTCTTTTGCTTCGAATCGAATTGAATCGCACATGATTGCAAAGCATATCCACGTGTACTTTCTTCACTCCTTTTCACCTTTTTTTTCATTATTATTCTAGTTGAATTTACAGTTATTAAAACTTTTTATGTAATTAATAAAAACTGAATATTGAATTAGCCTTTATAATTTAAGGCAATATTTTTTTTTAACAATGCAATTTTGACCCTGTCATTTTGTTATTATTATAGAATTTTTTTAGATTTATTGTTTAATTTTATCAATCTTTTGACTGTTGTTGAAATTTTAAGAATTTAGATAGGAAACGAGGAGATTGTATAATCTAAAATTGGTATTGGCTTAATATTGTTTAAATTATAAGAATTTAGATAGGAAAAAAGAAATTGTTTAATTTAAAATTAATATTGTTTTGATGTGGTATAATATGACATAAAAGACAAATAGTTTATATTTATTTTACGAAAAATGATTTCTACTTCAGTGCCACATAAGATTCCCTACACTGAGACATAACTCATCCCATTTCTCTGTCATTGTTTTCTCTTTCTTTCCTTTTGTTTTCTCTCTTTATTATTTTGTCTAAGTGACAAGAGAATTTTTTCTGAAGCAAAAGTCATTTGCTTTTTATTTTAAGGTTTAATGTTTTTTAAGTTGTAGAAAATAAATTTTATCTCTTAAACACACATAAAAAAGTATAAAGCCTATGCGAATCCATGTGAGAAAATGAGAGAGAAAGAAAAAACATGGATCTCACATATATTTATGTATGCATACGAGATAAATTTATCTCCTATAATATGAGAAATAATAAATCCTTATTTTAATAGTAAACTCTTAAAATAAAAAATAAATCACCAAATATAAAAAAAAAATTATTAAATCCAATTATAAGAGATTGTTTAAGACACTCTAAAGTTTTAAATGTTTCAACTACTAGAAATTACAATATAACCATTTAATATTGCATCATATTTGAAAAATAATTTTATGCTTTGACGAAATTAACAGCCTTTTAACAAAAGTGCGCAAATAAAATGGACACGTCTTCAGTCTTCATGTTTACAAATCAAACAAGTTTTAACGCTACAAATCAAACAAGTTTTTTTTTTTTTTTTTTTTTTTTTTTAAATAATCAAACAAGTTTTAACGTGACTGAACTGTTGGATTATAGGATAAACAATATATATAAACTATTTGTCCTTTTAAATGATACAATTTACATCATTTCATTCTCATAAAGAGGTGGAACCCACACTTTTATTATTTTTGTTCACTTTCCTTCCCCTTTATCTATCTCTTTCTCTTACTTAAAATGACACAACTTTACACCTTTAAAATAACATACATTTTTCCATACATATATATATATATATATATATAAACGGAAGAGATTCCCAAAGCCTAAGTCAGTTGAATAACACGTTTGTTTGTAAATTTTCTCAAGGAATGAAGCATTTCTTTTTCATTCTTCTTTCTCTATTTCACTCTCGAGTGTTTTTTAGCAAAACTCCATTAGACACCACTCAACCAGTGGACCACAAATAGATACCTTGGTGCATGGCAGAAGCCTCCTAATTGTACAGAGGACACTACTATGCCATCTACCAGTGAGGCGACCGCATCATGGACCATCAGCTATAGCGCAGGTGAATTTTCACAACTGTTAAGCTAATCAAGATGGTGTCCACTCTTTCTGAATATAATTTCTATGTTTTATGCCTATTCTTAATCCTAATAGAATGGAACGGCGGGCGTATCATTTAACCATATTCTAGAGCTACTTTGGATTTCGCAATATTTTTTCATTAATTACCCCAGATTCTTCCATTTCCATATAAAGATCATTTCCCTCATCCGCTCACCAACCCCACCAAATTCAGATACAACTCCTCGATATATCCAAGGGATGGAAGGGCAGAGGCCTTTGGTGTCCCCCCAGTCAAGAATTTGGGACATGCAGCTTACAAGTTGGCTATACTTGAGTTGCAATGGCTCATCTGCACTCCAAGTAACCTCTTTGTCTGTACCTTTCCATATGGACCAACAGGACAAATAACAGTGAAAGACTAAAGGGGAAGGAGGTCGTCATAGACTCATAAGGCTTGGCAAGTGAGTTGGTCAAATTTTGAAGTTGTATTTCTGAGTCCTACAAGCCAAGAGATTCGTTGTTAAAAACTTCTACACTGTACATATAAAACATTGAAACATCTGCAGTAAGCTGATACCCAGAAATACTATAAACATCAAGAACAGATTATATACACGAAAACCAAATCAACATTCAATCTTCAGCTGTGACATCCATCTTCCGAGTCTGAGAATGAAACATTTCAGCTATATCGGCAGCTGTGCTACATTCTTCAGGGTTTCTGTCTGACACACACCGAATAAATCTTGGAAATCTGATTGAGATGCCTCGAGAAGGATGAACTAAACCAATGGCAGCACGATGAACTGGGGAAACTGTAAAGTCTGCACCTCTTATTTCCCAAACAAGTTGCGGACAAAACCACAAGTCCGGTGCCTCTCCTGTTTGATAATATGGTGGTTTTTTGGACAAGACTTTGTCCCCAGAGAAGAATTCTTTCATCTGCAGCGCAATATAAATTTTCCCGTCAGTAATGATAAAAGAACCTTGCACGAAGTTAAAAACTTCCAAAAGGAAAAGAAAGTAGTTAATGAAACATTTGCGAGGGACCAGTTCATTCTTGTGTTATTACTACAGGGCAATTTTCTGTGTTAATGAAAAATTACTTTGGCATTCTTCAAGGTCCAGAATGTTTTTAGTGTGCTTTAGTGCCATTTTCCCGAATATGAATGACTAATGCATACTACTTGATGTCTACATAAAAAGGTTAAAAATGATCCATTATGAACAATGTATGCAAAAGTAACATAGTTGTGACATATTGACGATTCCAAGTGTTCAAATTTCAAAAACAAGACCAGGAAATAAAAAATTAGAAATACATCCTTCAACTTTCAAGATGAAAGAGTCTAGGAATTTAAAATATTTTAAGGATCACTCAACCATTTATACCTCTATGTAAAATGAATCTGAGAACCCAGACATCACACGGCATACACTTTGATAATCCTCAGTTTCAGGATTGAAACATGCCATAAGAAATGGACTATACCTGCAACAGCAAATGATCCAGATCAACAACAACAGGGCAATAAATCATTCTCTTATCCCAAAAATTCATTATGAAGCCACTGAAAATTGCATATTCCTTTCTCTGCCGCTACCTTTTCCATTTGATACATATTGGCAAAGTTCTTAAGATTATTACATAAGGAGCATCGACCACTGAGAAAGATAATAGAACCTCATGATTTCACTTGATGAACACAAAAGTTAATTCACAACTCCAGAGCATTACATGTCTTCATGTAGTCATGCTCATGTTTTTCCAATCACATGGAACATAGTAATTTCTAATAGTAACTTTTGCAAAATACAGTGTCGCTTAGATTTTTGGTAACTTATACCTGCTAACGTGCCATAGTTATCTATTATACTCTATATTTTCGTTTTGCTAGAGATAGAACTATTTTTTGTTGTGATTGCACGTAGAACAGATCTTTCACCCAAAAAATTTCACACTTAAAGAAGACCACCATCCATCTTTTGAGTCTTATCTGCTGAGTATCAGAACATGAAACAACACCATTACCCTGCACTATCTTCATTCTAAATTATTATTCGAACCAGACCACTACTGAAATTCATAAATTACCAGTGCACTGCTGCTTGGAAATTTATATTTTCACCTTTCAAAATCAAGTGTAATCTTTTTGTTATGACCAGAGCTTAACGGGGTTAAACCTATAGCAAAAATTACAATTAATTTTAATCAACGATATTACAAAGAGTAACTGCTCAACACTCACACCGGAATCCCAATACACCAAATATAAGCGCACTGTGAAAGATGTTTTACCCTAACTACTAAATTTACAAGTTCCTATTAGCCCGTCCCCTCCACTTCCACCACCTAATCTCCAATGAAAACACCTCCTTGGGTCACCGCAGGTTTGTCAGGTTAGTCACATGTTTGGTCAAGCGCAAAACTAAATACAAGTCACACATAACAATTTCATTGGTTGGAAGGAACTTCATGTATTCATATGGTTCAAATTAGATTTCTTTCATTTTTACCACTGGTGCTGAATGACATGGACTTGCTAGAGATACAAAGCAATTCTTGGCCAACCACCTAACAGCTTAAGCATTTAGAAAATTGGTCCTTGACAGAACTAATGTAGTAATGTGAAATAAAATACTTTTAATTCTATGCAAGTTTCATTGCAGCATCTTAAATAATTTCAGTAGACAAAAAAATTATGAAAGATGCTATATTACCATCCAGCTTTCCTTCCATTTCCATGCCAAGCACCAATTGGTACTAAATCAAGAGTATCATTTAATCCTTCCACATAATCTCGCTTGACCTACAAAATGAAACCTTAGAACGTTATACAGATTAAATACCTGTTTCTATGAGTGTATCTCTACCAAAGTGACCAAAGTCCTGTAGGGCAAAAAATAACCTTTAACCATTTATCAGAACGCTTTGATGGAGAATACCCAGCATCAACATCCAAAGATTTGACCATAATTCCTTCACATGAAGAGCGAAGTGCATCTTCCAGGAAAGCATTTATCTTAGTTAACGTGGCTTCACAGGTTAAGCAAGCATCATCTGCTTCGATCTACAATTAAAGAGTTCATATACATATATAGCACATCAAATGAATTTCACTAGAAAATAGTAATCATAAACTCAAGCACTTACAGTTGTTTCCTTTGCATACTCAAAATACCCAGGTTTCTCATCATGGAACAAATCCTTCAGATCTGTATAAGTTCCAAGAGATGCAAAAGGATTAAAATCAAAGTGTACTTTTGAGTTACAGTACATTTTTGTCTTGCCTGAAAATTCATAATCAAATAAAACGACTAGATGCATACGCTTTCGTCTTAGGCGGAGAGGAAAACCCAATAGCCTGCAAGCAGTACTTGAATGGTCAGTACAGACGACAGACTGTATTTGAAAGGCAATATCAACTGCTTAACAAGTATAATCTAACTCTCTTGAATATCACAAAATAAATCAATACTGGCTAACCTACTTCCTTTTAACCTGAGATCCACATGCTTGACGATCATTGATTAATAAGTGAAGAAAATCTCACATTTTTACCTTTTCTAGTTTTATGGTCTATAGTTGACTCTATACACAAGATAGCATTAAATTACACCATCTTGCACACTATCCATTGGTGCACCAAACATAGGATAGGCTAAAAGCTTATCAGGTAGATAGTTCAGCCTGTACTCCCATGTGACCAATATACGATCCCGCCTTATACAGTACAGTGCGCCAAACAAGGCCAATGGATTCAAAGAGACCACTTGCTAATATAATCATTTGTATATGCTCCACGACAATTTCTACCAACTTTGCAACAAATTATCATAAAAATGAGAAAAAGAAAGATTGAAATAATTACTGCTCTCCATTTGCAAACATGATATCAAAGACAAAGATGCAAATGTCCACCTGCATGAACAGAACATATCAGAAACAAATCCAGACAATTCAACTAGAAACAGAGTTGAAGAGAACTAGAGAAGCACAAAGGAAGATAAGAAGTTCTCCTAGAACAACTACAAAGGAACCAACTCACAAGGGAATTCCCTAAAGAGGAAAAAAACCATTAGCTCAACAGAGCCCTCCAATCCCTCTCAAACTTCCATGTTCTTGATAATTTCAAAAATACAAATGCGTACATCATACTAAAACCCTTCAGATAAATAAGCCATCGGACCAGCTAAATTTCTAAGGAAGTGAGTCATGTAACATTCCTATGATACTTAAATATTGGTTTTGATCTAATTATTAAAAACCTAAAAGTTGAATAACAATTGAGTTTAATGCTGTCCAGAGAGCAAACCATTATCAATATGCAGTGTGTTGAGATAGATTTCCACGAAACTTGCCCCCACAAGAAAACAGAACACCACCATAAACTAACTATTGTCATTCAAACTGTCCTTGTTAACTTGGCTGTTTCCAGCAATAGTTAATGTCATTAAGATACAGCTGTTAAAGGCATCGGCACATGGATTGCATGTTCCCAAAAGCCATGTGCAGTAACAATTTAGACATCTAGAGTAGCTGAGTTGTTATAAATTGAGATTTAGCAGTGGGTAATAAGGAAAGAGAAACAGAGTTTGCAAATATTTAGAGAGAGATAGAGAGGACAAGGCAAGGCACTCAGTCAGTCCCGGTCCTAAATAAGGGTTCAAAATACATAAGATTATAATTAACTCCTTAGAGAAAAAAGAACCTAAAACACTAATGTTTACATGGACTAATTGATTCTAATAATATTCTTAAAACTATTTACCAAAATACAGCATTTTTAGACATATTACCAAAACACTGTCCATGCTTAGTAAGTATCAAGTAAAGGATTTATGGCTTCAGGCAATAAATGCTATTAAGTTTTTTTAAGCACGCAAACTTCCAACCTTTATGCGCTCTGTAGTAACTAAAGTATCTTTGCTTCCTCTCCCACGTGAAGATAGCTCCTGGAAAGACATAATCCTAGATCCATTTTTTCTATCAATACCAACAACCTGAAAGGAACAAGAACCATAAAATTAGGAGTAAATAACAAGAACTTGATTAACAAGAACAAATATAAGAATATTATCGCAGAAAACATTTTTGTACTTCTGCATCTATAATGAAAGTTGATGCAACAGGCTTGCAGGAATCCTTAATTATGTCGATCAGATCAGGAAATCTTGATGTCGATTCATCTCCATTTCTTGAAAAGACACAAATTGATCCATCAAGTAATCTGTGAATTTGAGCTCGCTGACCATCATACCTAGAATTAAATTTAACTCAATTCAACAAGTGATGTAAAAGAGAAGTGCAATTCATCCTTGCAAAACAGAGACAAGTAATGCCAAATGATCTCAATCAACATCAACATCAACAACACCTTTATCCCAAATTAATTGGGGTCGGTGGTAGATGAACCCACATGAAAGATACAAAACGGTTGAAAAAAAGTAAAAAAATAAATAAAAAATAAAAAATAAATAAATAAGAATACACAAATAAAATAATAAAATAAAATAAAATGAAATAAAAATATATGTATATATAAATAAATAAAAGTAAAAAAGAAAGGGACAAGAAGAAGTGGGGGAAATGAAGGGGAAAAGGACTAAAAAAGGACCATCTGGAACATAGGAATAACAGCGAGTCTAACCCTCCACCATACTTATAGCTTTTCTCCATTCCTTTCTAAGACATACTGTCCGCCAATCTATATCCCACTCCATTAAATCTTGTTTTACTACTTTCCCCCAAGTAAGCTTCGGCCTACCTCTGCCTCTTTTTGTGTTTAGCTCTTGGTAACAAACTTCTGTTCTTACAGGAGCATCCATGGGTCTTCTCATCACGTGCCCAAACCACCTCAATCTATGTTCTCTCATCTTCTCGGCTACCGGTACTACTCCGACCTTTCGTCGAATATCTTCATTTCTTATCTTATCCATCCTTGTGTACCCACACATCCACCTTAACATCCTCATCTCTGCTACTCCCATCTTATGCTCATGTTGCCTATGTGCTGGCCAGCATTCCGCTCCATATAGCATTGCCGGTCGTACTGCCGTTTTATAGAATTTTCCTTTTAACTTCAGGGGAATTTTGCGGTCACACAAAAATGCAGATGCACTACGCCATTTCATCTACCCTGCTCTGATTCTGTGATTTACATCCTCATCAATCTCTCCACCATTTTGTAAAATGGAGCCCAAGTATTTAAAAGCATTTTTTTTGGGTACCTCTTGACCATTTAGATGCACAGGTTCTTGGTCCTCATCTTGTACCAGAGAAAACTCACACTTCAGATACTCAGTCTTGCTTCGACTTAATGTGAATCCTCTGGATTCCAATGTGCTTCTCCACAATTCAAGTTTTCTATTAACACCCTCCTTGCTCTCATCAATAAGCACAATATCGTCTGCAAAAAGCATACACCATGGCACTTCCTCTTGAATATCTTTTGTTAGTTCATCCATAACTAAGGCAAATAGGTAAGGACTTAGAGCCGACCCTTGGTGTACACCTACCGTGATAGGAAAATAACTTGATGATCCGTTACAAGCTTTTACACATGTAGTAGCCCCATCATACATATCCTTGATTGCCTTTACATACTTTAATGGAACCTTTTTCTTCTCCAGGACCCACCATAAAACTTTCCTTGGAACCCTATCGTATGCTTTCTCAAGGTCTATGAACACCATATGCAAGTCCTTCTTCTTTTCTCGGTATCTTTCCATTAGTTGTCGCATCAAGAAAATGGCTTCCATGGTACATCTTCCTGGCATAAATCCAAATTGATTTACAGAAACCTTGGTATCTCTCCTCAAGCGATGTTCAATAACCCTCTCCCACAGCTTCATAGTATGACTCATTAGCTTAATGCCTCTATAGTTTGAACAATTCTGTATATCTCCCTTATTTTTGTAGATAGGCACAATCATACTTTTCCTCCATACATCAGGCATCTTATTCGTCTGGAGAATCTTATTAAAAAGATTGGTCAACCATTTTATTGCCACATCCCCCAGGCCTCTCCACACTTCAATAGGGACACCATCAGGCTCCAAGGCTTTATTAGTCTTCATCTTTAAAGCCTCCTTAACTTCATGTGTATTAATTCTGCGTACAAATCTTCTATTCATATCATCATACGCGTCCTCTAAGTCCACCTCGCTTGTATTTCCATCCCCATTAAACAGCTTGTTGAAGTATTTCAACCATCTTTCATTTACATCTTCATCTCTCACCAGAAGTTTTTGATTTTCATCCTTGATGCATCTAACTTGAGTGAGGTCTTTACTTTTCTTATCCCTTATCCTTGCAAGTTTATAAATACCTCTTTCACCATCCTTGCTCCCAAGACTTTTATACAACTCGTCGAAAACCTTGCCTCTCGCTTCTCGCACTGCTTTCTTTGCATTTTTTCTCGCCAATCTAAACTTTTGCAGGTTCTCTTCATTGGGACTTTTATGCAAAGATCTAAAGCACTCCTTCTTATGTTTAATTGCCTCTTGCACCTCTCCATTCCACCACCATGTTTCCTTTGTATGAAATCCATTTCCTTTGCTTTCTCCCAACACCCTCCTTCCCAAATTTTGAATACACTTAGCCATCTCATTCCATATTGCATTTACTCCTCCATCAAACTCCCAAGGTCCTTCGTGCAACATTCTATCATTGAACTCTCTCTCTTTTCCCTCCTTAAGCTTCCACCACCTTATCCTTGGATTCTGAGCCCTCTTCTTCATTGTACGTACTTTGTTGAACCGAACATCCAAGACTACCAGCTTATGTTGCGTAGCAACACACTCTCCAGGGTAGACCTTACATTCGACACAAGAAGTTCTATCTTCTCTTCTAGCCAAATGATCTCAATATTTAATAAAAATCACCCGATTGAAAAACATTACTACTAGAATAAACAAACAAGACCAGAATTTCAAATCTCTCCAAGATGTGTTTCTCATAAGAAGTTCGGGGTTGAAAGAGATTTTACAAGCTGCACATAATGGAAATGAAGCAATTTGAGTTTTTGCATTCCTTACTGCTTCACTTTTGTGCAATAATGCAAGTAATTACTGTACAATGAGTATTACCACAGTTCTTCATTATCATAAGTTTTCAGTATAAACATCAAACACGCCGGATTAAGTTTTTGAAATGGTCACAAAAGAAATGGATTTGTAGTTAAATATCAGTAGATGTAACAATGCATCAGGAACTAGCTCATAGTTTACAAGATTGAACTCCCAATCACAAACTACGGACCAATGAACAAAACAGCATTATAACTAGATTATAAATTCTTTTGACTAATCAGAAATCAGAATTGTCAGATTAATATTTCAAAACTTGAATCATGGAATGTTAGAAGGTTCAGTTTTGATTTTGCAATAGCAATCCAATGAGTCTGCCTTGCACCAGCATTCCTACCTTTGAGACCATTTTGAAAGGGTAAATGACTCTTTACTTTAGCTACTTTCAAGAAGGATTTTTTTCTTTAATTATTGATTTCTAGTTTTTTTATTTAATCACCTTGCCAAAATCAGTCTAGAACGCCTATTAGTATAAGTAATGTTTTCAAAAGAGTTTATATATATGCACTACAACTCTACAAGATTCATCAAATTAGATGCTCTATTGTTATAGCATTCACCTACAAATTTTGAGGCACACCACTTGGAGTGATGTATATCAGATTACTACATTAACACCAGCATTGCTTTAACAACAACAACCAGCCCACTGTGATCAAAACTTCAAATCACCCCTTAAAATTATGTATCCAACCAAGATTTTAAATGCCTACTTGCTTCCCCATGTCCATTGTCGCATGCAATCTGTCAAGTGAGACAAAGAGCATAAAGATAAAAGGAAAATAATTGATTACAGAATAGGACATACTTATATTCACATGTAAATGCTTTATTTTGAAACAGCTTCAATACTTGGGGAATGCCATTGGTGATCCTGCGAAGAATGAAAAAGGAAAAATACCCAAAAAAAAAGGGTAGTGTTGAGAAAAATAAGTGAGTACTCCTGAAGTTAAGAAAAGGAGGTTCTATTAACCTGAAATCCAATCACAAACACAAACTACTCAAGAAAGGGCCAGTATATGGTATAGTATATACTTCGCAAGCATAGGCTTAATAGGGATTCCTGGAATCATTGATAAATTTGAAACCGAAAAATCAATGCCTGTGTTCATGAGAGATGGGACTATGAGAGCCTGCATAAAATAAATGAAATGAAAATGCATAACATCATAAGATCACTGCATTATTACTCATATAGGGTAAAAACTAGGTACATTATCCTCAACAAGTCTACATTTACACAAACAAATATGACAGACCATCAAGAGAAATTCGGAACAATTTAACAAACAGCTATTAGAGATTCACACAAACTGCACATCAGCAATTACTGGTAATAGTTATATCCAACATAGTCAGTGCTTGGTCACATTGAATGCTGGTGATGTAAGCCTATAATACTTTTGCATTTTCACATTAAACAACAGCTATTCAGAAACAAAAATGTAGAAACGTTTAGCACCTAGCTTCCTATCTCCTAATATACAAGAGAGTAATGCAGACAACAGCCTCATGAGTGTAATAATGCTCTGTTTTCAATCATAAAAGATATAAACAGGCAAGACTCACTATTCAAATATTCAAAACTTACCAAATTTGGCAGAATGTTATATGCTTCAACAACTGCCACAGAAAGGACCTGTAGAGGTGGGGGGACATTATTAGTCACAGAAATCTCCAAATACATAATTATTATTCTGAATTTACCAACAAATCCCTAAAATTTTGAGGATCAGCTCTTTGCTTCAGAATGAAGGCAACAAGCTCTTCCTGGCAAAAATATAATCATGTTTTTTCTATAAAATATGAATCCATATGAGAGAAAAGAAATACAATGCAGGAGGATCAGAAATCCTCCTAAAACAAGGAAAGAAGGAAAAAAAGAAAGAAAACAGAAGAAAATATGTCAGCTCAGCAGAGCATAATCAGTCCAGCTGCATGTCAGCCAAAGACACAAACCTCAATAAATCCATATATTGAAACCCACAAAAAGGCTGAGAATATAAATCTTTCCTACAAAAGACAAGAAGGAAGATATATCTGGCTAAAGAGTCTAGTGTTAGGCTTTATCCAAATGGTTCCCATACAGCAAAAAGCGCAATTTTAAGGCACCTCACTTTCCTTTCCACTCCCAAAACCTTTCTGAATGGGTCAACTAAATGGGTGCTAAGTAAGGAAAAATAAAATGTTTGCAAATGGCTCACAACTTATTCCACAAGTGCCAAGCTACCTCCCAATGCAAAGATAGATGGCTAATTCTTTTATAATATTTTTGGCGTACAAAACAAGTTGCATGAACCTTATGAACATGTAACAAATTATTGGTACGAAAAAGGATCTCAAAGCTTACTTTTGAAAATGGTTACAAGTCAAAAAATAAAATAAAAAATAAATAAATAAAAATACAAGGACAAGATAAGGGTAAACCTTCTATGTTTGGGCCAACGGGAATGTTAGATAAATGAAAAGGAATCAAGAATGCTAAGAATTGAAACCAAATCTACAGTCACTGAATCATTAAAGTTCCATAAAAGTTTCGAGACTACTGTACAGTTGTTTTTGCATTGTCTAGGAGCTGGTTACACAAAGAATAGGCTTATCGGTTCTTACAAAACTAGGTTTATCCAAGGAATTTGTCATAATTCTTTGTTAGTTATAGAGGTTTTGGCAGGAAGTCAGGAACATAGAAGATAATGGTCTCATGAAGGTGCACTATTCATGCTGCTACTTGGGCAGCGCATAATGCTTGAATATTTAATAAGTTTCTGTAATTGAATCACCCATTCGACTGAATTGCTTATTTGGCCTTTTGTTTTGAAAGGGAGGGTTAGGGTCATGGTACATGGTAGTTTGGTGCCTAGGAATGTCAGCTTACCTAGCAACTGGTTATGGCATTTACCTCTGGAATCACATTCTCTCTGGCATCCAGTAATTCAGAGCAAGTAATGGATTAAACAGAATGGGTGGGATTAGCAAGCTTTACATAACTGATGTGCTTTCTTGTTTGATCATCTAGTATTTTCTTTTCCTTTCTTTAAGGAGGGTTTATTATCCTCTGTTCCTGTACTTTCTTTCCCATATCTGATAATATTTCTTCTATTATTGAAAAGTAAAAACAAGGATGTCCCTTTGTTCAATATACAGAGGGGTTTAAAGGAGTAGCTATATTGGTGATGTCTTGTATGTTATTCATGCTTGTTTCTTTTTATATCTCCAAGAAGGTTACATTATCCTTTGAATTATTTATTCTCTTTTTCTCTGAGTAATCAAATCTGCTATTATCCTATTAAATTAAATGAAAGCTCCTCTACGTATAAAATGCCATATTAAAAGTAATTATTATGACAAAAAATAATATCAACCGTTAAAAAGCAGACAGAATAGTAATATAGAACATTAAATTATTAATACATAATCCTGGTCATAGGTAAAGGCGAAAGATTGCATAATGGACCTGAAGCTTCTCCTTCAAATTTTCTGCAGTTTCTTCTTCGTGCACAGAAGGGCAAGAATTCATAACAACAGCATGAGCCAATGCAGGCAAAACAGTTCTGAGCATTGCCCCAATCCTTAAGTTCCTGACCTACACAAGAAGCTAAATTGAAAACCAAAGGACACTTGCCACTTGCATACAGGGATAAAAATATTAAAAAAAAAAATGCATTTGAGAAACATACTACCAGCCACCACTTTATATATACATGAGATAGATTATACTTACAACCTTTTTTTTCTTTACAATCACTTTGCTACCGTTAAATCAAAATCAAATTAATGGCTCTCATTCAATGTCATTTTGTAACCATTAATTTGATTTTGATACAACAATAAGGACAATGATTCTAAGAGGTTGTAAAGAAAAAGAAATTGCAAGCATAACCTCTCTCCCCCCTCTTATATATATATATACACACACACACTCTCAGAACAGTAAATATTGAAACACACTGTATAGAAAGAGAATATCAGAAGTCTAGCCAGGTATGATAGTAGATTACACACACCTTGATGAAATTTATCTAAATACAACATAAATACCTAGACATATCAATTAGTAAGTACTTCTGTAAGCCCTCATTAAGGCTTGTAGCATACTTTGACCTTTAAACGGGGTAACCTCCGCTTCCCCCCTAAACTTCTATCCACCCTAAAAATTTAGATATTTACCAAGGTCCGTACAAGAAACTTTATCTCCTTCTCACGGCAGGAACGCATGAGATGAACAATGATGCCTTTCTTCCGAAATGTGCTTCCATTGCCTGTTTGTACACTGATGGGCATTACATAAGAACATGTAGAACAAAACTAAAAGTTTACCTAACTAAATAGCAATGAAAAACTGATTGAATTGATAGAGAAGAGAATGCAATAAAAACATAAAAATGTTACAACTAGGTATAATACACTTTTGGTCCTTTTACAATTCATAAATGTACAATTTTGGACCCCTGGTTCCAAGAAACAAAATTACCACCAAGAATCAACAAAGACATAGTAACCAGAAATTGATCTCCTAATAGTGATCATTTATCAGTATATAAAATGCCACAACCTAGAGCTCCTTCGCTCATAGCATAGGGATTAAGGTTTTGACTTTCAACCATTATGCAACCTTACCCTTGCATTTTTCCAGAAAGGCTATTTCTTAGACTTGAAGCCGTAACTTTCCAATTACAAGGAACAACCTTACTGCTGCTCCAAGACTCACCCTACTGTCGTTTCCACATATGCACAATGAAAATTACATATCTGTAAGTCCATAACTTTAAGGTTTGCAATTCCATATGCTAGAGCAAAGGACGGCCTATCAGCCCACTATGAGGATTTTTTTTTTTTTTCATGCAAATTCAAAAGACTAAGGTCGCACACTGAAAAATTATTAGAAATACAAGTATAGTACGGCTACTACAAGCCAAACCAATGTCACTCAATGCACACTAATATAGTAATACTTTAACAGATCATCTAATTAGTCATCAAATAGGAGTTTTGTCACAATGTACTCGGGCTTATGGTGAATTCTATACATGGGAACATATTCATAAACTGTTTTATAATACACACACATCAACATCACCAACACCTTTATCCCAAACTAGTTGGGGTCAGTAGCAGATGAACCCAAATGAAAAATACAAAAAAATAGAGAAAAAAAGATAAAAAAAAAATTATATATATATATATAACATTATCCATTAAAAAACAGCAATAAACAATTAAAAGGAAAAATAAATTGAAAATAAAGATACATAAGAGGACAAAAGAATAAGAAAGTACAAATAAAAAATAAAAATAAAGAAATAGATGGATAAAAAATAAAATAAAAAAATAAAATACATAAATAAATAAATAAGAGAAGAAAAACTGAGAGGAAAAAAGAAATAAAAAAAGAAGGAAAGAAATTAAAAAAAAAAGAGGTAAAGAGAGAAAGAAAGGGAGATAAAGGGGAAAAGGATTAAAAAGGGACCATATGGAACATAAGAAGAAAAAAGCGTCTAACCCTCCAGAATGCTAATAGCTTTCATCTAACACACACACATACATATTTATAATTTTAAATTATCTAAAGTGAATAACATGTTACCACATATAGAGTTCACCATGAACCTAAGTCTATAGTAATGACTCTCAGCTAAACATTTGAAAAGCAGACAATCGAGTGGTAAATTATATCCCTAGTAAGGTCATAATCTACAATCGGAAACAGAATGGTTGTTAATACCTTATCTTTTGTAGAGCAGAGAAAACATCCTTTATTAGAAGTGGTGCTGGTGGTGCAAGCAATCTTTGTGTTTGACGACACTCTTGAGCAACATCACCTTTCACAATCCCAGGTTATTTAATAGTTATTCAAAATCCTCACGGACTGAATAGGTTTAGTAAAACAATCAAAAACTATGAGAACAATCATCCAACCAAGATCACCAAATTTGTTATACATCTCCCTTATTTTCGATCGGTTTGTTCCGCATGACTCTTCAAGTGCAGCAGTGACTAAACTTCCACCAATATTTAGTTCCTGCATAATAGTACATACACGGAACTTTCTTAGTACATAATAACCCTCGTTGCCATACAGTAGACTGCTATACCCTGTGTCAAACAATTGCCAATTTGTCATCATGGAAAGGCTAAAGAACATAAATGATTAACAACAATAAATAGTAATGTACTTTTTCAGAAAATATTTATTTTCAACAAAGCAACCTTTAAATCGGCTGCTGGATTTTAGTGGAAACTTTTTTTAATTATAACTACAAATTCCCTTTCACCTCCTATAGAAAGAAAAAAAAAATAGTGCAGATTACAGAGTGACAAAATGGGCCCTGCTTCCTACAGACGCACATGTTATTTACCATAAAAGTAATAAATAAATAACTATTGTCTCAAAACAAAGGCTAAAATCCTCGCTGCCATGATCCAAAGAAAAGGGAGGAAGAAAAAACAAAATAGCAATTCAAAGAAAAACTAAGGGATGTAAAATGGTCAATTTGATACATAGAGGCACCTTCAACCAACATGAAGGGCTAAAATAGCATATAAAACCAATTATCAATGTGTTCTTGAAGAAACTCAGGTCCTAGATTTTCAGGTGAAAAAAATGTCTAGAACTTAAACAGCCTTACATAAAAGAGCAAAGGAACAGGATCCAGGTTTTGATTTTTCTAAATCAGCAAGTTCAAGTATCACTCTCATTAATGCTAAAGATGGTGAAAGTCAGAACTTCCAAATTATCAAAACCAAAAATATACCTACCATATTTTCATGGTCCGGAGCAATTTTGTTTGTACATAGATACACAGCAGGAAGAACATCTGCTGGAGACAAGGCCAACAAACTGCATGATAGAAACATTGGATGCAGATAGTGTTCCTCAATCAGCCAATTACTGGTAAAATTGTTTCAATACTCCATAAAAGGAGAAGAAAAATGGATAATACAAAGAATGTGATCAGTATAAAAGGAACCTTCTGAACATATTGCATAACATTGAAGTAGCTTTTATCTTTCCTTTCTCATCCTCAAGTAGGTTGAAGGTTCGTGCAAGATGTAAATATGGTGCAGGCTCTCCATCTCTCCAACACGCTGGTCATTTTTGCCAGTTGTATAGATATTTTACAAGACAGATCAAGAACAAAAAGAGTAAATATAAAATTAAGTGCAGTAAATTAAAAACTCCTTTTAAACCACTATATTTGAAAGATAAAAAAATTAACACAAACCATGTTCTTTAGGGTTGTATTTCTTAGGTGGTAAACATACATGAGTTGCATCTACATTATCTCTTAACACTCTCTGCACAGAAATATCAGGTATAATTGTCAATTCCTGTGACACATACTTCTTCTCTAAAGGTCTGCCGATTTTGCACTCTGCTTGAACTGATATTTCATTTTCACCAAGATTGCCAGAATTACAATAATACATATCCAAAGCCTTATTAACATCTCCTTTTGCCTTCTCAATTATAGTGATGGCATACTTTTTTAACGACTCATTCCCGTTTATTATTTGCATAAACTGATCAATCTCATCCTTATATAATTCTCCAACATCATTTGGCAACAAGTCTTCAACTTTAGGGCTTTGGTCAAAATGATCAGATTGAGTACTACCAGGCATATCAGGCAATACTTTGCTGAAGAATCTTGTTATAGCGGGCTGCTTTGAACCACTTGATTCTGATTTTGCTCTGGCTTTTACTTTCTTGTTTGGCTTACTTTCACTACTTTTCTTCCTTTTGGCTGGGGAAAAGCGATTTGGTACTGTATGCCTCAGGTTAGTTAATTTAGATTCTTGACTTGGAAAAATGTCAACATTGCTGTAAGTCTTGTTTGTATTAATGCATGTTTTTGAAAGTGAATCAGTGTCACTTGACGAGCAGCACTTGGACATTGAAACAGAAGTTTGAGAGGAATATACTTGCTGATGAAATTCCGTTTCACGTTCATAGAAATTAGAAACAGCTTCAACAACATTGCTCCCTGAGATGCTGATCAGATCTAACACCTGGCTTCGAGTGACCCATGTGGGCAAACAACAACTAAGTTCTTGAATTATTTTTTCTTTTTCTTCATCATTTAGTAAAGTAGGATCTCGTGTGCAAGTTTCTCCAGTAAAAGAGGACAAACTCACAGCATTATCTGGATTAATACTTCTATTTCCTTCCCTGTCAGATGCCCCGATTTCTTTCTCGATGCCTTGCCCTGTTTTCAAAGCATCACTAACATCCTTCTCAACCATTTCACCTGCACCACGACGAAAACCCCTTAAAAACTCCTGCTTGTTGGCTGTCTCATCAACTAATCCAGCAAAATACTTCCTCATTTTGTTAGCATGTTTACTGTCACTTTTCTCAACATCCAAACCCACCGTAGGAACAACACGCTTCGGTTTCAAAAACTTTACATATTCCCTGAGCTCCTCATAGTTCGAATGCTCACTATACGGCACAAGATGAATCTGAAACGAATCCTTAGACCTCACAGCAAACCTATTGCGCTTCACTTCATAGGTCCATCCAGTCGGAACAAAACCAACAACCTTTGAGTACCCTCTCTCAGTCATAATCTCCTTCATTCTAACAAAATTGGGCCTAAAGTAAGGCCAAGTCTCCCCCAAGACATTCCACCCAACAACATGAATATTAGTTTCCAATCCATCCTCAGTAAACACACCACTCTCTCCATACCCAAGAGCCCGCAAAACCTGCATCTTCCTAGCATCCACGTGTATCTTCCGGTTAAACCTCCTGGCAAGCTCAAGCAAAATCCTCTCTTTCCCAATGACATAAGTAGCAACAAGAAACAAAACACTGTTATTATCATCGCACTCACCCTCAACACTCTCCACAACACCAACAACATAATCAACAGACTCGTCTTGTGAAGGAAACAAAAACTTAGGGTGGCAATAGGTAGTGTCTAAGAACACAGCATCAGCACCAATAAACGGAGCGAGAGCAGGTTCCGATACCATCGAACTACAAAACCGGAAATCGCCAGTGTGAACATACCTCTCGCAGTTGATTCCGTCGGCGGCGGCGGGGATTTTGAAGAGGAATTGGACGGCGCCAGGGCAGTGGTTGGCGTCGACGAGGGTGATTTCGGAGCCGTCGATTTGAAGCGGTTGGCGGAGAGGGAGAGGGAATACGAAGGGGGAGGGGACATTGAGGACATGGAGGAGGAGGTTGGCGGTGGTGTCGGAGCAGAAGATGATGCCGCGGGACCAGGTGGAGGAGAGGCCGGCGTAGTGGTCGGAGTGGAAGTGGGAGAGGAAGTAGGAGACGGAGTAGTCGCCGGCGTAGCGGAAGGCGTCGACGAGGAAGCGGGTTTTGGGGATGAGTTTGGAGTGGGGGAAGGAGGGTGGGACTGGGACGGAGGAGGGTGGTGACGGTGGTGGTGAAGAAGGTTGAAGAGATTTGTGGGCGGTGAGGTACAATTGGGTGGAGTTTAGGGTTTGGGGTTTGGATTTGGAATCCATGAAATGCAAGAGAAATAAAGGGTCGGGTCAGGTCCGGTGAGATTGATATTGGAATGAAAGAAGAAGCATTTCCGGCTTAACAATCAGAAATGAGAAATGAGCGGTTTCTAATTGGTTGGGGTTTTTTGAGTTTTCCAATTTACCAGGGAAGTGGCTAGACATATGGCGCCAAAACAACCAGTGAGTGTTTTTTTTTTTTTTTTCGGGAGTGTTGGCTCGAATTCGACGAGTCACCGAAATAAATTTTAGATGCATCTGCAAGGGACATTGATGATTGTCGCACCCTTTAATAAAAATTTACTTCATTGTCACGTTTGGAAATTTTTTTGTCAGGTATTTTGTAGATGTCTGTATTTTTGTCACGTGTCAGCATTCTGTCATTCTAGCTGGGTAATCTAGCAAAAATGGTTGACCATTCAGACGCTGACACGTGTCTAGTCCATTCTCGCTTGTGAGACCAGCAAGATTGTGACGTGACATTTTGGCAAAATAAATTTCAGGCGTGGCAATCAGGTAAATTTTTGCTCAAAAAGTGACAATATGATCATTGTTCCCATGTGCAACTAGATCCAGTGCATCTAAGCATTACATATCAGAAGAGATAGAGAAAATTTGACGGAGAAGAAAAAAATTTGGCTGATATATAATATTTTTTATTAACGAAATGCATTGAATTTTTGGTGCAACAATAGTAACGAAGATTTATTCGAGTGAAAGGCCGAAAAAGGCAACCAAATAATGGAACAAAACTTTGGAATAACCAAGTAGATACTCTCTTATTTGTGAAAAAAAATTTAATGTGGCATGAAATTTTTTTTTAAAAAAAATGGTACATTTTTTTTCAAATGTGAAAAAGAAAAATACTCACTATGAAAAAAATTTCAATGTGGCATAAATTTTTTTTTTTCAAAAATGGTTAAATTTTTTTCAAATATGAAAAAAAATAGAGCACGCACTTGGTTATTCCATTAGTACCAAAGTTTCGTTCCAAATAATGGACCTAGCTATCCCAGCTTGGTAGGGAAGACACCATCTAAGACATGATCACCGTCTCAAAAGTCACTGAACTCCCAAACTGTAAAGGAATCTAATGTGTGCATTTGATTTGTTTAAAAAACAAACGATAGCACCACTGAGATAATTGGTGGGAGTTATTCCGGTTTAATCAATTAGGAAATTGTTCAAATTTAATCAGTTGTGATTTTAATCAGGACACGCAATTATATTAAAAACTTGAAAAACTGCTCTGTTCCGATCCTTCCAAATTGCCGAGATCGTGCAACGTAGTTGCCCAAAAGCTTTGATCAAAATAGTTAAATTCATATATCATCTAATGTCTTTACAAGGGAACTTTCAATTCCGTTACATTGATATGATGCTCCGAGAAAAAAAATGAATATAAATGCTGTCAAATATTGTAGGAAGCGGAATGCTATATTGAACGATCCAAATGGGACGGAGAAACAGGAAACTATTGAACAGAGGCGAAAGGGGAAGGGGAAGGGGAACGGTGTTCAAAAAACACCATCAGTACAGCATAGATAAGACCACGCAGACTTTGCACACAAAGGCAAATGGCAGTTCCGGGAAAATTTGTTCCATACAACCCATTTCTCAGCTTTCACTTCTTTCTCCTTCTCTTGCTTGACCCTTTTGTAGACAGCATTTTCCGTCCGTTTGCACCGTCACTATGCTGCAATTCAAAATATTTTAATAAACTTTACAGTTATCAAGTTAAACAATGCCTGTTAATTGAAATACTAGGGTTCTTTACCTTCTTTCTCAATCTCTTTTTATGCTGCTTCTGTCCTTTGTGATTCTTCTTCACATTCTCCTAAAAGGTTTAGAAATGATTTAGTTTTCCACGCATGTCTAATTATAAATTAGTTTCTTCAATTCAATAATGCAACTTTTAAGTTGGCTGAGTGTCAGTAGAATGCCATGGAACTGTTGAACAACCAACCTCAGTATCTTTGGTTTGGATCTCTGAGACCTCTTGGTTCTCAATTTCACCATCACTATCGAGCATGGCCTTCAGTCTACCTTCACTAAGTAGTTTTTCAGACCGAGCATGTCTCTACAGTAATAACAAAGTCATCATTAGATCAATAAGAAGCTTTTCACACGATGACAAGTAAAAGTTTATAGTTTGTCCTCTCCAAGTTGATCAACAATATTTTTTAGAGCTTAATGAGAAGCTAGTTTGATTTCATTGTTCGACTTGTGAGTAGGACCTCTATCCTATATGCCCTTAAACTTGTGACTGGTGTAGGGATTTTCTTTACCGTTAATGGTTAAATGCTGTGAAACTCGAAATAGGTTATAATTTAATAAAGTGGAGGGAGGATGGGAAATTTCTTAAGTGATGTCACTGATCCTACACGGAAGTAAGAGTGTATTTGAGGTCAGAAAAATAGCCTACCAGGTGGTTTGGGCTATGTAACATTTTACATAATATTGGCTATCACAGTAGTTTACTTGCCAACCCAAAAGGTTGAGCAAAAACTATATGGCATTTTATCAGATGCAACAGATCGATGGCAATCTTGAATTAAGCCCTATCTTTTGCTAAAACGAATTCTCTGTCATTTAAGCTCATTCCCCTATAAGTTATCCGCCTACAGAGGGAAGAACCTTTGATATTAACCCCAACTACAAAATGCGTTAATTGGTATATTTGGCCAGATCAAAATGTCTGCTACACTCAATGATAGAACAACTATACCACCGGGGATTATGTCATAAATTATGGTGGTGCTTCATAGAGACTCAAGGTGTGCTCCTCCTATCCCAGAGTATCTAAATAGCAAAACTTATTGATTGTAACTTCCTTGGGCTTCCCAGTTCAAACCCAACACTAAATTTCCAATCAAATGAATATAATAAATGCAATATAATTGACTTCTTTTGGGAAGAACATTAACATCGGAGTTTATGGATTTTTACTCAAAACTAAAGTAGTAGTATTAGTATGAATAGTAAAAGTTTATGGATTTCTTATCAAAAAAGCGCATTACCTTTGATTGCAGATGATCCCGCATAGTGTCCTCAGTCAAACAGATAATCCGAGGACATATCCTGCACTTAAAAACTGATTTGCATTTTAAGATGTAGGATGGCATATCCGTTGGTAAGAGTTTCTTTTCAGCCAAGACATTAGACTTTTCAGAATCACATGTACCAGGCAACTCCATGTTAACAAGTGTTTGTCTTTCATTTATAATTCCAGCATCATCTTCACTAAATAGCTGACCTAGAGTTACATAAATGTTAAAACAATCATGAAAGGGTTCTTTTTCAAGAAGTAGAGCCATAATATTTACAAAAACAGCAAGTACAATACAACGGATGCTATTATCCCAGAAATAGACAACATGTTATTCACTTTAAAACAGATACAAAAGAAAATGACAAATTAATTTTGAATAAGTGCAAACGTTCAAGACTTAAGTCTCAGGCACAATCAAATCCAAATGGAAAACTAAATTATCTACAATGACTTTTTTATTTTTATTTTTATTTTTACTTTTTCGGGTTAGATATCTGAACAAGTAACCTAAGGCCTAAGCCTAAGGCTGATAACAGTTACTATTATTCCATTTATAATATTAAAATGTCAACAAGCTGGAAGTGAAAATTGCAGACAGCTTATTTTCTCACTGTTAGAGAATGTGTAAGGATTAGGAACCTTAAAAACGAGTCTGAATTTTCAGAGAGAAAAAGCTGAAAAAACGGAGGAGAGAGAAAGAGAAAGAACACTTCTGCGTTTATTACCAAATCACAAAGAAAGAACAAAGGAGAAAAATATCCTTCTCCAAGGGTTTCCCTTCTCTACAACAAAGATAATGCTCAATTACCAAATGCTAACAAACAAACCCTACCTGCTGAGTTGACATCAACATCATTGGCAGAACTTTCCTCACTTTCATATCCTGAATTGCGCCAAAAGAGTAAAAGATGTGAATACGCGAGCAACAATAAGTCAATAGCAAACGCCATTATAATGAAAATACATTTTAAATTCTGATTCATATCGTAATATGATTCAATACAAAAAATAAATATGAGAATTATTGTCTACAACAAATTCTAGGAATAAAATTTAATGCAATTGTGTATCTCTTGTAAGTGCTAATACTGCGGACTATCAGGGAATATACTGTCTTGAGAGGAAAAAACAGAATACAATTAAAAAAAATGTGAATGAACGAACCAGAAGATGTTGATCCAACTTCATTATCCTGTTTTACTTGTGGTATTGGATCATCCTCTGATTCTTCAGTGGCTTCAGCTTCAAGCTCAGAATCTGAGGATGAAGAGGACGGATCTGAGGCATCACGATCACCATGATCAAGCTTATAGAATCTCCTCTTTATCATTCCAATAACAAACACTTGTATAGAGAGAAAGAAAGAGAGATGAAATTGGCAACGACGGCGAGAAGAGAATGAGTAGAGGCAGAGAGCGAATTAGAGAATGTGAAACAAAAAGAATGGATCCGAAAGTTTGAAACCGGGTTGGATAAGGAAAACGGGTTTGCCTTGAACTTTGTTTAGCATAGGTATTTTTTGGGCCTGAAATGGACCCATACACATATAGCCCAAGTCCGTATCGTTAAATATCTAGACTGAAATAATCTCTAGTTCATAGTGGCATTTTAAATGGAATATAAGAATCTATTCATTTTTCAAGTACAAAAAATATTTTTTTTATCACTGTAATGTGCTATCTAGTTTGAACAATGGAGAACCTTTACTCATACAATATATTAATTAGTTTAAGAAAATTAATAATTTCTTTTAATTGCACCAAATTACTGTGCCTTTTTAATCATTTACGGAGAAACTTAATATGGATTAAAGTAAGAACAACACCTAAAATAAGTTAGATTAATAAAAAAAAAAATTCATAAAATTAGATTAAAGAAATTTTATATAGCAGGAGTGATTACTAGTGTATTCGTCTTTTATATATATATATATATATATATATATATATATATATATATATATATTTTCACATAAAAAAAAATTTCTTGAGCAATCGATTTTTATCAAAGTTTGATTAGTAAGACTTTGTTATACTAATAAAGTTGCTTCGTTTTTTCTCTCTCTTCAGACATTGTCGGCTGATGTGACAGAAAGAGAAAAATAATTTTAAAATCTTACTAGTCAGACTTTATTCAAAAATCGGCTACTGCAGAAAAATTTTCAGGAAAAAATAGAACCCATATATATATATATATATATATATATATATAAAATAAAAAACGGCAAAAACAGAACTTAAAAACTCGTTTATAGACAGATTTTTTCTTTCCCCGAGTGAAACATCAGTACCTTACATCAGTACCTTGCGTTGAGTAAAAGCCAAAACAACTAATCATAAAACATCAGCATTATTTTTAGTATTGCATATATGCAATGGGACGAAAGAGAATTCAGTTTACATATTACAAAATTTAACAAATGAAATCTTTTTTCGTTTCCTCTCACAAACCCAAATCTCAACATCAAAATTTCACTCTCAATTTATGTATTTATTCTTTTCATTTAAGATTCAACTTCATCATTTATTTTGCGCCGCTTATGTCCTCTCAAGGATTCCATTTTGTAACTTACAAGTAACAAAAAGTTCACCCCTTAATATTCACTTCGAGCTGTTGTCTAAATAGGTTAATAAAACCACCGTATTCTGCCTTCGAGATTCCTTACATTATATTATAGCTAGTTGGCCAATAATTAATTAATTAATTATTATTCTTAAAACTGGATCGAATTTTCACCTATCGAAACAATGATTCAAGTACTTAAGAGACAAATTTTAATATCTAAAGTATTTTTTTTTTCTTTTCTCTAGGAAAGAAGCTAGCAAGTAGCAACCACTAAGGTGTATCTTGCGAGAATCTTAATAGAGTTCCAAGAAAAGCAAAAAGGCAAAAAATGAAAAATAATAGAAAAAGAAAAGGAATGTATTTTTTTTATACCAATCTAATTACTTTTTTAAGACGAGTAGGATCACTCGAATATTTTTATAAAATTCGACTCTTTGAATTGGTTACGAGACTAATTCAGAATGCAAAGCTTAGTTAGTAATACAGTTTAGTTAGTAATTACAATTAAAGTTCTTCGTCTCTCCCTAATTATGTATTTGATGGGAATTGAACACATATTTTTTCTCCACCTACTCATCATTTGCCAATTGAGCTAGATCGATCGAGTAAAAAAGTAATGTATTTCGAAGCTTGAACATGTGCACTTTTAAATTTATTTACATGTCTAATGACCGAGATGTCTTAAAGAGGTTTTTTCTTCTTCTTGATTTAAAACCATAAAACTATGCTTATTATTAACGTGAAGATTTTGGAAAACTAATATTATAACATTATTAACATAAAGTACTAATTGAACAAAAAAAAGTTTGAAAAAATAGCATAATATAATACATTAAAAAATAAAGTACCAATTTAATACAATAATAAAAATCTCTTAATACTTACAAATATTTAAACTTTACGCGCTAACATTGATATTTGTTACTGAATTGTGATGTAATATAGAAGTGTAGCATTATTCTGTAAACTGCTTTGAGGAATGGTGGTAAGTGGTAACTGGTAACTTCGGTCATTATAAAGCATTGAAAGATACAAATATAGAACCACCTAACAATACTAAACCAAAGATTTAGTAGTGGAGGATTAACTTAATTGCAAGTGAGTGAAAAAGAGAGAGATAAGCTTAATTGCAGGTGAGTGGTAAGAGAGAGATATATTTCTCTACTCTTCCCTCACCAAATAAAGCTTCCATTAAGAGAGCCTTCTTGTCGTCTCATTACTTAAGGTGCAATTCATCACATTAACTATTTACCTCGTTCTTTTCTACACTAACTCTATCTTCTTCCCATTTATGTGCAAAAGGAGAATTAATATAGGACATGTGAGCTATTTGTCAGCCCAAATTACTCAGAATTTCGTAGTCAGTGATCCAAGCAAAGGACTCAAGTGAGGTTCGAAGGAGCTATTAGATGATCGACAAAGCTTAAGAAAGTTGCAATCAGTCCCGGACAATAAAGAGAAAAAAATAGGTAAGTAGTTTATTATTCAAGTTTTGTTATTTTGGATCTCTAACAATTAATGTAGTGTAAAAATATTATAGTTCAATTATTTTATATAAGAGAGTATTTACAAAATTATCTCCAATAGGGCATACCCTTTTGTTTTGTTTACGAAAAAATATTTATAATAATTTAATAAATATAATGTTAAAGGAATAATATGAAATAATATATAAACCTTTACCTAATGGCTAAGTTTGTTTTTAGGTTGAATTAATTCTTTCATATGATATCAAAGTGTTTATGATCTGAATGTTTAGAGTTCGATTATTGCCACCGTTAATTTTTTTTATAAAAACAAAAAAGATATTTGAATTTAAATACAAAATAACCAAATACTAAAATTATTTTCTTTTTAGTATATCATCATCTTTCAAAGTCCAAAATGAATTCTCAAGTGAGGAAACATATTAGAAGAATAATATAAAATAATATGTAAACCTTCACCTCTTAATTTTTTTGGGTTGAATTGATTTTTGAAGAATATTTTATAATTAAAGAATCATAATTTATAGCTATAATGAACTACTCTTGTTGGTCTCAATGAAATTTTTTTTACTTCATATCAAATCGAGAGGGTGAGGTGAGTGACCCTATTAACGTATTTTTAAATTTTTTTAAATAATATCATTTTAAAATATAATCCGATGCAGTGAGATTCATATGCCTTATTCATTAGGGGCTAGTCTTGCACGTTTTTCATGAGAACTATCAGATGAATACACGATTTAGTGTATTTAATTGATATTAACCTTAAACTGTATTATTTGAGATTTTTTTAAAAAAAACAAAAACAAAAATTGATGTAGTTTGGTCAAAAAGCCCATATCGAGATTATTTGTGTTGGTAGCTGAAGGTCCTAGCTACCAGCAGCTGCAATTTTATCTTTGTTCGAAGAGGGTGCGCATATGCATGGAGAGACATATATAATATATTATCTAGCTAGCTTGCGTATCTGATTGTGTAGTGTATATAATATCTCAACGAGTAACTACAGATCAATATAATGATCCATTCTATCAATGATTTGGTTTATAATAATATATATGTAGGTTTATTTAAAAATATTTTGATACATTAATGTACAGGTTGTATGGTTTGGCATACATTGTTATAGGGTTTAAATATATGTTTGAAGAGGGGATACCTCCTTCGGTCACCTTGTCTTCGGGTACGGCCCTGTAGGCTAGTCCCTCTCTGAAACAGCGGACAACGGCTACATTAAACTTCGCTATCGGAGGAAGGAGGAGACTAATCTCTCATTCGAGAAGAGAGACACATCCTCTAGTCCCTAAAGATTTTTTAAAAATTTGTTAGAGACAGATGTTCAAAGTCCTGACTCAAACAAATCCTTGAGAGCTCAGTTGTCAACTGAGCTACCCTTAGAATTCTGTACAGAGATTTTAGGTTTTTATTAATTTGTACGTTTGTTTGTTTATTGCTTATTATTTTTTAAGATATTGATACCGTCACCGTGGGTGACTGAGAATGATAATGCAAAGTTGTCTTACGTGTAGAGGACAAAGGTAGAGCCAAAGAGGGATAAGATATATAGAAGAAAAGGTTGTGCCTTAAAGTGAGTGACATAAAGATCAAGTATGGAAGAAGGTTCAGAGACTGAAAAGCGGGGATGGATGAAAACAAAGACAGCATTGATGGAGGAGATGAAGAGAATGAGCACTATAGCAGCGCCAATGGTGGTGGCTATTGTGTTACAATATCTTCTGCAAGTTATACCGGTGGTAATGGTTGGCCATCTTGGCCAGCTCTCACTTTCAAGTGTTGCTATTGCAATCTCTATCACCAACGTTTCTGGTTTTAGTGTTTTTGTAAGTTCTTAAATTTTCTCATTCCTTCCATTGCCTTTGATCTAGTCCACCACAGGAAAGTTTTACTAATGAGTTTAATTTTAATCCATTGCTAATATCATTTAATTATGTGTTACATATGATAATATAAAATAGTTTTAACAATTATAAGCAGCAATCACTAATAATTGAATAAATAAAAATGTGTACAAGTCCTTAGAAAAGTTAATGATGCAAAAATTGGTGTCTTATTTACCATAAAAAATAAAATAGGATCTTGTAATTATATTGATGAAATAGTTTTATATATATATATATATATATATATATATATAGGCTCCTTTCCATGTATTGGGTCCAATCAACCTTTTTGTGATGTCGCCAAGTCTTTTTTTTTTTTTTTTTTTCTTTTGGTAGGCTGCCAAGTCTATTTAGTTTAGGGCTCAGTTTTGTAAAATTTTTCTTATATAGTCTTCGGTAAAACTTTTTTTTTCATCCGAGCACAATTTCTTTTTCTCACTTTTATTCACCTTTAAATTAAGAGTTTTTTTTTATGTTACATGAGGCTTTTATGTCATAGACACAATAAATGATAAAATCTATTATTTATTAAAAAAAAACAAAAAACAAAAAAGATAGCATAATTTCTCGTAACATGAAAAAGTTATTTATTTCCTATTGTACGAGAATTTTTTTTTTTTTTGGAAAATAATTGTACGAGAAATTAATTTTGCTTGAACTAATGGTGGAAGAATTTATTTTTTACCGAGATGACTGATGAGTTTTGGATTTTCTTATGGAGAGTAGTAATTAGTATATGCTTCTACCTTGTTTATTTTCTAAACACTTTTTAAACCATTGATTTTTTCTAAACACCTTTTTTCACAAAATAAAGTTGTGCAAAGATTTATAATAATCCTTACATCTGGTTAACTGATAATAATAAATGATATCGCAAGATTTGAACACAAACCTTTGATTCAGACATAATTCGGCTCTATCAATTGAGTTAACCACTTGGCAAACTTGTCTTATTTAGTTGTTAACTTGTTATAGTACATCTCTCTTGTTTTCTTTCGTTGTGTTTTACCATGTAACCTTTTTATTGATATGATGATGACCTAGTCAACATGATTAATTATTTTGTAGTACAAAATAACAAGACTAAAATTTAAGGAAGAATCTGTTCAAAAAAGAATGGGAGAAAATCTAATGTCAAATTCCAATACGAAATGTGCTGATTCTCAAAACTAGTAGTATGAGAGGGTAACTGTTAGACGAAAATGTGCTTTAACTCATTCAGTTCTTTTTTTGTCAATGTTGCAGTCAGGTTTGGCTGGTGGATTGGAAACTTTATGTGGCCAAGCTTTCGGAGCAGAACAATATGAAAAATTTGGACTCTATACCTACACTGCTGTGATATCCCTCACTATGGTTTCTGCACCAATCAGTGTTCTATGGATTTTCTTGGACAAAGTGTTAATTCTCTTAGGCCAAGACCCAACAATCTCCCTTGAAGCTCGTAAATATGCCATTTGGCTAATACCTGCACTATTTGGTTCAGCAATTCTTAAACCTCTAACACGATTTTTCCAGACTCAGAGTTTAATTTTTCCATTGCTTCTAAGCTCTTCTCTAGTTTTGTGCTTCCACATAGTAACTTGTTGGAGTCTAGTATTTAAATTGGGGTTAGGACATGTTGGTGCTGCAATAGCCTTCAGCCTATCAACTTGGTTTAATGCAATACTTCTTCTGTCCTTTGTGAAGTATTCCTCTGCCTGTGAGAAAACACGTATCCCATTTTCGAAGAAGGCTTTCCATAGTATAGGAGAGTTCTTTCGCTTTGCTGTCCCATCTGCAGCAATGATTTGGTAACTATTTCTTCTTATTCTCTTCTATGTTTTCAGCTGAAGTATTCTGCTTCATAAAAAATCCCTGCTTGAACACTAGGAACCCAAAAATTTGGACCATATTTGGAGTGCCAAAATTATGGGATTGCTGAATACTAAAGAACCCAAAATCCTTACATTCTTTAGTATGCTATAAATACTTGGTAATATTATTTTTTTTAAATGTCAAGACAGACATGACTTATTGAAGAGTATTATACTTTTGCCCCCAATTGCATCAGTATAAAATACATGTCTGTTTGGTTATAAACATACAAGTTTTTTTTAGTACAATATATAAATTAAGAGATTAACATTTCTTATGTTATGTTGTAGAAAATAATTTATCTACTACACACACGTAAAAGTGTCTGAGCCCCATGTGGGATCATTTGAAAAGAAGAGAGAGAAAAAGAAAACATAAACCTCAGTATCTCACATATTTTTATGGGAAAACATTTTCTCCTTTTAAAGGAGAAAATTTTTCTCATGTTAGTGACTCAAAGCATATGTGGGTCCCACCTTTAATTTTTGTCTCTTTCCACTATTTTGTGCGACCCACTTATACAATGTGTCACTAACATGAGAAAAATTTTCTCTTTTAAAAGGAGAAAATGTTTTCCCTATTTTTATATACGTAGGAGATAAAATTATTTCATACAATATGAAAAACAGTAATACCATAAATTAAAATAACTATTTATATTAGTCTAAGAGATTTAAAAGGTTTTCCAGCATGATCATCATGGTTTAGCCAACATGGTCACTTGTTTTGCCATGTATATATATCTGTCATCTACAATTTTTCGTCTTTAACAGTCTTAAATGGTGGGCATGTGAGTTGCTTGTTTTGCTGGCTGGACTTTTTCCAAATCCAAAGTTGGAGACATCAGTTCTGTCTATATGGTATTGCTTATTTTGATTTCAGAATCTGCCATTGTTTTAGAAGAAAATGAAACCACTCTAATTAATCAGTAATCTCTTAACTTTATTTTTGTATGGTCAGCTTGACAATCTCTACATTGCACTTCACCATACCCTATGGGCTTGGGGCTGTTGCTAGGTCCGTTTCTCACTTCACCATATACTATATGGTTAATTTTGTCCATGTGCTGATATTAGCAAAGTGAACATAGTAAAAAAGTGACACATTAATTCTTTATGTGACACAGCACGAGAGTTTCAAATGAACTAGGAGCTGGGAATCCAAAAGCAGCACGTTTGGCTGTTTCAGCAGCTATGGTACTTGCCGTTACAGAGGCTCTGATTGTAAGTGCAACCCTATTCGGCTGCAGATATATATTGGGTTATGCCTATAGCAATGATAGTATGGTTGTTCATTACTTGGCTGTTATGACCCCTCTGCTATGTCTCTCAGTTTTTATGGACAGCTTGCAAGCACCTCTTTCAGGTTTACTAGTCTTCCTTATTCTTTTGCTTGTTGCCTTTAATAATCAAATTGCTAGTGAGTTTAACTGGTCTCATTTAACTCTTTCTCATCATATTCTAATGAAAAATGTTATATTTACAAATTTTTTGTTTACAAACTATATTAAGTATGACCGGTCATACTTCAATAGAAGTGTATGATCGGTCATACTTGGTATAATTTGTACAAAAAATTTGTAAACGAATCATTCCCCTATTCTAATATAGTGTCATGTATACATATGTGATTATAATAAATCCATTTTATTTTTCTCTAAATAATGATCAGGGGTTGCTAGGGGAAGTGGGTGGCAACATGTTGGAGCCTATGTGAATCTTGGAGCGTTTTATCTGGTAGGAATTCCTATAGGTGCCGTGCTTGGCTTCGTTGTACATTTCAGAGCAAAGGGCCTTTGGATTGGAATAGTCAGTGGCTCCATTGTCCAATCAATTTTTCTTTGCCTCATTACTGCTTTCACAAATTGGAAAAAACAGGTCCACACTTGATAAATTTGATACTATCCTCCTTATCCCCGACCAATACGTTTCTTTGTTCAAAAATAGAAATATATGTTTTAAATATTATGCAATTTTTGCAGGCCGTGATGGCAAGGGAGAGAATATTTGATGCCACATCTTCGGATGAAAATGGAGCAAATCACATAACGGGTGCTTCATGTTAATGAGTTGGCTACTTTCAGCATTGTTTATGTATCCTAGATTAAACAAAAAAGAAATTAAAAAAAAAGTCGGATGGATTGGTGCGAAAGAAAAATTTGATGAACTCGTTCAATGTTAGTAGAGTTTAAGAATTGATGAAAAATCAACCGAACTATTATAAAACCTTTAAAAATCGGTGGTTTATTGGTTTCAACTAGCTTTTTTTATTTATTTCAATTCAATAAAAAATATTTTTAAGTTAAATAAAAATTTAATGTCAAGTTATGAATGTCTGCATATAAGTAATATGTTAGATAACTTGTTCCTTTTTTTTTTTGGTGAACAACTTGTTCCTCTTTTAATTTTTATACATCGAGTAATCTTTTTTTTGGGTAACATGAAGTGGCTAAACTCCAGAGAACAAACAACAAAGGAACAAATATTTTTTTAATTATACATTAGATTACTCGTTTAACGCGTGGTACTTGTATAATCTTCTTTTAGTTTTTATATATGTTTACATGTTTTCATTGTTATTTAATGCGAGACGTCTCAAGCACTTTCTTCGCTTAATCTGACATTTGTAGGACGATTATTTTTTGGGAAAAGTGTCTATACATTTAAATTACACAACTTACATCCTTTCACTCTCACAAAGAGGTGGGACCCACAACTTTATTTTTTTTGTCAACTCTCTCTCCTCCTTTATCTATCTCTTTCTCTCTCTTAAAATGACACAACTTTACATCCTTCAAAATTATACACACTTTTCCCTTATTTTTTATGTCTATCTGGTAATTAAGAGATAAAATATAATTTAAATTTATTTCTTATCATTTTTTTAATTTATTATATAATATTAAAAAAAGTATCTACTTTAAAAATATTTAAAAATGTTATTTGATTTTAATTATATCAATTTCTAAAATTTAAATTTAAAATTTTTTAATTCAAATTTTTTATTTATTCTGTTTTTATCTTTTAATTGAATTTTCTCAAATAATTATATTGGTTTATTTTGATCACAGTCTAATTATCCTTCTACCAATAATTTAGATTTTCCAGAGACAAATAAAATAAATTAAAAGAACAAACAGTTGAAAAACCTAATAATTCTATATTGTCAGGTCCTACATAATACTTTATAGTTATAGTACATCGTGATTAATTTAAAAAATAACAAAAAGCTTGAATCATATACTGGTAACAGACTAAACCTTTATAAATATATCTTGTTAAATTAAGCTAGCTTGTATTGACTATTCAACTTTATCACGGATTCAGATACTAGTAATATTGTGCATTTTAGATAGTTTTAAGTTCTATTGGAATAAGAAAACCAAAAACAAGAAGAAAAATAGTTTATATTAGGGGTGCTCAACAATCACACCCAAATTGATTCAAATTGCAGCGACCGAATTGACAAACCAATAACCGAAATAATTTAAAATAAAATAAAAAAGCAAAATTTAATTGAATTGGATCGATTTTCGGTTTGGTTAGTGAAAATCTATCCGATCCAAACCGATTTAATGATTCCACAACCTTGCCTTCTATTTTCTTCTTTTTTTTTTTTTTGGTGTGGTCCTTGCCCTCTATCTACTTGGGCTTTTTTCCAATCATACCCCAAAAATCATATAGTAAAATTTTAAACTCAAGACTCATTAATCCATCATATTGGAGAAAGCGGATTGTGCTTGATCTATGTTATGTTTTTTTTTTTACGATACATCATATATTTTTATTGCATGACTTATTATTGTATAACATCTCCTTTATAGGATGAAAATTTGAATTACTCTGTATTTCAAGCAAAATCACATTGTAAATTTTTTGTTGGAGGTAAAAGATGATAATTCAACTTTTTGTTATATTACATTGAAAATTAGATTATCGTTTACTCATGTTTACTGATTGTAAAATAATCATCCTACAAATTTTACAAAACCGATATATACAAAAGATATTATTTGCACAAAAAACATTGTATAAATTTTAGACTCTTCAAAAAATAGAAAATCGATTCCAAACCGAATAAAATTGAATTGGATTGGATTTAAAAAAAAATCAAACCGAATGGATGATTATATGATCAAATCTAAGGAATTAGATAAGATAATTTTTGCTTTCAAAACTAATGTTCTCCGGACCACGAATACCCTTAATTTATATTAGATTGCTGAAAATGCATGGGCAATAAAATATCACAACTGGTTTACGGCCAATTAGTTTACCATATATTCTTTCAATCATGGATAATTGACCATCCTAAAATCTAGAGTATTGCAATTGGTCAGCAGAAAAATGATTTTTTGAAATGGAGGATAAAGTAGGAACTATTTAATTATTATTTATACCATACAGAAAAATGTAAGAACTTCTCTTCTCTCGACGTCAAATTCGAAAAATAATTTTATAATATATATATTTTTTTCGAAAAACTATAACCTAGCTTGTCCGCAAACAAAAACAAAACAAGTTGTGCATATGATTAAAATCCATGCATTTGGAGACAAGTTGTCCCCGCGCTGTATTTCTTAATAAATACCTCACAGTCTAGGGGCAAGTTCACATTGGTTGATGAGTCCTGCTTTATAAGAGCCAGAGGGAATGGCACTATAACAAGCTATTTTAACTTGTGAACCCATTGACATTAATGATGGAAGATGATGGCACTTCTGAACAATTTTTGGATGAACGTGTCTGCCTATTAAAATAACTAATTAACAATATGACCAATATAAATAATACAGAGTTGAGTATCTTATAGCATATGCTAATATTCTATGAAAAAGGACATTGAAAACAAGTTTTAGTTGCTCCATTGTATATTAGTATTTTTTAAAAATCTTTCAATAGTTTGATTTTTATTGAGAGTTACACTATCATATAATAATATGTGGTTATATATTTGACAAATTTGACAAGCAATGATAGGTTAAACTTAATTATTACATAATATAATAACATATTACTGAATAATAATATCAATATTTTTTATTGATAATATATAAAAACTGAATTATTTTTAAAATATTATTTTTATCATATTATAATTAGAAATTTGTGATATTTTAAACTAACCTTTTTCCAATAACAATAATCTCTTTATCATGCCATTTCCTTATTGGGTTTTATATGATCTCAATATAAAATATACTTTGGTGTAATCATGTTTGGGCATATCACAAACAGAGTTTTATTTTTTAAATATTTATGATGATAATAATAAAAAAAATAATGTAAAAGTTGAACTAGTGTAAATTGAACCATATGCTCTTTTATTATTCACAAAAAAACTTGAGCACCAGGTTTTCCAATTTGATCACTATTGGAGCTAAACCGTTAAAGATAAGTTGTTCTAAGGTTACCTTTCAGCAATGCTACACAACAAAATGAAAAAATAACCAGAAATTTGTCAGAACTTAAGAATGGTAATAGTATTAGGCGGTTTGGAGCACCTGATAAGGAAGATAGGATAGGATAACTTATCATATCCTACTTTTATCTCTTGTTTGGTGGGTCAATAAGATATGATTAGCTTATCCTATTGGCTCATTTTATCCTATCCAATACATGATTTCTTATCCTATGGGGGGAGCTGAGTTAGGATTCAACAGTATAGGATACCAATATTGGATACCCAATATATCCCCACGCTACCCAATATATCTCCACGCTACCCAATATATTTGTATTTTTGCATTATATTTTATTTTTTCTTTCTCCTTTCTCCTTCTACATAATCTTATCAGATTGCTAACCAGGTGCTCATCAAACACAGGACATTATATAGGCTTATCAGCCTCATATATATCATATCCTATCATGTCCACCAAACGAGCCCTTAGGATTTTATTAATCTCCTTTTACATAAAATAATTATCTTATATTGTAGAGAAAAAATAAGTAAGTCCCACCATTACAAGAAAAAAAAGGTGGGGGTCGTATACAACAAAAGAAAAAAAAAAAGTGGGGTGCGAAAATCGAAATGAGAAAACATGAGAGAAGTTATATTATGTAAAAGGAGAGTAATATTTCTCATAGTATTAAATATAAAATTAATAGGGATTGCCTATTCGTTTGAAAGTCAATCAACATCTTAGCATAAAATTGAAACTCGAGTAATCAAGACAAAGTACGCTTTCTTAACCATGAGATCATTTCCTTGAATTCCTAACCATAGCTCAGTCCCTTAAATTTCATAATCTATTTAGATTGGAGTCAATCTTGATGAGATATTCATCTTCTGTCGACATTGATCCGTCTCTATTTATAACGTGCACATGAAACTTGCAATTGTATAGTCTAATAACAATAAACTTGTTATAAATGAGAAGTTATTAGAATATAGCATTTTGAGCAAATTATTTGTCAAAATATTGTCTTTAAAAGTGACACAAAACTAGGCAGCTATAGGGGCGTGAGTCACGTGACCCTTAATCGATTGCTAAATTCAAAAGTTGAGTGAAAGCCTAAGTCAGCTGAAATTTTTTAAAACATTGTTGATCTATCCTCGACTCAAGTTAAATATTTTTCACGTGGGTCTTATCTTAATACAAAACGACACAAGTTATTCAATCAAGGAATCAAAGAAAAAGATTTCGAATAAGTCTTGAAAGGAGAAATAAATTGAAAGACTTCTTCGGTAGATAATTTGCATTTGCTGTATAAATACCATCAAAAGAAAGATTGTGATTGAAATTGAAAGAGCAATAGGAATCGAGTAAGATGCAAATTATAGGTTGACATACGCATAGAGTTTTGGACTTTTGGCAGTTAGATGTTTTCTGAGTTAGTCATTGTTTGATGTGGTATTAGGTGCTTGTTTGGGCAAATTCTTTGATTTCCCATTCTGTAATGCCTTTAACAAGCATGAAAAGCCACCTTTTGGCAAGCTTTATAAATAAAAGTCAATTACTTTCAGCAAAATAATTTATTTAAAATATAATTGTTACTAAATATATTTTTTTTGAGTAAATACCATTTTTGGTCCTCAGCAAATTTCGCGATGCCTGCTTTAGTCCCTAGCAAATAAAAAAGCACATCGTGGTTCCTAAGAAATTCAAAATGGACTCATTTTAGTCCTTTTAGGGACTAATATGTGTCGACCAAAAAACATATTTACTCTATTTTTTTTATATAGGAATACATGAAGACCATTTGAATATATAAACAGGAGAAAGAAAGCAGCTATAAAGTAAGAATCAAATCCCGGACAATCAGGCCCCTGAAGATTACTTTATTCGACGATGATTTCACACAAATTAGTAATTACTCAATATCAAGGCATCTCACTCCTTATTAATTAGACGTTCATTTAATTTACTGGCTGATTTCAATTTTCTCCAAACATTTAATGTAATAAACGCATATTGATTTGAATAGAAAGAAGGCCTTTACCTACAGCGTAAAAAGATAATCTAGAAAAGAAAAGAAAAACATATAATGTATTTCACTGAAAAAAAATGTAGGATTCGTTTTTTTCTGCAGTTACTATATAACGTCGTTTTGGGCATAAATCATGGTATTTTTGTAATTTTAATTTATTTCAGGATTATTATAGTCTTTATAATTATAATTTTTTAATCTTTCAATCTCAAAACGACATCGTTTTGAAAGTAAATGCAGATAATTTATTTGCATTAACTGCAGAAATATTTTTCTGAAAATTTTATTATAGTATTTTTTTTTTATTTAACAATAAGGGGCACAGCCCCAAACAAAACACAAGAGAAACTAAACAAACAACTAACAAACTATCCAGGGTCTATAATCTCCTGGAGGTCTTGATCAAAAAGTTGAGCAAGCTAATCTGGCATGATTCTATGATGCCAAAATTCAGTGTCTCTGTGAAGGGCAGACTTGGCTAACCAATCTGCACAAATATTTGCTTCCCTAAGAATATGATTAAGTGTTACCTCCCAGTCTTGAGCAATAAGTGCTTGTATCTTAGCCACTATTCGCAGCTGACAAGCTGCATTGCAATCTGCAAAAATAGAGAAAACTTCAGAAGCATCTCCTTCTAGTTCCACTTTTCTAAACCCGATTTGCCAGCCCATCTCCAAACCTTTAAGAGTTTCCCAAAATTCTGCCATGATTGGGATACAAGCACCAATGTGATACTCAAAATCTCCTAACCATGAACCATCATCAGATCTGATTAACCCACCACAAGCAGCCCTTTCGCTAGTCCTTTCAACAGCGCCATCTACATTGATCTTTTGGACGACTAATTTAGCTTCTCGACAAATCAAGTTGTGCATGTCTAACTTAGGAATTTTTTTTTTTTATAATTTGGTATTCAACAATAATTCAATTACATCTGAATTCATATATATTTTTTACCTTTCTTATTTAAAAAATGAAATTAGTTGAATTTTTTCGATAAAAACTTAAATATAAGATATAAGTTAAAAATTTAAGTGTAAATATCACTAATATAGAGAGGTTCACATTGCTAGTCCTCTCGAAAAAATTGTTATAGAAATTGTTATAAATAAAAAGTGTTAAGTTGGGAATTGAAGAAGGGGGAATGGGAAGGGTGTATGTGGGAAGAAGTCCTATATTCTGGGGGCGTTTGGTAGAGGAGAGATTTTTTTTTCATCTGGGAATCTCGATTTTTAAAAATATGATAAAAATATTCAGTTTACGATAATATCCGAAAATTAAAAATTTAGAAAAATTCAATTTCTCGAAAATCCTATAAAATACTATGTACCAAACGCCCCCTTTTAGTCCACCATAAACACACCATCGTTGTCCGTCCCATTGGCCGCCATGTGTGTGAGGAAATATTTTTTACTAAATTATTTTTTATTTTACAAATTTAGCTGTAAGGGGGCATTTGGTTGAGGGGAAATTTTTTGAATACTAGGGAAATGTAATTGATAGGGAAATGGTTAGAAAGTGAGTTTGGTAGGAAAATGTAAAAAAAGTTGTTTGGTTGGAAAAAATTTAACCGGGCAAATTAGGTAAGATTTACAAAGTCTATGTTTGGTTTGAGGTAAAATATAGATGGGGAAATAAGTGATAATTACAAAAATGTCCCTGTTTTTAAAACAAAAAAACTCTGTTCAATTATGTTATCATTCAGTACCTTAATTGTAAGATGAATAACCCAGGAGATAAATGCCCTATACTACTCAGGCTGGAGACATATGAAACCAGAAGATTGAAACTTGACACGACTAACAAATGTATGTGAAAAAAAAATTCCTTTCAGAGACGGAGGTGAAAACATACAGAAACCCTTCTTTTTCTTCTGAGCCTCTCATCCTCTTGGCTTTGGCAAAAGAGAAGAAACAAAGCAGAGAAAACCAAAAGAAGCTCAGCTCAAATTAGCCAGACTCAAACTCGCCTTCAAACTAGCAAAATACGAAGTGGGGGCTGCTGACCACTCAAAAGAAGATAATATCACGAGGGTAATTTCGGTAGCTTTAATTTTTCATTTTCCAATTTAAATGGCTATCGACCAAAACCCACATCCAAGATCGCTTTCTCAACAGTGCGAATGCCCTGCTTTCTAGACCAAATGGAGAAATCCCATGCAAATGGGATAGATGGGCACCCTTGCGAAATCTGTCTACCAAATGAAGTCTTTGAGGATTGCCAAGTTCATTTGCCTAGCTAAATTGTAAGATCTCCTGAACCAAACAGGGCCTAATGACTTTTAAAAATTTTTCCAACGAACACAAAGTTTCCCAATGGTTGCTTCTTAAACGGTATGTTACGAAGGATCGCGTGTGCCAATGACTTTTTTCCATCGAACATAACACTTATTTTGTAACTATTCACCGTCTACATAGTTACCTCTCAGAACACTTATATCCAGAGAATCAGTGAATCCAAACATTGATTTTTGACCTACATACCAAAACTCTGCCATTTTCAATTCTAAACCCTACATTCATCATTTTTGAGCGATTGTTCAAGCGTGTTGTTATTGTTGTTTTATTTGGTAGTGTCACGGCCAAAACAGAGATACATGTTCTATTCTGAAAGGTGTTTGTCAAGATTATTAGATATTGCAGAGAAAGCAAAATTGCCTCAAGGATACAATGTCCAACATACTTAATAGAAACATGTAGGATAACTACATATATGCATTTCATCATAATCGTCATTCATGTGTCATGTTCAAGAACACTTTTTCAGTGCACCCGTCATATGTATGTCTCCGATTCAAAAAATGACACTTGGACTAATTTTTTTTTTTTAGTCTTTTCCGTACAATTTGTACCTCTTCTCTCCTATTTTGATTGGCCCATCTCACTGAGTTAGTGGTGCGACAATAATACCTTAAAAATTTCTCATATTCAAATCATATAACTAGATTTTTTTTTAAATGGGAAAAGGTCAAATTAGTCTCAACGAGTTGACATATCACCCAAGTTTGACTAATTCACTCAAAAACACACACGCATACATAATTCTCATATTATTATATATACAGAGAGAGGAGAAGGATATTCTAACTATTAAAATTTTTTACTACCAACTTACTACTTATCTAATCATCATTAGATTAACATTTTCTCTCTTTTCAAAAACTTTTTAACATTCTCTCTCTTTGATCCAATGGTGATGTGATGGGTAGTAAGTTAGTAGTGAGAGTTTTTGGTAGTTAGAATATCCTCACTCATATATATATATATAGGGTCAGGATCATTTTACACCAGTGTAAGTTACACTCTTAATCTTGATCGTTGATCCTATTTCTATCTAATGGTTCTAATTTATTAGATATTTGAACCGTTAGATTCAAGTAAATCAATGATTCAGATTTGGTCCTGCCTCACATAAATATATATATATATTATGTTTTATAGCGTTTAATATTTATTGTAAGAACTGATGAAACAATAAACAATTCAATAAAAATACCAAAACTTAAAATAAAATTGAAATTGTATTAAAAAAATAAAATTGAAACTGTTGTAATACAACTCCCATGAGATTTAGACAACTTCTCGTGAAACCAGAGTACGCAATCATTAATCCATAGTTTCCCTCATATATATGTCTTTTTAAAATGTATTAGTTAAAATAATTGTGTATCGTAGGTTTAGATGTAAATTATAGCCTTCCTTGTAGACTCATTACTTTGACAATTATAATATTAATTTAATTAACCAAAATTAGTACGGACAAAATGATTCATTAGTTAGATATATATAAAATGAGCTTTATACTTTTCCTAGGAGACATTAAACCACTGACTATTCCATTATAATTTATAATCATGATTCCAGAAAAACCAACACTTTTTTTTCAAGGAGGTCCTAGCTATTAGATTTAGTAAAGAACAGAAACTGAGCATATTCCAAGGGCAGATCGAATCATCACTTTTTCACCCCTTAAATAAAAGCATGAATAATCATTCCTTACAAAATGAAATAATTTTTTTTTCTATATAGCTTTATTGATTATAGTTTTAATTCTCGTATTACTGTTGTTAGGTTCAGGATGGACCAGCCTCCGGTCTCATGGTCCCATTCTGATGGTAATTAAGTTAGTTCCTAAATTATTTAAGATAGACTCTGAGAGAGAGTGAGGCTACTTTTGCGCTAAGAAGTATGATATTTATTGATCTGCAGTAGGTAGCTGGGAGGGAAGAGCAGTGTCCTTAAAGCGTGAAAAGTAATAGTCAGTTACAACTTACAAGGCTATTATCCCATCGACTCCTAAGAAGTAGCGGTATGTTATCAATTCTTCAAAAAATGAATTAATTTGTCTTGTTTTGTTTTTGACAATAGACTAAAAAACTTATCTCATCGCCTCAACCCTATTTTATATTAATCCGTTTCAACCCATTCTGTGTCACTGTCAATTTACTAAAAAATGAATTAGCAATTGTAAAACTCAGCCCGTAAAGAATCACCCTATAATTACTAAAGCTTTGATATTATGTAAAGAATTACTTCAACTCAAAATCTTAAGATGTTAGGTGAGGACTTTTTTAATGATTTATATTATTCTCTAACACAGCCTGCCATGTACCATTTGGCGGACGAGACAGATTGGCTTGCTAGGTCAAAACCATTTTGTCGACCCTATTAAGTACCCTCGTACTGGACAGTTTACCGGTACATTTCAAATATTATTTATCAAACATAATATAAAGAGTTAAAATAAACGAAAATCCTTTTTACGTTGCTGGAAAAAATTATCACATGCAAAAAAAAAACCTATGTAGTACATATATAATACATAATTATAATGTTAAATTTGCTTATAGTATATAGTTATTTTTTTTATATGAGATAATTTTTTTCCATCAATTGATATAAGAAAAATAGAACCCTAAAATAAAATAAATTTTTCTTTTTTTGGTAAACAAATATAACATGGATTGATGGAATTGTGAAGTACAAAATTATATAAACATAATAATACTCAAATTCTTGTAAGTAACATGGATTGATGGATTCAAGGGAACAAGGAATCATCTGATCAATGATCACATGCCTGGTTTTTATTGTGGATCAAGTTCACTGAGCTGTTTTTATTTGGATAATTCTTGAACCATGATTCTTAATTGTATATAATATAAGGAAAAAACTACTCTCTAGCTACAGGAGAGTAGTTTATTTTCCTACAGAGACATGAACTTTTAAATTTTTTATTTTTATTTATATTTTATAATTATGTGAGTCTCATTATATGATTGTGAGAATAATATAGATAATCTCTCTTGTTAACGTAGATTAATAAAGTCCATAATATAATAATGAAAAAGAAGATTAATCTGGAGAAAATGAGATAAACGAACTAAGCCAGAATCACGGTATCCGTAAGAAAGATACGGACAGGTTTGTTTTATGTTGATATGTTTTTAGTTAATTATAAATATTTCATTTTTACTATATTTTACATAATTTCAAAACAAGTAATAATACAAATAAATTAATCCTTTTCATAATTATTGATACTTAAAATAAGGAATAAAACAAACCAACTACATTTCTTATAATATTCGTTTTGCACGCGGTGGCTCGTGGATTCAGATAGTCATGTGTCTGTCACAAATTATTATCTTATCAAGACTTTTTGTATTATTTTATTATAATTCAACCTTTTCAAGTCTCATCATGTATATGGACACATTTATTGCTAAGATTGAGTTTAAAAAATATGTACCGTGAATATAGAGAGTTTTTACGTTAAAAAATCTTAATATTTTAATACATTATTATCTGTTATTATTTATAACTTTAGAAATTAAAATAGTTAATAATAACTTATCAATACAATGATGAAATATAATCTATTTTTTTATATTGGCATGGTAAACCAATTAAATTTGATAAAAAAATTATGTGATATTAAACATATCTAAAATTATGTGAAAGACTATGATATAGAGTAATTTTTTTCATTTTTGAGTATGTCAATCTTTAAATAAAGTAGCTATAATATATATTGTTAAATTTTATGAAAAATATTTGTTGGGGATTACTGGACCCATATATGTGACGCATCATTGAAGTGTCAAAATTAAAGTTGCATAATTATGTGAAAATATAGAAATACAAGTGTGGGTCAGTGGGTGGGTTGGTGTAGACAATTTCCATTTTGATTTGACTAGTGATTTGTTTATTTACTGGGGAGAACTTAGATGATCATAAAAGAACTTTATCTTTTCCTATATAATACCTTTGTTCTTCATCTCATCTCACATTTGTTTGATGAACATTGCTCTGCATGGAAAGCTCTAGAGAGATGTCTAAGGAGGAAGCAGCACCACTGCTTACAAAGAGTGAAGAGAATAATGGGGTGACACCACTAGAGGGTGCATTTTGGCTAGAGCTTAAGAGGGTAGGCTCCATGGCAGCTCCAATGGTGGCTGTGACAGTATCTCAGTACCTTCTGCAAGTTGTGTCACTCATGATGGTGGGACATCTTGGGATACTTGTCTCCTTCTCTGGTGTTGCCATTGCCTCCTCTTTTGCTGAAGTTACAGGCTTCAGTGTTCTTGTAAAGTCTTCTTCCACCTTCTATTATTTTATTTTTTATTTTTATATGGTTCACTGCACCCATTGTTACTTATCCACTTTTCATATTTTTCAAATTTAAACATGTACAGATGATCTTTTCTTCCAAACAGTGTTTGTGCAGATTCAAGTGTGACTCAGATTAAGCTTCTCTTGGCTTTTTATTATTATTATTTTTCTTTTAATCTTTTTAATCAGGAAACCTTTTTTAATTCTCTGGGAGAGGGCTCAGGGAACTTGATTTGATTTTTCAGTTAGTACTTAGCACTAACATACTGTTAGCCGCGTCATTTGTGAAAAGTATAATGGAATATACTTTACTTTCATCCTTATTTGATTCACTTTGTTTTTGCTAATTTTTTGCTAAAATGGATGTAAGTCATGTTTTACTTGGAAACCCATTTGTAAATTGAAGAAAAATAAAATAAAATTGAAACTTCTTAATTAGCATAGGTGATCATGTGATTACTGCAGATGATCTAGGAGATTTTCTTCCTTGTTCTGAAGATAGGATCCTATTTACTCTTTTTAAGTGTATAGAGTTGTTTCATTTAGGTGATAACACTTCCTCTTAGTCTGATATCAAACTTTTGATACAGGATCTGCAAAAATAGTTGAAATGAAAGTTGCAAACTTGAAAACCTCCCTCCATTCAACTTTATAGTCTCTAGCCTTAGGTTATTTTTCATTTGCATCTACAATTTTATGTTAATGTCCTCTCTGTGTTTTGATGACTGACCAGATTTTGAAATGCCTTGCAGCTGGGAATGGCTGGTGCATTGGAAACTTTATGTGGCCAAACCTATGGTGCAGAGGAATTTAGAAAGCTCGGAAACTACACATGCTGTGCAATTGTGACTCTAATCTTGGTTTGTCTCCCCATATCTCTGGTGTGGATATTCACGGATAAGATACTCTTGCTGTTTGGTCAAGACCCTGAAATTTCTAATGTAGCTCGTGAATATTGCATATGCCTCATCCCTTCACTCTTTGGCTATGCTGTTCTTCAATCACTGACTCGCTACTTCCAGACTCAGAGTATGATCTTTCCCATGGTTTTCAGCTCAATTGCGGTTCTGTGTTTGCATATACCTATTTGTTGGGGTCTGGTATTTAAATTGGGACTGGGACATGTTGGAGCAGCATATGCTATTGCAATTTCATATTGGTTGAATGCCATTGGTCTTGGACTTTATATGAACTACTCTTCAGCATGTGAGAAAACCAAGATTGTGTTTACTAGTAATGCTTTAAGAAACATTCCTGAGTTCTGCCGTTATGCTATCCCTTCTGGACTTATGTTTTGGTAAATATATATAACATAACTTTGCATCTTCCGGGACAGAACTACACAATGGTTCTTTCACTTTTTTTTTAGTCTAATATTGTCTTCTCCCTAATTGGTTTTCTTATTTCAATCTTCATAGTTTTGAATGGTGGTCTTTTGAGCTTCTTACATTACTTGCGGGGCTTTTACCTAATCCACAACTCGAAACTTCAGTTCTTTCTGTCTGGTGAGTGGAATCAATTTCTCATCAAGTATTGAAATAATACATGAAGGGTTTTTTTTTCTAACATATCTCAAACTTTTTCAGCCTTAACACAACTACATTGCACTACTTCATTCCTTACGCTGTTGGAGCTTCTGCAAGGTTTGGTCCAAACCTGTTTGTTCATTTTCATGATCTTGTACAATGATACTGTAATATCAAATGATGACAAAGCATGATCATGTGAATTTCGTTTTGCAGCACTCGGGTTTCAAATGAATTAGGAGCAGGGAACGCAAAGGCAGCTCAAGGTGCTGTTCGTGTTGTTGTGATTCTTGGAATTGCTGAGGCAATTATTGTCAGCACATTCTTCATTTGTTGTCGGCATATATTAGGATATGCTTATAGCAATGACAAGGAAGTTATAGATTACGTCGCAGAAATGGTTCCACTTCTTTGTGTGTCTGTTACTGCAGATAGTCTCATAGGAGCTCTTTCAGGTGAGTTTCCATTTGCTGCAGCAGCATCATTCTATGTTCTTCTAGCATAAACTGCACCACCATGAGCTAACAATAAAACTGGATTTATGTTTGCAGGTATTGCAAGAGGTGGAGGATTTCAGCAAATGGGGGCTTATGTGAACCTTGGAGCCTATTATCTTGGAGGTGTTCCAATGGGACTCTTATTGGGTTTTGTCCTAAAGCTCAATGCCAAAGGGCTCTGGATGGGAACCCTAACAGGGTCTATTCTACAAGTTATTATACTGGCTATTGTAACAGTGTTAACAGATTGGCAGAAAGAGGTTGGTTTTTAATTTCTTATGTAACTTTTTCATTGCTGATAATTGCTCGTGTCATTTTTCATTTTCCAACTATTTTATAAATGTCTCCTTTGCTTGCTGAATTCTATGGATGATTGTATTTTGTGGTTATTTATTGCAGGCAACTAAAGCAAGGGAAAGAATAGTTGAGAACTCAATTACACCTCATAACGGATTCGCATAAAATTTGAGATATCTAATTGATGAATAAAAGAAAGAGTGGAAGAAAAATGGAAGTACTGACAATTTGATGTCAGTCTTTTGATTTTTTTTTTTTTTTTGGGGTGTCAGAAAGTGTATTTCTTACAGTGATTAAAGAGCTTTAATTATGTTAATTGATAAAACTTAACTTATTCTGTACATATATGATATTTGAACTGGAATTGTGCCTATGGCGTATGAGTGTATGACTCAGATGTTAGATACCAGAAAATTATTTATATTTATAACATGTTCCAGTTATATGAATGTGGATCTAGGCTTACCCTTTGGTATTCAATTCATGTGCACTCATAATTGTCATGTAATTGATAAGGTTTTTACGTTGTATAAGTTGAAAGACAGCTTCTACTCCCATGTAATTGACGTTAAAGGTCATTTAACACGAGAATGGTGTTTATGGTCTTGTATTGAGCTTCACATATCATAATTTAACACATTCAAGCTTATCTATGCTGTAACAACTAATTGGCCTTATCTCGGTAGCTCTGGCAACTGATTGCCTAAGGATTTGCCTTTGGTCGGGGTTTAAATCTTGGTGAAAGCAAATTTTTGAAATTATTTGGAAGTAAGAGGAAAATTCGAATGAGAGTTAGTTTCACCGTTTTTCCAGTAATAGTAATTTAATGCATCCATGATTCAATGATAAGTTAACCTTAGGAGCCGTATTGCGAGAATAAGGTGGCCGAAGAATATTGTGTGTGGATACGAGGAGGGTATCTACCATAAAAAAATTGGCCTTATGTCTCTGCCCTTGCATTGAGCTCGTTGGGGTATCGTAATGAGTTTCACTTGCAGGAGTTGAAAATGAATCGTGTGGACCATGACTGCTTCAATGCTTTCGGAAAAGGATCAAGTCTTTTTACGTGATAGTGTACGAACACTTATGATTTGTCTTAACAACTTCAATTTTGAAAATAAATTAAATTATCAATGTAAAAGTAATTAATGAATCAAGGAACATCAAATTGAAAAGAGCTTTTTTGTGCTCCACGAACGTGTCAGGTTCCCTTCTAAAAGTAAAAAATGAGAGGAATTGTAAAGTATTAAATATGGAAGAATTTAAATAAAATTATACAAATGTGAAAATAAATATTAAATATTAAATATGAGTAATTGTAACCATATAAATTTAGAAATAAATATAATTATTGGATCAACATATTCAAACTGACAGTAAAATTGATTGATAATAATCTTAATTGGTTATTATAATATTCTATCCAGTAAATTAATAGCACACATGTAATTCAATTTTAATTTGGATCAAATGAGTACGTTACAACTTGCACGTTATGATTAGATTTCCTTACGAAATTTTGATTTAATAAAAATTGCGTATAATAAAATGTCCAGATGCATTGATCACGTGACACGCTGATATATGTTATTTCTTTTTTTTTTTATTTACACTTCTTTTAAATATAATTTTTACAATTGTTTATTGAGAACGATAATATAGGACTCATAATATATCCTGTTACTTAATGCATACGCTTGCATAATTCTTGGATAAATTTGGGAAGAGTTTTGTCATTACCAAACTGTCACGTCAATAGTAAATTTTGCAAGAATGCCACGTTACACCCTTAGCCGTCGTTGAAGAAGTCTGAAAATAAGTAAGAGTTAAGATAAGTTAATGCGAATTAGTTATATTTTTAGACTTCTTCAACGACGGCTAAGGGTGCAGCGTGGCATTTTGGCAAAATTTACTGTTGGCGTGACAGTCTGGTAAAATTTTTTGCCAAGTGTGACAAAATGGTCACTCTTCCATAAATTTACTCTTGGTATATTAATTGTTCCTCGAAGATAATACTTGCTCCTCATATTTTTACTCCCATTTTTTTTTAGCATATCTTTGCTCAACATTTAGTGGGAAGGGGTGTGAGATTCAAACCCAGTAAACTCCCACGGTATTAAACGACTCATGTTAGTAAGTATCGTGAATCGAATACCAGATAGGAAAATTAAAGAATTAAAAAACTCATTTTTTGTCACTATATTTTTTTGTCTGGCCAATTTACGTTTGAAGTTAACATAAAAAAGTTATTAAATAATAAAAAATATGTTAAAGTGTTACCAACTAATGTTATTAAACCCGACTCGGTTATTGACTCGGTCGAGGTATCGGGTTACTGAGTCACTGGTTCAACCGCATGACCCGGTAATTATATGCAATTTTATAATTTATATTAAAAAATTATAAACATACTTAAATATCAAAAAAATGATAAAAATTTCAAATATTTTAATACAAAAAATAATAAATCGCTTATTATTATCAAATAAAAAATCAAAAAATATATAATGCTCGTTATATGGGGCTTTAGGTTCAGAAAACAACATCTCTAACTATAAATTAATTCAAAATTTTCTGCATAGTACATAATTGAGATAATATTAGTGTTATAGGTACATAACTTATGTAAGTCAATAAACAAAAAAATATTCAAAAATATCTATTATGATTTTTTTTGGGACTGGACTGAGTCACCGGTTAATCGATCGGGTCACCGATTTTTATAAAAACGGGCCGGATCGGACCGGATCACACCGATTCTGATGCATGGCCGATCCATTGCTTCAACCGGATCGATTATATGACTAATTTACCAATTCTCAGATCGGATCTAGTTGGATCGGTCCGATTTTAATAAATATGTTACCAATTTTTTTATGGACATGAAAGCTTTAACGCACATTCTGCTAAGAGTTTGCGATATTCTCTTAGGCGCGGCGATCTGTTTGTGTCAATTATTAAATGATTTTCCATTAAGTATATTATACTTAAAATATATTATTTTGGGTAGGGAAAACTTGTTCATTGAGTGACTGGTGGTACTCACCTTTTTTTTTTCTCTCTCATTATGTACTTGTGTTGTTGTGAACCGCAATTACATTCAGCACGTGGGTCCTTATTTTCAACTCATCGTATCAATTGGGACTTGATGTAGTTTCACGGAGTACTCTAATTTATTGATAGGAGTCTGATAGTTTATTTCAATAGAATATCAGGGGACGTTTGATTGAGGATAAATTTCATGAATACTAGAGAAATGTAATTGATAGGGAAATAATTAGAATATGAGTTTGGTAGAAAAATGTAAAAAAAGTTGTTTGGTTGGATAAAATTTTGATAGGAAAATTAAGTAACTTTTATAAAGTCTATGTTTGGATATAAGTAAAATATAGATGGAAATTTTTTTTGATATTACGAAAATAACCTTTTATTAAGTGAATGGTGTAAAGGGACAACAGTACCAGTTGCACAATAATTAGTGGCTAACATCGAAGTATTCTGAGGCATAATAACATCGAAAGTATCTTGGTGTTCCCCCCAATATCATTTGCACTCATTCTTCTGGATCCGAAATTTGTCCTTTCGCGCGCTTAAACTTGGGGTACCCAAGTCTTTTGGACAATCACCAAATAAAGCAGATTGGTAGGTTTCCAGGAATACCATATATCACGTGGGAAACGGAAAGCTATCTATTGGATGAAATTGATGTCGAAATACATTTACCCTGCTATCACATTTAGGTAGGCATCTTCAGAAAACACTCCCTCCCAAACATGGTTATCTGAGAAACACACCTATCACTTACCTATCAAAATCTCCAAAATTCCTAAACCAAACACCCCCTTAAGTCATTAAGAGTCCATCTACTTGTATTTTTCTTTTTAGAATAAATACTTATTTGATTTTCAATAAAAAAATACGGAATCTATTTTAATTTCTTAGAAAAAAAATATTTATATTAATTTTTTTTTAGAAATTAACATGAGTTTTCTTTGAATTTAAGGGGACAATAATTTTAAAGAAATGAAATTTCAGAAGGATCATAAGTCAATTTTTTTTTTTAAATATTGAAATATGTTTTGTGTTTTTTGCTGAGGACCCAAAATAGTATTTGCTCTTCTTTTTTTAAATTTTTTTTATTTAAAAGATGTGTTACATTTTTTAAAATAATTAAATAGAACGAGATTATTCTTATAATATTTTTTTTTCTTACAATCATTTCTATAATTGTTAGATTAAAATCAAACTAACAATTCTAACAAGTTCAAGAAGAAATCTTTTAAGGGTAAAAAATATCTACAGTCACACCGGAGATAAATTATCTCTCTAGTGATCCCAAAATTATATCTATTTGAATTAATGAAGGATGCTTTTGTAATTTTAAGAAAATTAATAAATGACATTTCAGTAAAACTTATATGAAAAAAAATAAACAAAATTACATAAATACCCTTTATTACTTCAAAATGATATAATTTTAAGAGTTATTATAAATAACTTATCTCTAAAAACCAAAAAAATACTTTATCCATCTTTAAAAGGGTAATAAAACTATAAAGGAATTTTTTTGAAAAATAAATAATATAAACTAACAAAGTGACGTGGTTGGAACGAACTAATAATTTAATAATACTAAACAGCTTGGCACGAATGGCGCAATCCGTCACACCTCGACAATCCAACTTTGGATAGTGAATGAATTGTTGTTCTTAAATTCTGCAGCGTTGACACATTGGCCTTGAGCGATGCTTGCTTAAATGTTGCTCCATTCTTTATTTGAACGATAAGGTGAAGGTGGGTTCCTTTGAGTTGAGGTATATAATTGTAGACAGAGACAACGTATTAATCTTTATTGATATTACCGCGCCTAGACGCAGCACTTGCTGTACCAATTTATTGTCTGACTCGTGCCTATTGAGTTGCTCGATTTAGGTGATATTGCCTGTCTTAACGTGGTGATATTATTGATGCACTGTTTTGCATTAATCTAATATTAAGTTTCGCCAAGAATTTAATCTGGTTACTTTTTTTAAAAATTTAATTACTACGGTAAAAAAATCGACGATTTAGGTATTGGACTCCTGTTTTTTGTGTGCATGTTTAGATTTTTTTTTAAGATAAAAACTATTTATAAGCAGAAGTTAGGTCAAATAAGTTTTAAGAAAAGTTTTTATAATAAAAAAAAGTTAAAAGCTCATAGGAGGAATTTTTTTAAGTTCTTATAAGCTTTTCTTGAATTATAGTTTTTTTTTTTTTTTGAAAATAAGAGCTATAGAGATAGAGAAAGAAGGAATTTTCTTGAGATATGTGCTTTTAAAATAAAATTTTTATGTAATCAATAAACAATTTTTTTAAAAAAATTTAAACTCTT